AAACTAAAAATTAAGAAACTGAAAGATCGAATAATGAAAAATGTGTTATCGAAAAATTTGAAGTTGAAGAAAAGGACAATTTATGAAGCCGAATATTGAAAAATGGAGAATTTGAAAAATTGAAAAGATTAAAAAAAACGAAAAATTTCGGTTTTTCGTTGTTCTGATTTTATAATTTTTCTCTTTTCAATGTGAAATTTTTCAATTCTTGGATTTTTCACTGTCTCGATTTGCAGTTTTTCAGTTTTCAATTTTTCGCTTCTTTGGTTTTTGATTTGCAATTTTTCTAGTTTTCTTTTTAAATACGTAGATAATAAAATAAGTTTATAAAATTTTGTCACTTTTTCAATTTCATCCAGTGTTAAAGTTTTTCGAATTTGCAATTTAGACGATTTACAATTTTTGGATTTTCCAATTTTTCAAACCGCTTCGTTTTTTCTTCTTTCAAATTTTTCGATTCATTATTTTTTTCCGATTTTTAAGTTTCTCGACTTTTAGTTTTTCAATGTATGCATTTTTCATTTCTTCAGTTTTTCGATTGTCCACGTTTTCGCTTTTGCAATTTTTTGATGTTCCAGTTTTTCGAGATTTCAAGTTTTTCCCGATTTTTTAGTTATTCGATTTTTGAGTTTTTCGATTTTTCAATTTTTCGGATCAAACAAAATTGTAAAATCAAAAAACCAATAATGAAATAGTATAAAATGAAAACTTTGAAAAATCTAAAAAGTGGAATTCAAGAACTTGAAAAATTGAAGAAACGAAAAATTTAAAAATTGGAAAATTAAAAACTGAGAAATTTAAAAATCTAAAAAACCAAATATTTATTGAAAAAATTGAAATATTAAACATTAAGAAAAAGAAATAGGAAAATTGGGAATTGGAAATCCAAAGATTGCAATATTGAAAAATTTAAAATTGGGAAATCGGGGAATTGAAAAATCAAAAATGGAAAATTTGAAAAATCGAATAAAAGAAAAATTCTGCTTTAAAATCAAGAAAATAAAAATTAAAAAATCGGGAAAACGAAAAATAAAAATCAAGAACTTCACAAATTGAGGAAACTAAAAATTAAGAAACTGAAAGATCCAATAATGAAAAATGTGTTATCGAAAAATTTGAAGGACAATTTATGAAGCCGAATATTGAAAAATGGAGAATTTGAAACACTGAATAAATAAAAAAAAAAACGAAAAATTTCGGTTTTTCATTGTTCTGATTTTATAATTTTTCTCTTTTCAATGTGAAATTTTTCAATTCTTGGATTTTTCACTGTTTCGATTTGCAGTTTTTCAGTTTTCAATTTTTCGCTTCTTTGTTTTTTGATTTGCAATTTTTCTAGTTTTCTTTTTAAATACGTAGATAATAAAATAAGTTTGTAAAATTTTGTCACTTTTTCAATTTCATCCAGTGTTAAAGTTTTTCGAATTTGCAATTTAGACGAATTAAAATTTTTGGATTTTCTCGATTCATTAATTTTTTCCGATTTTTAAGTTTCTCGACTTTTAGTTTTTCTATGTATGCATTTTTCGTTTCTTCAGTTTTTCGATTGTCCACGTTTTCGCTTTTGCAATTTTTGATGTTTCAGTTTTTCGAGATTTCAAGTTTTTCCCAATTTTTTAGTTATTCGATTTTTGAGTTTTTCGATTTTTCAATTTTTCGGATCAAACAAAATTGTAAAATCAATAATGAAATAGTATAAAATGAAAACTTTGAAAAATCTAAAAAGCGGAATTCAAGAACTTGAAAAATTGAAGAAACGAAAAATTTAAAAATCGGAAAATTAGAAACTGAGAAATTTAAAAATCCAAAAAGCAAATATTTATTGTAAAATTGAAATATTAAAGATTAAGAAAAAGAAATAGGAAAATCGGGTAATTGGAAATCCAAAGATTGCAATATTGAAAAATTTAAAATTGGGAAATCGGGGAATTGAAAAATCAAAAATGGAAAATTTGAAAAATCCAATAAAAGAAAAATTCTGCTTTAAAATCAAGAAAATAAAAATTAAAAAATCGGGAAAACGAAAAATAAAAATCAAGAACTTCACAAATTGAGGAAACTAAAAATTAAGAAACTGAAAGATCGAATAATGAAAAATGTGTTATCGAAAAATTTGAAGTTGAAGAAAAGGACAATTTATGAAGCCGAATATTGAAAAATGGAGAATTTGAAAAATTGAAAAGATTAAAAAAAACAAAAATTTCGGTTTTTCGTTGTTCTGATTTTATAATTTTTCTCTTTTCAATGTGAAATTTTTCAATTCTTGGATTTTTCGCTGTTTCGATTTGCAGTTTTTCAGTTTTCAATTTTTCGCTTCTTTGGTTTTTGATTTGCAATTTTTCTAGTTTTCTTTTTAAATACGTAGACAATAAAATAAGTTTGTAAAATTTTGTCACTTTTTCAATTTCATCCAGTGTTAAAGTTTTTCGAATTTGCAATTTAGACGATTTACAATTTTTGGATTTTCCAATTTTTCAAACCGCTTCGTTTTTTCTTCTTTCCAATTTTTCGATTCATTAATTGTTTCCGATTTTTAAGTTTCTCGACTTTTAGTTTTTCAATGTATGCATTTTTCGTTTCTTCAGTTTTTCGATTGTCCACGTTTTTGCTTCTGCAATTTTTTGATATTTCAGTTTTTCGATATTTCAAGTTTTTCCCGATTTTTTAGTTTTTTGATTTTTCAACTTTTCGGATCAAACAAAATAGTAAAATCAAAAAATCACCAATGAAATATGTAGTATAAAATGAAAACTTTGAAAAATCTAAAAAGTGGAAGTCAAGAACTTGAAAAATTTAAGAAACGAAAAATTTAAAAATTGCGGAAAATTAGAAACTGAGAAACTAAGAAATCAAAAAAACCAAATATTTATTGTAAAATCGAAATATTGACGATTAAGAATAAGAAATAGGAAAATCGGGTAATTGGAAATCCAAAGACTGCAATATTGAAAAATTTAAAATTGGGAAATCGGGGAATTGAAAAATCAAAAGTGGAAAATTTGATAAAAATCAAATAAACCAAAAATTAGAAAATCGGAAGAGACATTGAAAAAATACTGAGTATGAAAAAAGAAACAATTCTGCTTTAAAATCAACAAAATGAAAATTCAAATCGGGAAAATGAAAAATAAAAATCAAGAACTTCCACCCTAGTTCCTGCCAAGATAATACTAATTTTAGCAAATGAGATCCTTCTAGGAGAGTAGAGGGCGGGTGGGCGGGGCTAGTACCTGCTAAAATAAGACCCATTTTTGCAAATCACATACTTTCCAATAAAAGAGAGGGTGGGTGGGCGGGTTTGTAGTACCTACTAAGGTAAAAAGGATTTTAAAATTGGTTCTTTTGCTACGTTCAACAACTAAATAACACATTCATTATCACAATAACCAGTGGTAAAATTTTGGAAGCCCATGGAGATTTTTTTTTGTAAATTATTATTTAAAACAATTTTGCGGGACTTTGGTGTTCTATTTTTGGAAAATTCTGACCTGACCTGTTTTTGGAATAATTTTGGAATCCCACTTTTTTTTGAAAAATTTAAAACAAGTTAAGTTTAGCTTTTGCCTACAGTATTTTAGAAGAAAGCAATAGCCCCGCCCACCCGCTCCCTCTTCATTGAAGTGACTACTCTTAATATTGTTCAGTCATTCACCAAAATTAATTTTATCTCAACAAATACTAGCCCCTCCCACTCGCCTTCTGTTTTCTTAGACGGTATGTCATTTGTCAAAATCAGTTTTATCTTAGCAGGTACTAGCCCCGCCCACCCACCCTCTCTTTTCTTAGAGGGTATGTTATTTGCCAAAATCAATCTTATTTTAGCAGGTACTAGCCCCGCCCACCCGCCCTCTCTTTTCTTATGACGGTATTTCATTTGCGAAAACCATTCCTATCTTAGCAGGTACTAGCCCCTATCTCATTTGAAAAACTAATATTTTTCTTGTTTTTATACTACATATATTTATATTTTTTATCTTATTTCTCGTAGTGATGCTGGATTAATTGTGTACCTGAAGTCCACACTTTAAATTATATGGATTATTTTAATTTTACAATTTTTCAAAGAAAACTGAATTTATTCGACTGTACTTCAGGGGGTAAATAGGCTCGGACCTTTTTTTGTATTAAGAAAATCTCGTTTTTTTTTATTAATTGCAAAATGCTAAGAAACAATTGTTAATTGTGACCGTCGTCCGTCTCCTTCCTGTTCTGAGTTTATGGTTTCTTAGAATAATGCGTTTATATCAATATAAAATCGAATTTTTGGGAGCAGAGGAACCGTTAACAATCCATTGTTTTCTCTGATATTTCGATGTCTAAATCGAATTTGTACAACAAAAATCAGTGTCGTATGTAAATTGTAGTGGGTTCGTTTACTTTGTGTTATTATTAGCTACCAAATCTCTCATCTACAATGTTTGCTGTTTGAGTCAATGAGAGTAAAAAATAAACGCTGCACCGTCTAACGTAACAAGTTTGATTACTTTATAACCACAAATTTATAAAATTAGCACATTTTTAACCAAAATTTCAAGAAAATTTGGCACTTTTTATTTATTAATTAATTAAGTAGAAAAATAATTTTGGGATGTATGTGCTATGTTTCTAAAAAAATTTACTGCTTAGCTTATATGTACTAACTAATTAACAACTTTTCTGTTATTTGTGTCAAAACTAAACGCGTTATTACTATACTTTGTGGCATTTAAAAACAACAACCTGTAGCGCGTCTGAAACTATTTAGAAATTTTTAGAAGACACACGTGTTAAAAATAACCACCTGACACACATTGTTTTAGATGCATTCAACATAAAGTTTTGATAGTTTGAAGACCAGACAGCCCGACTAAATTTAGTCCACAAATACCACAAACACTGAACAAATATTGACTTGTACCAATTCTTCCCTATTTGATCAATAGTTCTTAACAGACTCCCAGATGAAATTAACTAGGTCAATTAATTAATAAAACTACAAAATAAAACAATTCGGTACTCACACAGTGGCGTAGGCGGCCAGGAGCCAATTTAGTAACAAACTTGAACAGACGTCGACGTGAGCTTGCTGAGTGGGTGGCGCCCTTTTATTCAAACTATGATAAAGCGAACACAAAAGAGTCTCAAGACGTGCAACACTGAGCTCTGAAGACGGTTCCAAAGCGTGAAGACCTTGCTCTCTGAAGGCTTCGATCACATTCCAAATATCAACAGCGTGAACTGAAAACGAGCCCGTACACAACAGTCGAATCGAGACAACATTACCTACGGCTGACTTTTTTCTGGATAAATCTGAGTTTTGTGGCAGTTCGGTATGAGGCAAATCGAATCAGATCAAAATTGTGAGCGCTCATTTCGTGAATTAAGGCCAACCTGTGGTCCCCCGAGCTCGAGAGGTTGTCTTGTCCCTGCATTTCTGTAAAACATCGCAGGAATTGGCATGGTTTCGATTTGTTTTGGTCGGGGTGTCTGGAGGCACGGCAATGGAATGACAGGTGTCAATCAATCGCGGCCGATGTGGATTCGAGTAGGTTTTTCGAGAAATGGGTTCATAGTTTGCGGGACCATCAATAAAACTGTGCGGGGGAAACTGTTTAAAAATATTTGCTTTGATCGCATGACGAACTGTCACTCGGTTTGATTAATGGAATTTTAGGCGCCTATTTTAGCGGTGGGGGCGATTTCTTCAATTAAAAACGGTTGTACTTACTGGTTACTATTTGATTTTAACCTATTTAGACGAATTGTGACTATATTTTTTATGAAAAAGCTAAAAATGTGAGAGATATAGTACACAGCACCACACAACGTACGCCATTTTATTCGAGCAACTGCCCCCGACCAGTGGTGGCTCGTCAACCAGGTCAACCACTCTGTAAGTGGGTTGCATAAATAACGATTTGTGAGTAGCGAAAAAGGAGCCATAATGTTCAAGATCCATAATTCGTAGGCCTGTCATTCATAACTCGTTCACCGACTTCGTGAACGTGAATATACAAGGGAAAACCACTTATGGCATAAATTCCATCTTTTACAAACTAACTAACTATTCAATTTATAAGCCGTAATCTGGGACGAGTTATTTCCTTAGATCAAACAGTTAAATACATATAATACATATGTAATTTAAGGTTGGTACTTAAAGTAACTAAAAATCGAAAAATTTGATTTAAACTTAAAAGTCGCTCCTGACAAATTTGAAAAAGCAGTTGGAAGCCTCTTCAAACAGCTGTTATGCTGACTACAACATCAATTTTAGACCTGCAAAACTCGTTTTTGAACGAAAAAAAATACTCATCGAGATTTTCTCAAGATTGTCTAGAAAATGTATTTTCCCAAATTCGGATATCCGATCCGAAAATTAGCGAGAAAAGTGAGAAACATTTTTCGTAATTTTCTTTTGAAACAGTTAAAAGACGATTTGACTCGGCGGAAAATAGTTGGCTTATAGATAATTTTTCGCGGTTATGAATCTAAAATATTTTTGACAATTTGTCTTCAAATAACTGAGAACTGCGGGGAAAATGTTCAAAAAAAATCCCCAAAGTTTCCAAAAAAATTTGAAATCGTTCCAAATGGCTTTGAGAGGAAAACGTTGAGTTTCTAGTTTAACAGGGTATTAATCGCAAATTTATCTTATGAAATCCTAGCCCCGCCCACCCACGCTCTATTTTCTTACAAGATATGTGATTTGCCAAAATCCGTCTTACCTCAGCAAATACTAGCCCCACCCACCCACCCTCTATTTTCTTGGAAGGTATGTGATTTGCCAATTTCAGTCTTATCTTAAGTACTATATTCTATATTGAAATGGCTAAATAAATTATTAAATAATAATTAAATAGTACTTGCTAAGACAAAACTGATTTTGGCATATCACATACCTTCCAAGAAAATAGAGGGTGGGTGGGCGGGGCTAGTATTTGATGAGATATTACTAATTTTCGCACTTTTGACATTTCCGACTGTTTTTCAACTATTTCCGAAAATTAGCGAGAAAAGTGACAAACATTTTTCGTAATTTCCATAATTTTTTTCTTTGAAACAGTTAAAACACGATCTGACTCAACGGAAAATAGTTGGCTTATAGATAATTTTTCGCAAATTACGAATCTAAAATATTTTTGACAATTTGTCTTCAAATAACTGAGAACTGTGGAGAAAATTAAAAAAAAATCCAGCGGAAGTGGAGAGAGAAGACAAATTTTCTCTAACGACAGCTGTTTTTATTGATATTGTACATAGGTGGTTCCAGTTGATTACTTCTAGATCAACTATTTTGGCCTTGAACAAGTTTAATATGGCTATCTATAGGGAAACTATAGAATTCCTTCAACAGTTCATTAAGTTATTTTTAAACTTAAAAGTCGCTTCTGACAAATTTGAAAAAGCAGTTTGGAAGCCTATTCAAACAGGTGTTATACTGACTACAACATCAATTTTAGACCTGAAAACTTGTTTTTGAACGAAAAAAAAAACTCATATTTATTAACATCGAGATTTTCTCAAGATTGTTTAGAAAATGTATTTTCCCAAATCCGGTCTCTACGGCCATTCAGTTTAAATATGACTTAAAACTTTTATCAGTTTCTCAATATTTGGACGTTTCAAATAACTCAAGTTACGAAACCGACAAAACAACACCTTTAGTTGGTTTTTTGAGTTATATTAAAAATAATTACAGAAAAGAAATGATGTTGCTAAAGGAAAAGAAAATTTAGCTTTACCTAGAAATTGGAATTTGAAGAAAAAAGAACTTTCTTTGAGAGAAAAAATGCTTTGTACAGTTGCGCAGGTTACGTTGTTAAAAGCTTGATAAAAAATCAAAATTTTTGAAAAAATGTATTGTTGCTTTGGTCTCTAAGAAGAATTGTAATGAAAATTATGCAAAATTTGTGGCATTAAATACATTTGGGACCTCCGAGAAGGTTTTACATTTTTGAAAAAGACAAATGGGAGCCCCGAGAAAATTTCACATTCTAAAAAAAATACATTTGAGACCCCCGAGAAGGTTTTACATTTTCAAAAAGGACAACTGGGACTCCCGAGAAGGTTTCACATTAAAAAAAAACATTGGGCCCTCCCCGAGAAGGTTTTATTTGTTTAAAAAAGACAACTGGGAGCCCCGAGAAGGTTTCACATTCTAAAAAAAAATACATTAGGGGCCCCCGAGAAGGTTTTACATTTTTAAGAAAGACAATTGGGACCCTCGAGAAGGTTTTACATTAAAAACAAGACATTTGGCGCCCCCGAGAAGGTTTAATAAGTATTTTTAAAAAAGACAGTTAGGATCCCGAGGTTTGACTTAAAAAAAAGACGTTTGGGGATCCCGAGGTTTTACATTTTTAAAAAAGACAATTGGGTGCCCCGAGAAGGTTCCACATTCTAAAAAAAATAGATTTGGGGCTCTCGCGATGGTTTTACATTTTTAAAAAAGACAATTGGGACTCCAGAGGTTTCACATTAAAAAAAAATTGTGGCTCCCGAAAAGGTTTTACATTTAAAAAAGACAGTTGGGACCCTCGAGGTTTTAATTTTTAAAATTTCAAAAGCTAATGTACTGAAATATTGCAAACGTTTTAAGATTACAGTATTTGATAAGATAATACTAATTTTCGCACTTTTGACATTTCCGACTATTTTTCAATTTCCGAAAATTAGCGAGAAAAGTGAGAAACATTTTTCGTAATTTTCAAAATTTTTTTGTTTGAAACAGTTAAAAGACGATTTGACTCGGCGGAAAATAGTTGGCTCATAGATAATTTATATCTTCGTTCCAGAACAAGACTTTTTCGGAAGCTTTATTTAATTGTACTCTAGGGACACGACAAATTCCAAACAACCCCTCCGTTTATAAATAAAAAATCATACCCACGATTATTTTATATATTTATTAGTTCGGCAGTGGAAAATATGTACACATTTTCTGTTTTTCTACGTCATTAAGTACTAATAATATAAGAAATTAGGAACACTTCATTAAATGTGAGAATATGTATTTAAAAATATTAGCACCTTGAACACAATCGGATAAAAATAAAATCGTTACGGCCCTTTATCCGTTCCGCCTGATCTCGCCGCCACATAGTACTGATAATTCTGAGCATTGTTACAAAATTCGCAAAATCCGGGGGCCCCTTGAGGTCCCGGTGTTCCTCTTAGTCCTGGAGGTCCTGGTCGTCCTGTCTCGCCTCTGTCGCCTGCTCTACCCACGATTCCAACTCCCGGAGGTCCTGGAGGTCCTGTAGCAACACACTGTACAAACCCATCATGGATCAAATTAAAAATCTACCTGGTAAACCTCTAGGTCCCATTGGTCCCTCAATCCCCACGCCTTCCACACCTCTGTCTCCTTTCTCGCCTCGTTCGCCCGTCAGTCCTATCGAACCCGGAGGACCCGCTGTTCCCGGCAGTCCCGTGAAGCCCCTCTCACCAGGCAAACCCGGCGGGCCGGTGTCACCTTTCACAGTACAGTTCAATTAGCCTCTAGTTTACGAACAAATACTACGTGAAAAGCTAACCTGGGATACCGGGGACTCCTGATTTTCCTGGAATGCCGGTTCTCGTCAAGCCAGGAGGCCCAGGCGGCCCCCGTAACCCCGATATTAGTTCAGCGTGTCTATCTGCATGCAAGTCTTACTATTAGTTAATGGAGTGGTTAAAATTCAACTAGTTGTGCTGGAAAATTTTAAGAGTACCTGGAGGACCTTGGACACCTGGGGGACCCGGACGACCAGGTCGGGAGTGACCTGGAGGCCCAGGCGGTCCTGTGAGAGTCGCTGTCAATTCAGCTAGCTGGTCTGAGCGCAAAAGTACATTTTAACGGGTGACACATTTTTGTGGAATTTAAAAATTGGGAGAAATTTTACCTCGTAAGACTGCTGCGCAGATGTCTCGGACTTCCGCCTCGGTGAAGCTTTTACCCTGAAATTAATTAATTTTTAAATCAATTTATTTACAACTAGTAAGAATTGCTGGTTGCCTATGCAGAAATTTTAAATTTAGCGCAGTTCGGTTGGTAGGCGTTTCTAGCCTTGAATTTGAATCTATTCGACCAATCACAGGCGCCGATGGATTTAAATGTCCAGTACATCCAGTGGACAGTTGCTTGCTAGATCGTTTCATTTAACAAATAATTTCCACGGTGTGAAGAATAAGTGACTTTTATATTTTACACAGACTTTTACCGTTTTTATATATACTGGAAGGTGAGTTATTTGAATTTGTTTATTCATTTTAGTCTTAAATTGGTTTTAATTTTGAATGTGAAGTAACCTTAAGTGATAACGGTCATTTTCATGGCGGTTTTTGTCAAAGGTTTAAAGCAGTCTGAAAAACTATGTAATAAATTCTCGCTCATTTAATTTATTTATTTATTTAGTTTCGATCTTTCACGTTATATTGTGACGTCTAATTGCATTAAAACGCTGCTTTAAAAGCATTTAAAAATAAATCAGTCATTTCAAAAACAAAGATAAAAACACGATAAAAACTATCCGTGATAATCTCATATTTTCCGTTTTAGATGGCCCTTCGCCATCGTGATATCGTCCCTACACTCCCCGACCGTGAAAACATCACTGCAAAAGCAGGAAAATCTCACCTCATCAAACCAATTGTCGTAACAAAACGACCACCCTTAGACGAGCTAAGCAACAAACTTCTCGATAGCAAGAAGCCGGACCCCGCCAAAGAAGCAAAAGAAGCCCCCAAGCCCGTCCAACCAGCAAAAAAAGACAACCCCCCCGTCAACAAAGCCTTCTCTTCTTCCCAGCTACCAACCGCTCTTGAAAATGACTCAGAGACGTGCACTGACCCCCAAATGGTATCAGAATACCAGGGTGATATTTTCAAATACCTCCACGAAATGGAGCTGAAGTACCCCATACGAGCGAATTTTCTCGAGAGCCATAAGTCAACGTCTCGAATGCGTGCCATTTTAGTTAACTGGTTGATCCGCGTCCACGAGAATTTCGGGCTCTGCCTCGAAACCCTACACATGTGCATTTCGCTGATCGACAGGTACCTCCAAGACAACACTCAGGTGGGTCGGGAAAGTTTGCAGCTAGTGGGAACATCGGCTTTGTTGATCGCTTGTAAATACGAGGAGATGTACTACCCGGGACTGCAGGATTTCAAGTATATATGTGACAACACGTTTTCGACGGATGAGATTTTGAAGATGGAGATCAGTATTTTAACGGCTTTGCAATATAATTTAGGGAAACCGCTTTCCATTCATTTTTTAAGGCGATATAGTAAATTAGCAGATGTTAAATTCGAACAGCATAATCTTTCCAAGTACTTGTTAGAACTGGCCCTTTTGGACCACGATATGTCACATATTAGACCTTCGTTGCAAGCTGCAGCTGCTTGTTGTTTATCGATTGCCATTTTTAGCAACGCAACTTGTCCATCTAAAGTATGGACCGGACGCCTCGCACAGTATTCTAATTGTAAATATTCCGAATTCAAACACGTAGTTGTTAAATTTGCAAAACTGCTAATAGCTACAGAATCCTCAAAACATAAGTCTGTTCAAGAAAAATATGCGGATACTAAATTCAATAAGGTTAGTTTGAATCCGAAATTAAAAGGGTTTTTGGTTAAAAGACTGGCTGAGACTTCGCTGAAAGTGTGATCCATTTTTATTATTTTAATTATTGTAGTGCGTTTTATATATTTTTACAAAATCTGATGATGTTGTGGTAGTTGACAAAACATTCTGTAATACAATTACACTAAAATCGTGTTTGTATTACAGAAATTGTGGAATAAAGGAAGCGTCTACAAAATATTTTGATATCCTTTATTCTATCAATAGTTGTCCAGAAAATCGTATATTATAGTTTATAATAACAAACTGTAAAATAAAAGAATAGTTTAAATGAATTATTAAATAAATAATTTGTTGTGTGAAAAGTGCGTATGATTGGTAACTCGTAATTCGTATGGGATATCTGGGAACCAGAGAACACAGAGAAGCGTCATAGTTTAAATTAAATCACAGTTGAGGACTCCTCGACTTATGTTGGCAACAGTGTTTGTTTCTAACTAAAAAATTGACACTAGATTTACCAGAATATCACAAGCTGCTTACTGTTTCCTTCACTTTAATTCAGGTCACACGAATTACGGTTCGTCGTCGGAGAACTTGTTTGATCTACAGACCAGAGCGCACTCAGGCCAATGTCGACTCTAAGCGTTTGGAAACGATTTGATTTATAAGCCATGATCGATGATCTGATACATATCCTAACCGGTTTCGACCATAATTTCTTGCTGTATCAACTTTCGAATTCTCAGTTTTTATCGAAATTTTAGTTTGGGGACTTTTCAGTTTACTCCTATTTATTATTCAATTTTTGGATTTTACAATTTTTCAATTTCTCGGTTTTCAGTTTTTCTCTTCAATTTTACGATTTTTAAAAGTTCGACTTTTCAATTTTTGACTTTTATAAACTCTTTAATTGTTCAATTAATTGATTTTTCGGGTTTTTGGTTTTTCGATTTCTCAATTTTTTAGTGTCTCAGTTTTTGGACATTTCAGTTTTGGGATTTTTCAGTTTACTTATTATTCAATGTTTCGATCTTACGATTTTGCAGGTTTTTGATTTTTTTTAAGGTTTCGATATTTCGACTTCACTTTTTTGATTTTTCGATTTCTCAATTTTTCGATTCTTTAATTCTCAGATTTTGGATTTTTCAGTTTTTCGATTCGTCAGTTTTTTTTCAGTTTTTCGATATTTCAGTTTTGGGATTTTTCAATATTTCTGTTCTTCGACTTTTCCATTTTTGACGTCTGGATTTTTCGATGTGTCGACTTTTTACTTTTTCGATTTTTAAATTTTAGATTTCTCAATATTTAAAATTTTAGATTTTTCGATTTCTTGATTTTTCATTTCTGCTGTTCCATATTTCAATTTTTCAAATGTTTCGATTTCTTAATCTTTCGATTTTTCGACTTCCCGGTTTTAGATTTTCAATTGTCGTTTTTTCAATTTTTCGATTTTTAAATTTTAGATTTTTCAATTAATCGATGTTTTGATTTTCCCATTTCTTGACTTTCGAGGGTTTCGAATTCCTGTTCTTCAATTCTTTAATTTTTCAATTTTTCATTTTTTAGTTCTTTTAAGGTTTCGATTTTTCGACTTCACTTTTTGGATTTTTCGATTGCTCAATTTTTCGATTTTTTAGGTTCTCAGTTTTTTGATATTTCAGTTTTCGGATTTTTGAGGTTTTCCATTTTTCAGTTTTTCTTTCATTTTTCAGTTTTTGGATATCTCAGTTTTGGGATTTTTCAGTATTTCGACTTTTCGATTTTTGACTCCTGGATTTTTCGATGTGTTGATTATTTTACTTTTTCGAATTTTAAATTTTAGATTTTTCGATTTTTCATTTCAGTTCTTCGATATTTCCGTTTTTCGTGTTTTCGAATTTTTCAAATGTTTTGATTTCTTAATCTATCGACTTTCCGAGTTGCCGGTTTTAGATTTTCTGTTTTTCAATTATCGTTTTTTCAAATTTTCGATTTTTCAATTAATCGATGTTTTGATTTTCCCATTTCTTGACTTTCGAGGGTTTCGATATTCCTGTTTTTCAATTCTTTAATTTTTCAATTTTTCATTTTTTAGTTCTTTTAAGGTTTCGATTTTTCGACTTCACTTTTTGGATTTTTCGATTGCTCAATTTTTCGATTTTTTAGGTTCTCAGTTTTTTGATATTTCAGTTTTCGGATTTTTCAGGTTTTCCATTTTCCAGTTTTTCTTTCATTTTTCAGTTTTTGGATATCTCAGTTTTGGGGTTTTTCAGTATTTCGATTTTTGACTCCTGGATTTTTCGATGTGTTGATTATTTTACATTTTCGAATTTTAAATTTTAGATTTTTCGATTTTTCATTTCAGTTCTTCGATATTTCCGTTTTTCGTGTTTTCGAATTTTTCAAATGTTTTGATTTCTTAATCTATCGACTTTCCGAGTTGCCGGTTTTAGATTTTCTGTTTTTCAATTATCGTTTTTTCAAATTTTCGATTTTTCAATTAATCGATGTTTTGATTTTCCCATTTCTTGACTTTCGAGGGTTTCGATATTCCTGTTCTTCAATTCTTTAATTTTTCAATTTTTCATTTTTTAGTTCTTTTAAGGTTTCGATTTTTCGACTTCACTTTTTGAATTTTTCGATTGCTCAATTTTTCGATTTTTTAGGTTCTCATTTTTTGGATATTTCAGTTTTCGGATTTTTCAGGTTTTCCATTTTTCAGTTTTTCTTTCATTTTTCAGTTTTTGGATATCTCAGTTTTGGGATTTTTCAGTATTTCGATTTTTAACTCCTGGATTTTTCGATGTGTTGATTATTTTACTTTTTCGAATTTTAAATTTTAGATTTTTCGATTTTTCATTTCAGTTCTTCGATATTTCCGTTTTTCGTGTTTTCGAATTTTTCAAATGTTTTGATTTCTTAATCTATCGACTTTCCGAGTTGCCGGTTTTAGATTTTCTGTTTTTCAATTATCGTTTTTTCAAATTTTCGATTTTTCAATTAATCGATGTTTTGATTTTCCCATTTCTTGACTTTCGAGGGTTTCGATATTCCTGTTCTTCAATTCCTTAATTTTTCAATTTTTCATTTTTTAGTTCTTTTAAGGTTTCGATTTTTCGACTTCACTTTTTGGATTTTTCGATTTTTTAGGTTCTCAGTTTTTTGATATTTCAGTTTTCGGATTTTTCAGGTTTTCCATTTTCCAGTTTTTCTTTCATTTTTCAGTTTTTGGATATCTCAGTTTTGGGATTTTTCAGTATTTCGACTTTTCGATTTTTGACTCCTGAATTTTTCGATGTGTTGATTATTTTACTTTTTCGAATTTTAAATTTTAGATTTTTCGATTTTTCATTTCAGTTCTTCGATATTTCCGTTTTTCGTGTTTTCGAATTTTTCAAATATTTCAATTTCTTAATCTTTTGATTTTTCGACTTCCCGGTTTTAGATTTTCTGTTTTTCAATTGTCATTTTGTCAAATTTTCGATTTTTTAATTATTCAAATTTGACTTTCATAAACTCTCGATTTTTCGATTTTTCAGTCAATCGATGTTTTGATTTTCCCATTTCTTGACCTTCGAGTGTTTCGATTTTCCAGTTCTTTAATTTTTTGATTTTTCGATTTTTCAGTTTTTAGATATTTCAGTTTTAGGATTTTTCAATATTTCAATTCTTCGGCTTTTCTATTTTTGACTTCTGGATTTTTCGATGTGTCTACTTTTTTACTTTTTCGATTTTTCAATTTTTGGATTTTTAAATTTTAGATTTTTCAATCTTGATATTTTAATTTTTCAATATTTCTTAATCTTTCGATGTTTCGACTTCCTGGTTTTAGATGTTCTGTTTTTCAATTTTTCAATTTGTTAATTTTTCATTCCCGATTTATCGAGATTTGATTGTTCAGGTTTTCGATTTATCAGTTTTTCAATTTTTTATTTTGCCCTATTTCAGTTTCTCAGTTTTTCCAGTTTTCCATTTTTTCGTTTTTTGATTTGTCCACTTTTCCACTTTTCCAATTTTTCAACTTTGTGTTTGTCGATTTCTCTATTTTTCGATTTTTCGACTTCATCACTTTTCGATTTCTCGTTCTTTTGATCTTTCAATCTCTCAATTTTTCGAATTTTTAAGTTTTTTGATTTCTCGATTTATCGAGATTTGGATTTTTCGATATTTTGATTGCCAATTTCTCTTTATAAATTGTTCAATTGTTCGACTTTTCGACTCCACGATTTCTTGATCTTTTGATTTTTTGATTTCTCGGTTTTTCGATGTTTCGATTTTTCAGTTATCCAATTTTTTAAATTTGGGAGTTTCGATTTCTCGATTTTTCGTTATTCGGTTTTTTAAGTTTTAGATTTTTGAATTTTCCATTTTTTCCATTTTTAGATTTTCAGTTCTTCGATATTTCGATTTTTCAATGTTTCGGTTTTAAAAAAATGTTTTTGAGTATCGCGTTGTTCAAAGAATAGTAAGTATGTATATTAATAAAAAAAGGCAAAATATAAACCCCGCCCACCCACCCCATTTCAATTGTTATGATCTTTTTTATTCTGAGAATCTCAAAATACGTTCAAAAATGGTAAATTTTTGTAAAGAAATATGGATTTTGGAATTAAGCTCCGCCCCTCGCCTTACGACGAATAAAAAAAAATCATCCGAATCGAGATGGGGCGGGCAGGTGGGGCTTATATTTTGCCTGTTTTTTCTAAATATGCGTAGCCATCTTTTCACAACAAGAAACTTAAAACATGGCTAAAATGGTACATTTTTGCAAGGAAATATGGACTTTGCAATTATGGGGCGGAGCCTAATTGCAAAATCGGTTTTTCTTTATACAAATTTTCCATGTTTTAAGTTTCATGTTGTGAAAAGAAGTCTTCACATATTCAAATAAAAAGCCAAATTATAAGCCCGCCCACCCGCCCTATCTCAATTGTGATGATTTTTTTTATTCGCCGTGAACCAAGGGGGCGCAGAAGTACAAGAAATTAAAAACATGTTTTTGAGTATCGGCTTGTTCAAAGCAGACTGTGTATATTAAGAAAAAAAACAAAATATACCAAATGTATATCGAGATATTTTTTTACTCTGAAAATACCCCATAGATCTCATTCAATAAAAAAAAAATCAATGCAGCGGAAGTATACAACCAATACTACGTCAAAATACTTCACAATAATTGAAACGAGTTGACGTTTGGATTTTTTAATTAAGTCAGCCCACTAGTTTTAGATGTCATCGACCGGCGACCTACTTTTTCGCACTTCCGGAATCATGAAACGTCACAAAATGTTTGTAGAATTAGCACATACCGGCAATCCCTGCGTGCCTGGTAGTCCCGGCTGTCCCCGTTGTCCCGGCGGCCCAGGTAGCCCCGGAGGACCTTCCTTCCCCGGTATTCCTGGAAAGCCTGGTTGTCCCTCTGGACCTCTGTCACCAGACGCGCCTCTCTCTCCTGGCTACACCTCAAACTTACACACTACTGTACCACAACCTGTGTCCTTACCAGTCCTGGAGGTCCCTGATGTCCCCTTGGTCCATGCGCTCCCGGTGCTCCCGCACTATCCACAATCAGCTGGCCTACCGTGCCGCCTTCCCCTGGTGGTCCTGGAGCGCCTGGGGGTCCAGGTGGTCCCGGCCGCCCTTGTACTCCAGGCAAACCACTTGTACCAGGACTTCCAGGTAAACCTGTAGGACCCTATTTCCGAATAAACCTTGACTTCTAATTTAGTTTAAAATGTACCAGAGAGCCGGGTAATCCTCGAGGTCCTACGGGTCCTTGCTCGCCCCGTTCACCGTGGTCACCTTTGTCTCCTGAGAGTCCGGCCAATCCGGGTGGACCGGGACGACCAGGTTGGCCAGGCCTGCCTTCAGGACCTGACGGGCCAGAGGGTCCTTGGATTCCAGGTGGACCCTAAGTGGAAAGCCCATTTTAAATGAGTTTGATGAAGGTTGTGACTAACCTGTTCGCCGTCTTTACCAGAGAGTCCTTCAGGACCTTGAGGTCCTTGTAAACCGACGAGGCCCGGTGGGCCGGGAAGACCGGGGAAACCTCGTTCTCCTTTTTCTCCATCTGAGCCTGGAATTCCTGGTTCTCCGGGAGCGCCAGGGAAGGATTTGTCTCCCGACGAAGATACTATTCCCGGTGGACCTGGCGGTCCTTGCGAGCCACTTTCGCCTTTTTCACCTGAGGGACCTGGAGGACCAGGCAGGCCCTGCGACCCCTTGGACATTTTTTTTTATTTTTTTAGTGTTGGTAATTGATGTAATATTACCGGTAATCCCGCTGGACCTATAGGGCCTTGTGACCCTGGTGGTCCAACGAAACCAGGCTCGCCTTTAGGACCCGCTGATCCTGGAAGTCCTACTCTACCGGCAGTACCAGGAAGACCATCCAATCCAGAAAGTCCAGTGAAACCTCGTTCACCTGTATCACAATATAAGAGATTTTTACACTCAGCACAAATACTTTTTACCTTGCTCTCCCTTTGCTCCCGGTTCGCCTTTTTCACCTCGTTCTCCTTTGTTGCCCTTCATACCTGAAACTCCAGGAAATCCCGGTTCGCCGCGTGGTCCCGGAACTACCGGCACTGTGGTTGCTGTTTGTTGTCCAATTTGAAGTCCGGGGGCACCTGGTGGTCCCTTTTAACAAAGTAGTACCAAAGATCAGTTAAAACGGACTTACTGCAACTCCAGGTAAACCACGCTCTCCTGGTACACCCGGTTCCCCTTTTTCTCCATCACGTCCTGACAATCCGGGAACTCCATCTACACCTGGGAAGCCACGTTCACCTCTGGCGCCTCTATTTCCACGGGGACCTTCAGGGCCCTACAATAAAAACATAACAAATCCTGCAAAAAAACTGTCTAGTAATACAGGAAGTCCTGGAGGTCCTTGAGGTCCAATGGGTCCTTGAATGACCTGGCCATTGTTGGTGGTACTAATGGGTCCCGGAGGTCCCTGCGGACCCGGTAGTCCTTGCACTCCTGGTAAACCAGGGCTACCATCTGTTCCTCTTTCTCCTCTAGGACCAGGGTTGCCATCGTCCCCCTAAAATTAGCTCACAGGAAATACTAATCGGGTTCATAAACAAAACGTACTTTTTCTCCCTTTGCACCAGATAAGCCGTCTTTACCGGATGAACCCGGTGTTCCTTGAGGGCCTCGTACCCCTTTGATACCGGGAAGACCTTGTAAGCCGGGTGAGCCCTAATTAACATCAAAACTGTCAACGGAACCACACTAGTGTAAAAAAGCTAAAAAATCCCTACGGCAACGCATGCATTTACGCATCTAAAAACGTACAGTTGCACCTCGTGATCCCGGCGGTCCTGGGAATCCACGGCGTCCAGGCAATCCTGGCTCGCCAATTATGCCCATGGGACCCCGCGGCCCCGGCCTCCCCTGTTAGTAACAAGCATTAACACCCAATTAGCCGATTTGTGCAATTTTAAGTCGTTTGTGTTCTGGGTTAAGTGTTAAACCGCCTCAAGTCCACAGCGACATACGGGATATCCAGGTCTTCCGAACTCTCCTCTCTCGCCTCGGGGACCCTGAGCTCCTCGTCGACCTGGTGGTCCAGGCTGGCCGGCTTCTCCGGGTAATCCAGGGGCGCCCTTAGTTTCATTTGTGTGTGTTACTTTGTGTGGAATTGGTGGTGGTGGGTTGAGGGTGGGTTATACTCACGTCTGTGCCGTTGTAGCCGGGAGGTCCCTGGGGACAGATCACGGCGCAGGATTCGGGGCCCGCGCCTTGTCGTAAAGGTGGCTGCACGGGTCTTATTTCCTAGAAGAAACGCGACTTTAAGGAGGTTTTAGTTTGAATAAAATATAATACCGGGATTTCCTCGCAGGTTTCGCGTTCGGGTTTGGTGGGGTCGCAGCTCATCACCATCCATTGTAGATCAATCTAGAAAAAATGTACGTTTTTTTTTAATGTATTAGGTTTTTTATTAACTGCTTTCAAGTATTATTAGTTAAATACCAGAAATACTAATTATATATTAATTATTATTATTAAAGAAATAATTTGTCCTAGCCTAAATTTTTTCGGAATTTATCAAGGATCCAAATTGAAGCGTGACTGTAAGATATCTTAGAAACGCTGAAATCTGATTGGCCCAAGTAATTTTTAACGTAAATACCATAGTGGATAGTTTTGTTTAATGTAAATTCTTGCGTTCTTTATGTATATGTATATTTATAAATTGTGAAACAAATTAGCAATAAAAACTGACAAAAAGGCCATAACAAGTTTTTTTTTATTAAGTGACGTAATAAATGTAACTGTAGACATTTCTTGTGCATACAACTGCATATTTCGAAGAAATTTTGTGCATATAAATGCGCTTATTTTGACAAATATTTGTGCATATAAATCCGCACCTATTCTGTCAAAATGTAAATGGACTCACAACGAAAACTGAAACTGCTATGAAAATTACACCGTTTCTGGAAAAGACCGTGATACTACCACAAGTACTAAATCCAGAGGAGGAGATGTGCTAATTGCTGCCCTTTCTAGTGTTCATCTTATCAAATCACTCTTCCTGTAAATAATACCTGTGAAAATTTATTTGTTTCTGTGAGTATAGTTTCTGTTAAGTTAATTGTAGGTGGAGTATCCTGTTACGTTGATCGGTGACTTAAAAATCGGCGCGGGTAAAACCAATTTCTTAGTAACTGAAATTTACACGACTAATCATACAGCGATTATGTACATAATAATTCCGGCTGGAATGGATTTGACTAGACTCCACGTCTCCCATTGTCTGGACTTCACTGACCGCTGCCGATGGTGGTTCCTATTTAAACAGTCATGCGCTCCTTCCAGACTTTTCTTTAGCGAACGCCGTCCGGCCGCCGTCACCGACGATGAATCGCCCATTATCGCCGCACATACTAGAAAACCCATAGGCGTCGTTCCGGGGCGGCGTATGGGTTTATTTCGTAAATATAAGGATATGATAACTTTAGTTAAATCTTCTATTAAGCAAGATTATAAAAAAATATTACGTGTGAAGAAAATAACGTTAATTAAAATACCAAATAGTTTTTGGAATTATGCTAATACATAGTTCGAAGAAATCAGTCAGATATGTCCTTAAATATAGATAAATGTAAAATTATAACTTTCGTATGGATAATACATCCTCTTGAATATCAATATTCTATTGGTAACATCAGTCTTCAAAGAGTTGCAACCATTTCGGACCTAGGCATTATTTTGGATTCTCGACTTAAATATAATTTTCATATAGATGGTATCATAAAAAGAGCGTATAGATTAACTGGATTTATAAAAATGCAGTGTAAACATTTCAATAATGTAATGGTAATTATTAAATTATTTCATTCGTTGGTTAGGTCTATTCTTGAATATGGCTGCGTCATTTGGAATCCATATTACAGAAATAGAGTTGAGCGTATTGAAAAGATACACAGAAAGTTGGTTAATTTCATTTTATTTAAACTTAAAATTGACAAAAACAACCATTTTTACGACGATAGTTTTCAGTTGCTAGGATTGTAATCACTTAAGTTTCGTCAGAATAAATTCATGTTACTTTACGGTTGTAGGTTAGCGAAGAAAAATGTTGCTGTCCGGCGGGAATCGAACCACACCTTTCCCGCTTGCCGGCGAGTGCTCTGACCACTAGACTACAAAGCGGCTTATCTTTATTCGCTTACTACTACTTATTATTGTGTCACCACACAGTTATAAAATCTTGCATAACCACTTTGATTGTCCAATTTTAATTATTTTTTTTTTAACTTTCGAGTTCCTAATTATAACACTAAAGGGAATGATTTGTTTTCTAGTGAGCTTCAAATAACTAACTATGGATTTCACTCTCCTTCTATCAGAATTGCAAGACTAATTAGTGACCTACTTCTCTCCATCTATTGATATATTTAATTGTAATTTGAATATCTTTAGAAAAATATTATCCTATACCGGGTGTCTGGAAAATGGCCGAGAAAAATAGTAAAACAATTCTTTCTCACATTTTGATGGAGTTATAATGATTTAAAAATTGGTTCTTTTGCGACCTTTAACAACTAAACCACACATTCGTGATCAGTTATTACAATAACTAGTAATAAAACTTTTAGTTAGTTAGTCTCTCGCCCATGACCATGTTCAATTACCATTTCAGTTAGAATATACAAAAATATGGTTGTGTTGTTTTTGTTATAATTTGATAAAATTCCATTTGACAACAATATTTGCCTGCGAAAAGCGAAGGTACAAAACAGCAAAAATCGAGTAAGCAGTTAAAAATGTCTGCCCTATCAAAAATTGTCAACGTTTTCAAAACACTACTTTAAAATGTTCGCAGTTAATTTTATGTCCCCTGGTGTTTTATTTTCAGATAAATTTAAAGGATTATGGTGTTTTGTTGCTATAGATGAACTTGAAAAAATCTTTTAGTGTTTTACTTTTTACGAATTTGAAAAAATTTTGAGTGCCGCACTTTAGTGTTCTATTTTTGGAAAATTCCGATCTGACCTTAAACCCCGTTTTTTTTTTTGAAAAATTTAAAACAATCTTGAAGTTCTAGGTATTCCTATTTGGAAAGAATTTGAAAGCCTCTAGTGTCTTTTCTTATAATAATTTAATTAAATTTCTTACAGGATACGTCATTTGCCTAAATCATTTTTATCTTAGCAAGTACTAGCCCCGCCCACCCGCCCTCTCTTTTTTTAGAGAGTATCTCATTTGCCAAAATCAGTCTTATCTTGACACCTACTAGCCCCGCCCACCCACCCACCCTCTCTTTTCTTAGCGATTATGTCATATGCCAAAATCAGTCTTAACAGGTACTAGCCCCACCCACCCGCCTTCTCTTTTCTTAGAGGGTTTTTCATTTGCCAAAATCACTCTTATTTTATAGTAGAAATCTTTTGAAAACAGCACGTTGAATCATCGAAAGCTGCGCGGAAAAAATCGATCAGTGGCGTCGAGATTTTTGTTGTTTTAGGGGTCAATGAAAAATATGGTTGCGGACGTATTAATGTTGAAAATTGTAAAAAAAAAACGATTCCAGTAATCATTTACTTCACCTGCAAGTACAGTTGTTGAAATATTTCAGACCCTTATAAATTTCAATAAAATTCATAAATATAACCTCACTTTTAAAATGTGAGTTTTTGACAATCTATGCTATCATGCAATTCAAGATTTTCAGCAGATAATTAGCAATAACAGTGTTTATAGTGAGAGATAGATGAGTAAATGTGATAAAGAAGAATTTTACTTATGTTATGTTATGTATAAACTGGAAATATAGAATAATAATAATAAAACACTGTACACTGACAAAATTGAAAAGAGCAACGACAGGCACACCACTATAAAACAGCTGACTGTGACAGCTGAAAGCACCCCTCAAATTTGAAAGAGAACCGAACCAGAGTTGGTCGTCTGCACAACTTTATTGGTGTGGTGTTTTCAAATGATTTCTACTCTAGCGGGTACTAGCCCCGCCCACCAGCCCTCTCTTTCCTTAGAGGGTATATCATTTGCCAAAATCGATCTTATCTTAGCAGGTACTAGCCCCGCCCACCCACCCTCTCTTTTCTTAGAGATTATGTCATTTGCCCAAATCACTCTTAACAGGTACTAGCCCCACCCACCCGACTTCTCTTTTCTTAGAGGGTATTTCATTTGCCAAAATTACTCTTATTTTATAGTAGAAATCTTTCGAAAACGGCACGTTGAGTCATCGAAAGTTGCGCGGAAAAAATCGGTCAGTGGCGTCGAGACTTTTGTTCTTTTAGGGGTCAATGTTACGGACATATTAATGTTGAATATTGTAAAAAACAATAATATTCTAGTAATTATTTACTTCATCTGCAAGTACAGTTGTTAACTTGACATATTTCAGCACCTTATAAATATAACCTCACTTTTAAAATGTGAGTTTTTTACAATTTATGCTATCATGTAATTTAAGATTTTCAGCAGATAATTAGCAATAACAGTGTTTACAATGACAGATAGATGAGTAAATGTGATAAAGAAGAATTTTACTTATGTTATGTATAAACTGGAAATATAGAATAATAATAAAACACCGTACAGGACGAAATTAAAAACAGCAATGGCAGGCACACCACTGTAAACCAGCTGATTGTGACAGCTGACAGCACCCCTCAAATTTGAAAGTAGTCCGAACCAGAGTTGGTCGTCTGCACAACTTTATTGGTGTGATGTTTTCAAATGATTTCTACTCTAGCAGGTACTAGCCCCGCCCACCCACCCTCTCTTTCCTTAGCGGGTATGTCATTTGCCAAAATCGATCTTATCTTAGCAGGTATTAGCCCCGCCCACCCGCCCTCTATTCTTAGAAGGTATCTGATTTGCCAAAATCAGTCTTATCTTACCAAGCACTAACCCCGCCCCCCCCCCTATTTTCTCAGAGGATCTGTCATTTGCCAAAATCAGTTTTATCTTAGAAATCTTTTGAAAACAGCACGTTGGGTCATCGAAACTTGCGCACAGAAAATCGATCAGTGGCGTCGAGATTTTTGTTCTTTTAGGGGTCAATGAAAAATATTGTGACGGGCGTATTAATGTAGAAAATCGTAAAAAAAATATTCCAGTAATTTACTTCACCTGCAAGTACAGTTATTAACTTGAAATATTTCAGAACCTTATAAATTTCAATAAAATTTATAAATATAACCTCACTATTAAAATGTGAGGTTTTGACAATTTATGCTATCATGCAACTCAAGATTTTCAGCAGATAATTAGCAATAACAGTGTTTATAATGACAAATAGATGAGTAAATGTGATAAAGAAGAATTTTACTTATGTTATGTTATGTATAAACTGGAAATATAAAATAATAATAATAATAAAATACCCTACAGGACGAAATTGAAACTGTAAAACAGTTGACTGTCACAGTTGAAAGCACTCCTCAAATTTGAAAGTAGTCCGAACCAGAGTTAGTAGTCTGCACAACTTTATTGGTGCGGTGTGAAAACATCATTTAAAAAAATGATTTCTACTCTAGCAGGTACTAGCCCCGCCCACCTCTTTCCTTAACGGGTATGTCATTTGCCAAAATCGATCTTATCTTAGCAGGTATTAGCCCCGCCCACCCACCCTCTCTTTTCTTAGAAGGTATCTCATTTGCCAAAATCAGTCTTATCTTACCAAGTACTAGCCCCGCCCACCCGCCCCCTATTTTGTCAGAGGATATGTCATTTGCCAAATCAGTTTTATCTTAGCAACTAGGTACTCAGGACTAAATTTTACAAAAAATGATCAAAATTTGGAAACATTTCGAGCTTACTTTTTATTTTGTTAGTTTAGTTTATGTTTATAAGTGTATTATGAATTTTTTTTTTTTTTGGTTTATTTATTAATTAATTTTTCAGACACCTGTATATACAAAACTCACTTGACATACACCTTTTATGACTTAAATGGCTTAAGCAAAACCACCGTTATAAGTCAAACTGGCTATTGTAAGCTTTATGGATCCGAACCGCAAGGATTATTACTGTCCATTGTTGCCATAACGTAACTGTACAGTTTTACTAGGTATATGTGAACTGAGTTAAGTTATACAAGGTACAATTTGCATATTGTTTAAATTGGCTTAAGTTTTATTAACTATGCCTAAATTACTTTGTAAATTACCTATTTGGATTTTTCTGTCGGCAATTAAGTAACAATAAACAAAAAACAATAAAACTGCACATTTCGAAGAAATTTTGGCCATATAAATGCACTTATTTTGTTCAGTGGAGATTATGTGAACATTTTATTAAAATTTGGATGTTTAAAAACGACATGTGTAATGTTGGTTGCCTATACATATATTCCCACAAAATCATCAGTTTTTGAAAATAACTGTGCTAATTTTGTATTCTGGTCATTTTAATTGTAATTTTTATACTAAAAGAAGAGTGTTAGATAAAAAGTTGTATATTTAACTAGCACATAAGGCTATTAATTACACGGACGATTTATAAATTGGTCTTTGGTTTGTTTCTAAATCTCATCTTCGTGAATAATGAGCCGCATTATATGATGCGTAGCAAAAAAAACTTCAACTGAAATTAAAAAAAAAAGCCTCCCCGGCGGGGAATCGAACCCCGGTCTCCCGCGTGACAGGCGGGGATACTGACCACTATACTACCGAGGACTCATACCAACAACATTCGTTTACTGCTAGTTACGTTGTTATAACTCGTTATATATCAATTACAGTTCAACTATCGTATGCAAATCTACGGTTTATCATCGTTGTCCGCATTAATTCAAATGTAAATTCTTAAACATTACATATCTGTCAATTTATAATAAATACATAGACTCATTCAATACAATTAGTTCCTAAAAAAAATTAAAAAATAAGTTCAGGACCTCAGTTTGATCAAACTAAATTCACTTAATTCCGTGACATTATTATTAGTTTCAGAATTTATTTATGGCGCTCAAATATAAATATGATATGATCAGTAAAATAATCAATACCAGGAATAATAAACCCAACAATCAGAAACGGGCTTCCTAAAAACGCCTCTGATGATGATTAATCAAGATCAGAAATTACGTTTTAATTAAATCAGACCGGGACAGCGCGCACGCAGTCCCGACTACCAAAAATTGTGCGCCCGAGTTATCCGCATTAGGGATAATCGCAGGGGTCAGCCCGACCTTGGTGCAATGGAAGGGCCTCACCCTGGGGGAACCGCCTTGTTGATCACGGTAACCCCTACGCCAGGTAAGTATGCTTTGGCAAGCCCCCGTTCCTGTAGTCAATAACTCGCGTCGCTCTACTGTCCGTAAGCACAACACTAGGGAGACCTCTAGGAAGCCACACTAGAACCACGTCCACGAGATCAAGACTGACAAACAATGCGACCCGAAACCAAATTACTAGCAATTTTAAGATAAGCAGATTATGATAGCGTCTTAAGTTGCTACTAAGTCATTTCCTTGATTAGCTTGATTAGTAGAAAATCGTAACAATGTGACGACTTACCGGAGTAGTGTGCTGCGACAATAAAAAACAAAAACAAACGTTAGTTCGGGTGTATATACATGTAGAGTGCGGAAATGCGCTTTTTTCGCAACTCACCGGGACAGTTTGTCTGGAATTGGCCAATTTCGCGACTGAAATCTCCCCGTTAATGTCGATGGGTCCTCTGAGCTCCAGCAACTCGCGTGCGTTCTCCTCACAATCCAGATACAAAATGACCCTCTCTCGGGACACCCCGAAGTGGATTTTGTGCCAATTCTTGTCAAAAATCTGCAAAAAAACGCGAAAAAGTTAGCGATCCTGCCAGGATTCGAACCTGGAATCTTCTGATCCGTTGTCAGACGCGTTATCCGTTGCGCCACAGGACCTTGCTACAACTAGCTCGATTTCGAAAAAAAGTGAAAATTGCCAAAACTCTTTCATGAATTGAAACATCTGGAGTTGACGCATGTCCCAACAATTACGCAATAATACTTTAAACAGATCTAATGACGATTCCAGGCATGCAAGCATAATAAGTGTGACTCAATGACATACATTGGTGCTGTTGAAAACGATTGTTTGGAGCTCTCCTTCATAGTTTGAGATGGAAAATTCAATTGTGCCATTTCTGGGATTCAAGGAAATGATGAATTGAGGTTTAGATTCCAAGTCCGTGATCCGAATGATGTGCCAGGCGGTTTTGGGGACACGGCGGGCGCGGAATGTGGAAATAAATGAGAACTGCTCGGGTAAACCTTGGGGGAAAATATCTCTGAAAAAATAAAAATAGCGCGTTGTACTCATCATACAATAGAGGCGGCCAATGTATCAAGCCCGGCTAGCTCAGTCGGTAGAGCATGAGACTCTTAATCTCAGGGTCGTGGGTTCGAGCCCCACGTTGGGCGCACTTTTTTTTTCTTTTTTTTTTGTAATGAATTGATTTACCTTGTGGGAAGGGTTAAATCGGCGTCTTTATCTAATCTATAGGCAGTCTGTAGGCGACTGGAACCTCTCACTTTACTGATTCCTGGGTGTGTAGTTTCGACGATATCCAATCGATACAGTCTTATAAAATCAAAAGCTTGTAAATCATCGTCTCCTATCTTAAAGTTGGCACAAGGAGCGCTCACTTCTTCTTCATAGATGTTGAGTTCTGGAAAACGCAACTTATTCATTCTTCAGCGACATTAATGAGGTGAATTAAATAGCGAGTTGCGGCTATAAATAGTAGAAATTTTAATTCGAGTTCATTATGAAGTTAAATATTTTCGCGTTGAAGATTGGACAACGAAGATGTAGGTAATATTTATTGTGTCAATTTAGCTGATTTAGATTCTAGTCTGCCGGGGCAGCGTACAATCGAATCAATACAGATAAAGTTGTCCTTAATGGGTCACCACACGGCCCACCAAAACACAAAAGAACAACGCAACTCACTGATACCATAAATCAGTCGTTTCGAAATAAGGTGACTATTGTTTGAAACAAAAAGCGGGTTCTTAACTTACGGCCTTCTACGGTTTCCAAGATAACGAGAAGTGTGATTCGGATAAATATGAGCCATCTGGAAAAAACAAGGTTGTTAAAATCGGGATCAGGCAAACACTTGCGATTTACATTTTTTTTATATACTGTTCAACTTCTGATTAAACGCATCTTTTGTGGGGTTTGATATCTCAACTTATTAACTTCAAACACCCGATTTCCATTACCACGATGAATCAACAGGTAGATCATTAAAACGTGGATCTGTGCCGTTTTCGACAGTTTAGCTCAGAATCGTGATTTAAATTTTGTTAATCACGTCATCAAGAATGTGGCAATTTGCTTATTTGTCTCATAAAGATTCAATTTATTGCGTATCATTTGGTCACGTTATTAACGTTATTTATGGAATCCATAAAATGTGACAAAATTTGCTACTCAATAACAAATGTATACAAGCTAATAAAATTTTTTATAGGATTAATTATTTGTGGTTTCATTTTTAACTACTTTATCGCCATATTTTATCTTACGTCATCTTCTTTTGCTGTTAAAACAACGGATTTTTTATGTGTTTAATGTGTAATTTAAATTTGGCAAAAATACACACCGAACTAAAGTTGTAGACTAACAATTACAAAAAATGTTTAACGGTGCATGCTTGACATCAGAACCCATTTAAGTTTATAAATACTTAAATTGTTTGAGCTAAACACAGTTTTTTAGAGAATATTTTATAAATTATACTTATCTATATAGTTTAGTTATTCCTTAAACAACTTTCCATTTAAAAAGATTGGGTTAACGTAATTTTTTCCTAAGCCGAAACTTTAAAATAACTTGAACTACCATCGATTTTTCTTATTGTGTAGCATACATCTATGTCAAAAAATTGTTTTTCGTTTTTTCAATTTTACGATTTCGGAAATTATCGATTTTCAGTGTAACCAGTTTTTCGATTCTTGAATTTTTCCTATTTTTCATTTTCCAATTTTCGATTTGCGATTTTTCGTTTCTTGCTTTTATTTTCGATTTTTCAGTTTTTTTTCTTCAAATATTTGATCTTCAATTTTTTAATGCGATTCCGATTTTTTCATTTTGTCAATTTTACAATTTCGGAATTTATCGATTTTTCAATTATTAAATTGTGTTATTTTTTTATTTTTTAGATTTAGATTTTTCAGTTTCTCAATTTTTAATTTTCAATTCTTCGATGTTTCAGTTTTACAGTTTTTCGATTCTTGAATTTTTCCTAGTTTCAATATTACAATTTTTCGATTCTTCATTTTTTTTTAATATCATTTCTATTTTTTCATTTTTCGATTTTACGATTTCCCAATATTTCCATGTACTTTTCAAATTCTTCATTTTATTAAATGTTTGTTTCAATGTTAGTTTCCCGATTTTTCAATTTCGTGATGTTTCATTTCTCGATTTTTGATATTTTGATTTTTCAATTTTTCAGTTATTACGTAATTTAGTTTTTTGTTTTTCCAGTGTTTCTATTCCATTTTTCAATTTTTTCTTCAATTTTAAATAAAATTTTGAGTTCTAAATTTTTTCGATTTTTTTATCTCGAATTTTGAATTTTTTAATGCGATTTCGATTTTTAAAGTTTTTCGGTTTTACGATTTCGGAATTTATCGATTTTTCAATTATTATATATTTTTTTAAATATTTTATTTTTTCGATTTCGATTTTTCAAGATTTCGAGTTCATTTTTCAGTTTCTCGATTTTTAAGTTTCAATTTTTCAATGTTTCAGTATTAATTTCTCGAGTCTTGAATTTTTCCTAGTTTATCAATTTTACATTATTTTGATTTTTCAATTTTTTGTTTCTTCAGTTTTTTTTTAATATCATATCTATTTTTTCATTTTTTATTTTTCAATGTTTGCAATGTTTCGTTTCTCGCTTTTTAATTTTCCGATTCTTCAATTTTTTTTTTTTAAATACATATTAGATTTTCAATTTTAAATAAAATTTTGATTTTGAAATGTTTTCGATTTATTACTTTCAATTTTGAATTTTTTAATACGATTTCGATTTTTTAATTTTCCATTTTTCAATTTTACGATTTCCCAATTTTTCGATTACTAGATTTTTTAATTTTTCACCCTTTAGATTGTTTAAGTTTTCGATTTATTTTTAAATTTTCAATTTTTGATTGTTCAATGTTACAGTTTTTCGATTTTTCAGTTATACAACTTTTAATTTCTACATTTTTAATTTTTAGACTTTCAAACTTTTCGATATTCCGATTTAATTTTTTTTTCATTTTTCGGTTTTGTTATTTTTCGAATTTTCAGTTTCTAGATTTTTCAATTTTCCGATTCTTCAACTGTGGGACTTTTCAGTGTTGCGATTTTACAATTTTTCAATCTTTCAATTTTAAAATTTTTCGATTTTTCATTATTTCGATTTTACACTTTTTTGTTTTTTCACTTTTCAGATTTTTGAATTATATAATTTTGCAAATTTTCGATTTCTCAGTCATCCGACTATTGATTTTCGCGAGTTCTGGGTTTTCAATTTTCTGACTTTCAGTTTTTCAATAATTTTTCAAGTTTTTGATATTTCAAGTTTTAGATTTTTCAATTTTACATTTATGCAGTTTTTCTAAATTTCCAAGTTTTCGATCTTTAATTATGCGTTTCCCAATATTTCAATGTATTTTTCAAATTCTTCATTTTTAATTTTTCAATTTTTCGATGTTACAATTAATAAAACACGATTTCCTAATTTTTCGATTACTAGGTTTTTTAATTTTTTCACCCTCTAGATTGTTTAAGTTTTCGATTTATTTTCAAATTCTCGATTTTTAATTTTTAAATTTTTAATTGTTCAATGTTAGTTTTTCGATTTTTCAGTTTTGCAATATTTAATTTTTGCATTTTGAATTTTTCGCCTCTCATGGTTTTGGATCTTCCAATTTATTTTTTTTTTTAATTTTTAGTTTGCTATTTTTAGAATTTTTAATTTCTAGATTTTCAATTTTCCGATAACTGTGAAACCTTTCATTGTTGCGATTTTACAATTTTTCAGTCAATTTTTTAATTTTCAGATTTTTCGATTATACAATTTTCCAATTTTTTTATTTCTCAATCATCCGACTGTTCACTTTGGCGATTTTTGATTTTTCAATTTTCTGATTTTTAGTTTTTCAATCATTTTTCAAGTTTTCGATTTTACAATTTTGCAATTTTTCGATTTTTCAATTTTACAATCACGCAGTTTTTCTAAACTTCCAAATTATCAGGTTTTCCATCTTTAATTTTTCATCTCCACATATTTCGATGTATTTTTCAAATTCTTCATCTTTAATTTTTCAATTTTTCGATGTTGAAAAATCAACAATTTATAAATTCGAAAAATTGAAAAATATAAATATCGAAGAATTGAAAAAAATTGAAAATTTTGATTTTTACTTCCCGAGCGTAAGCAAAGGAAGTATTGTAATCGAGTCCGTCGGCCGACTCTCTACTTTTACGTTTTCTCGATCTTTCATGACCCCTAGAAGACGAAGAAATAGGTCTCCCATTTCCGTCTGTCTGTCCGTCTGTCCGTCTGTCCGTCTGTCCGTCTGTCCGTCTGTCCGTCTGTTGTCACGGATTTTTATTAGACAGATAATCTCCGAAAGTACTCGACCGATTGTTGTGAAATTTTGTACTTATATTAAGAATATCATGTAGATGGTAAAACGCTAACCAAAATTTGTCGAATCATCCCCACCACTAAAGCGATGACGTCACTTCAAAATTGTACATAGTAAATGGGTTTTCAATTGTATAAAATAACATAGTCCTACACATGTAGTTTACAACTCTGAATCGACTTTTCACCCGAAACGTCCAGATTTTTGGAAAAAAAATCAAAATTATAAAACAACATTTTGAAATTTAATTTTTAATCTGCTAACCAGAATGCTTTGAAATGTTGCAGATGTTTTAAGGCTATAAAGAGCATCATAAATCTTTAGTCAAAAAATATTTGCTTATCCCCTCCAAAAACTTGATGACGTCAGCTCAAAAGTTTGTGGAATAAATCATATCTAAAATGTACAAAATATGATGAGTCTGTACTTGTGAACTATCACTCCATTAATATTTTTTGGATTTGCATATACAGGGTGACTCAAAAAAATTAATGAATGCGTAAATATATTTTATTGATTTAATCAGGAACTACAAAACCGAATGCTCTGAAATCTTGCAGATGTTTTAAGGTCATAAAGAGCATAATAAATGTTTAGTCAAAATATATGTGCTTATCCCCTCCAAAAACTTGATGACGTCAGCTCGAAAGTTTGCCGAATAAATCATATCTAAAATGTACAAAATATGATGAGCCTGTACTTGTCATTTATCACTCCATTCATATTTTTTGGATTTGCATATACAGAGTGACTCAAAAAAATTAATGAATGCGTAAATTTATTTTATTGATTTAATCAGGAACTACAAAACCGAATGCTTTGAAATCTTGCAGATGTTTTAAGGTTATAAAGAGCATAATAAATTTTTAGTCAAAATATATTTGGTTATCTTCTACAAAAAACTGATGACGTCAGCTCAAAAGTTTTCCGAATAAATCGTATCTAAAATGTACAAAATATGATGAGTCTGTACTTGTGATTTATCATTCCATTCATATTTTTGGATTTGCATATGCAGGGTGACTCAAAAAAATTAATGAAGGCGTGAATTTATTTTATCGATTTAATCAGGAATTACAAAACCGAATGCTTTGAAATCTTGGGAATATTTTAAAGTTATTATAAGCATGGTAAACTTTTGTTCAAAATGTATTTGTTCATCCCTCCTAAAAAAATTGATGACGTCACCCTTAAATTTTGCTGAATAAATCCTATCTAAAATGCAAAAAATATTATGAGTTTGTACTTGTGATTTATCATTCCATTCATATTTTTTAGATTTTCTTAAGAGGTGGTTCAAAAAAATTAATGAAGTCAATTTATTTTATTGATTAAATTAAAGGCAACACTTATTATTAGTATTACACCCCAACCAACCCAATTTGGTAGACACAAAATTTGTTAAAGGAAAAACTCCGTTGAAACATAAGGGTAGCACGCTTATTTACATCGACTTTAACATTACAGACCTGCATTTGTTTTATGCGTTCACTTGATTCCGCGAATGTGAAATAGACATGTTTATAATCAACCAATTGTGAATTTCACCGTCAAGAATTAAAATAAAACCCAATGTTTTATATAATAAGCGGAAGTCGAAGCAATAAAACCGACGGTCGTTTTGTTTACAGTTTCTCTGTTTGGCTCTCACGTATGCTGTTACGCCTGTCATCTTAAATTAAGAATGTTTATACATACACGATTTTCAGTTGCCTCTGATACGTAAGTATACGTGAGTAAATTGTTTCGTTATTTTATTGATTATTACAAATCAATATTCAAACGACCCAATTCATTTTCCCGAAAATTTGAGAATATAATAATTTTATTCTTAGTATTACACTACATCTATCCCAACTGATATACGTGTCCTTGCAAAAATGTTGATGACGTCATCGCAATTTTTTTTTAAATTCCCACTACAAAAATGTAATGAGAAAAAAAACACAATGGGCATGCAGTCGTCAAGTTTCCGACAGCGAGGGAAGTACTGTCTAAACTCTTTAGACCAATTTTTTTTAATGCGATTTCGATTTTTCATTTTTCATATTTCAACTTTACGATTGCCCAATTTTTCGATTACTGATTTTTTTTAATTTTTCACGTTTTATATTTTTCAAGTTTTCGATTTATTTGTCAAAATCTCAAATTTTAATTTTTAAGTTTTTGATTGTTCAACGTTACAGTTTATCGATTTTTCAATTTTGCAATTTTTTGTTTCTCCATTTTTAATTTTTCGATTTTCAAAGTTTTCAATCTTTTAGTATTATTTTTTTATTTTTCAGTTTTGCTATTTTTCGAATTTTCATTTTCTAGATTTTTCAGTTTTCCGATTCTTCAACTGTGAGACTTTTCAGTGTTGCGATTTTACAATTTTTCAGTCTTCTAATTTTAAAATTTTTCGATTCCGCAATTTCACGATTTTTTGTTTTTAGATGTTTCAATTTTTAAATATTTCGATTTTTCAATTAAACAATTTTGCAATTTTTTGATTTCTCCATCACCCGACTGTTTTTCACTTTTCAAGTTTCGATTTTACAATTTTGCAATTTTTCGATTTTTCATTTTTTATATTTTTCAATTATGCAAGTACCTCGATCTTTAATTTTTCATTTTCCAATGTTTCGATGTATTTTTCAAATTCTTCACTTTTAGTTTTTCAATTTTTCGATGCTACAATGTTAGTTTCTCTATTTTCCAATGTCGTGACTTTTCATTTCTTGATTTTTGATATTTCGATTTTTCAATTTTTCAATTTTTAGTTAATTCAGTTTTTTGTTTTTCCAATGTTTCCATTTTTCAATTTTTGCGATTTTTCGTTTCTTGTTCTTTAATTTACCACTTTTTCAATTTTTTGTTTCTTCAAATATTTGATCTTCAATTTCAAATAAACTTTTGAATATTAAATTTTTTCGATTTTTTATTTAAACTTTTTTAACTTCACAATTTCCCAATTTTTCGATTACTAATTTTTTAATTCTTCACGTTTTAGATTTTTCAAGTTTCCGATTTATTTTTCAAAATTTCAAATTTTAATTTTTAAATTTTTGATAAACGTTACAGTTTATCGATTTTTCAATTTTGCAATTTTTTGTTTCTCCATTTTTAATGTTTCGATTTTCACAGTTTTCAATCTTTTAATATTATTTTTTTATTTTTCAGTTTTGCTATTTTTCGAATTTTCATTTTCTAGATTTTTCAGTTTTCCGATTCTTCAACTGTGAGACTTTTCAGTGTTGCGATTTTACAATTTTTCAGTCTTCTAATTTTAAAATTTTTCAATTCCGCAATTTTACGATTTTTTATTTTTAGATGTTTCAATTTTTAAATATTTCGATTTTTCAATTAAACAATTTTGCAATTTTTTGATTTTTCATTTTTTATATTTTCCAATTTTTCAAGTACCTCGATCTTTAATTTTTCATTTCCCAATATTTCGATCTATTTTTCAAATTCTTCACTTTTAGTTTTTCAATTTTTCGATGCTACAATGTTAGTTTCTCTATTTATCAATGTCGTGACTTTTCATTTCTCGATTTTTAATATTTCGATTTTTCAATTTTTCAATTTTTAGTTAATTCAGTTTTTTGTTTTTCCAATGTTTCCATTTTTCAATTTTTGCGATTTTTCGTTTCTTGTTCTTTAATTTACCGGTTTTTCAATTTTTTGTTTCTTCAAATATTTGATCTTCAATTTCAAATAAACTTTTGAATATTAAATTTTTTCGATTTTTTATTTAAACTTTTTTAACTTCACAATTTCCCAATTTTTCGATTACTAATTTTTTAATTTTTCACGTTCTAGATTTTTCAAGTTTTCGATTTATTTATCAAAATCTCAAATTTTAATTTTTAAATTTTTGATTGTTCAACGTTACACTTTATCGATTTTTAAATTTTGCAATTTTTTGTTAGCCCATTTTAAATTTTTCGATTTTCAAAGTTTTCGATCTTTTAATATTATTTTTTTATGTTTCAGTTTTGCTATTTTTCGAATTTCCACTTTCTAGATTTTTCAGTTTTCCTAAATATTCTTCAACTGAGAAACTTTTCAGTGTTGCGATTTTATTTTGGTGAAATCGTTGCAGACGAAACAGCAAGTCTAACACCACATAATTTTCTCAATTTTTCTTCATTTCTCTTAATTATTACTTATTATATCGAAATGGAGGCGGGGTGGGTGGGCGCGATTAATTATATGTTTTTCTGTAGAATAGAAGTGGGGCGGTTAAAAAAGAAAAAATGTCTAACCGTAATTTTTTGTTATACTATTTACTATAATTAAGATTTATTCTTTATTTTAGAAGAAAAATGAGAGAACGGGTGGGTGGGCGGAGCTAAATTTACTTTTTTCCTGCTCCGCCCATTCACATCCTCTTCATTCTAGTGCCTACTCTTAATATTGTTCAGTCTTACCTTAGCAGGTACATTATTTCGATTTTACAAATCAAAAAATTTAAAAATTGGAGAAACGAAAAACTGAAATTTACAAGAAATTTTTGCTAAAGTTGTACAATTCATTGGGCATCATGCATTAAAATTATTTTCAATTGTACAGAGTGTTCTGTTTAATAAAAGTAAAGGGAAGCGTATTCACTTGGCAAAATATTGAGATGACGTCATCTAAATTTTGCTAGACATGAACGAGCTATTTTGGTTTGCGCTGTACCCTCTATACGAAGTTCTTAAAATACGTAGATGGAAATGGAAGACCTACTATTTTAACAGTAAGACACTACGTATTTTCTCAGATACGTATCAATAAATAAATAATAACAAGCGTACATATAATTTAAACACAATTAGTTTTTTTTATTCAACTGAACAAAATTAAATAATGGTTTTTTACAAAATGTGTTTCTAAATTAATGCGACATTTTAAAGTCAAAATGTTGCCAACTTATTATTCATTCGTGAGCTACTGCTTAATAAATTAATGATTTATTTTGCTTCCTTGTAGAGAACAAAATGTCAGACTAAATAAATGATTAGTATTAGAATATGTTGTTGTTAACAAATTAGTACCAATGTCATAATTTACATCTAAATTTTGCTAAAATATGCACACATTTTCGAAAAAACTAACAACTTATATAATCTTCCTCGATTTAAAATGTAACACCGCCTACCCGATTTTCAGTTCTGAGATAACTGAAAAGGAATTATCATAAAGTTACCTCTGCTACTGCAAAGGACGTGGGAGTAAAGAATTTTGTAAAAGGATTTTGTTAGATCATTTTATAGAGAAGAGAGAATTTCATTGTCTCCGGCAATCCCACAGAAACCGTTCATTTATCCCAAATTTACGAGCTTATTATTTAAAAAAGGCACTTTTATTTCCACGTTAACTTACTTTAAAGCGTCACTGCATCAACATACATGAATAAAATTGAAAAAGCCAAACGAACATCTGTAACACCAAGAGCGCGCTAAATATTTGCATTCCTCGATTAAAGTCAATTTAAATTTGCGTAAACATCGAAATAGCGCTACTTTTAATTGTACCTAATTAAATTATTTCTAAACATTGACGTTCGGTCACAGCGGAACCAAACACGTCACTTTATTACTAATCATTATCAATTTATCAGCGCATTGATGTTTCCTTTTATCATTTTTAATTGCTAAGTCATAGACGCAACAGGCAATAAAGAAAAATTGGATCAATAAGCAGAAACGATATTTCTTTTCATATATGGGTCAACATCATATCCATCAATATCTTTTAAATTTGTTAAAAAATTACCTGCCGAGTTGGCTCAACATTGTCATTTTTCTTAATTTTCACCCACAGAGGTCCACAAACCACCACAAAAACACATTTCAAATAAAAAAAGAACTTTTATTTCTGGACACCGTAAAGCTGTGACGGTGCACTCGAAGTCGTCCGCTTGAAACACTGGTCTGCGAAGGACTAATCTCAGAATCGTACTCTCAACATCACCATGATTAAATTATTGCAAAAATTTCAGTCATGTTTATTCCAGATGGATCTCGCTGTAGCCACAATACAACTCACCTTAAATATCTTACACTAAAAACTGGACAAAAACTAGTGATCATCCTCGATTTCGCTGAGGGTCTCCTCCAAACTCTAAATTTCGAATCGTTAACAACTAATCATGATCGAACGACAACAAACCTTGATTAAACTGTAAAAATTGTCTTTGTGTATGCTAATACAGGCCGAAATTGTGTCGTACAGCACCTCCAGATGCGCCAGAGGCATGTCTTTGGCCGTCCTCAGCACAGTGCGTCGCCACAAATTAAAAATTTTTTGTTTATCCGCATCTACAAAAACACTTTATTTTCACCCGTCATGTACTTCATATTCGATCAACCCTCAGAGTCCTCGTATTCCCGCACAAGGGCGAGATTCCTGTGGCTGCTGCTGCGCTCGTTCGGGGATTTCCTTCTGGAAATGTAGCGAATGCTCCTCTGCAGCAATTCCGTGAGGATCAGCGATAAACGTTTCTTTTTTTCGGTGCTTCCGCACAGGGTGCACAGGCTCTCAGCTCCGCATCCCAGCAATTCCGTGTCGAACCGTTTCGAGGATGAGTGGCTCAGAATGTCTGAAAGTTGGTTCGATACTAGGCCGAATGCGGGAAAAATGTTCACCTTTGTTGGGGGCGAGCTTGAGAGGTCTCTTGATTGCCAAGTTGGAGCGGGATTTCGTGATTTTTCCCGACGGCTTTAATTTGTATACTTTAGAAGTGGCGTATTTTGAAGATCTCGTGTTTTTACTTGATGAATCCAAAGTTTCGCACGCTTTCTTTGCGGGGGTTCGCTTATGGGCTAATAAAGCTGAGTTCAGGCTGTTTGAGGAGTCCCCGAAGAACAGCGGCACGAAAAAATCCTCCACTTCGGTCTCGGTGGGGTTCTCGATGTTGATGACGAGGCTTGTGTTGTTGTAAAAGAAGTTCTGCAACTGGCGTTTTAGTGTTAGGTGGGAACTAAGTGGCACATTTAAATTTACAAAAAAGCGGACAAAATTTTGAGTTGGATTTTTTGCACTAAGAAATCTTTACTAACTGGTATACCAGAAACCATGATGGGAGTACGACCACGACACAACCTTATCTTTACGGGTGACAACGAACCTGCATTTAACAACACCGCTGTAGTTATTTACTTCCCACATTAAAAAAAAAACAATAAATTCGGCATAAATGTCAAAGCTTATTATTTATTTTATCCTTTTTTACCAAGATGTCGTCAATTTTTTGTAGAGACAAATTTGTTAATTTTGACACATAACGGTTCCCAAATTTCAGAGAAATTGCATGAGTCATTTCTGAAAACAAAGATAAAAAAACTGGTCGAAAGTTATGTCGACAGAACTTGCCTCGCTTCTGAAGTACTAAAATTTGATTTTACGAAATTTTATATTTTCGTGATAACCTCTATGGAGTAAAAACAATTAAATATACATAGAAGATACTAGTCACACTTCTTAAAAAAAGACAGTTGGGAACACCGAGAAGATTTAATATTCTTAAAAAAAGACAGTTGGGATCCCCGAAAAGGTTTCACAGTGCAGTTACGCCGGAATTATTTTGTACTTAATCGCTCTGTAATTAGTCGTGTAAATTCGAGTTATTAAGAAATTAATTTGTGTTTTACCGACGCCGATTTTATTCAACCTAACAGTATTTTGTGAAACGAAAATTAATAATAATTTTCTTTTTTGTCTACAAAATTTTTATAATGAGCTATTTTGTAAAAATTGATGTATTTCAATTAGCGATTTTGGAAACGCGGTAGGAATTTCCTAACAAACCAGGCGGAAAATCCCTAGGACTAGTTTTCAAAAATAGTTGAAAAATGGTCGAAAATGTCAAAAGTGGCAAAATCCTTATCTTATAAAATACTAGCCCCGCCCACCCGCCCTCTATTTTCTGGAAGGTATGTTTTTTGCCAAAATCAGTCTTATCGTGGCAAGTACTAGCCCCGCCCACCCACCCTGTCTTCTTTTTAGTGATTGATTTTATGCGATCTGAATGAACTGAATAGAAATAAAATTAGTCGTTAGAATGAGAAGAGTGGAGTGAGAGCTAGTACTTGTTAAGATAAGACTGATTTTGGCAAATGACATACCTTCCAAGAAAATAGAGGGCGGGTGGGCGGGGCTAGTATTTGATAAGATAAGACTAATTTTGGCAAATGACTTTCTTTCCAAGAAAATAGAGGGCGGGTGGGCGGGGACCCTTGGGACCTCAGAGAAAGTTTTACATTTACAAAAAGGTATTTAGGGCCCCCGGAACGTGTTACATTTTTAAAAAAGATAATTGGGACCCCCGAGAAGGTTTCACATCCTTAATCAAGACATTTGGCGCCCCAGAAAGTTTTATATTTTTAAAAAGACAGTTGGGAGCCCCGAGAAGTTTTCGCATTCTTAAAAAAAGACATTTTCCGCCCCGGAGAAGGTTTTACATTTTTAAAAAAGACAATTGGGACCCCTGAGAAGGTTTCACATTCTTAAAAAGACATTACGCGCCCCCGAGAAGATTTTACATTTTCAAGAAAGACCGTTGGGATCCCCAAGATGGTTTCACATAAAAAAAATTAGACATTTGGGGCCACCGGGAAGGTTTTATATTTTTAAAAAAGACCCTTGGGGCCCCAGAGAAGGTTTCACATAAAAAAAGACATTTGGGGCCCCCGAGAACGTTTTACATTTTAAAAAAAGACAATTGGGACCCCCCAGAAGGTTGCACTTTCTTAAATAAGATATTTGGCGCCCCCGAGAAGGTTTTATATTTTCAAAAAGACCGTTGGGACCCCCAAGAAGGTTTCACATTAAAAAAATAGACATTTGGGGCCCCCGAGAAGGTTTTACATTTTTAAAAAAGACCGTTGGGACCCCTGAGATGTTTTACAGTCTAAAAAAAAGACATTTGGCGCTCCCGAGAACATTTTAGATTTTCAAAAAAGATCGTTGGGACCCAGAGGTTTCACATTAAAAAAAGACATTTGGGACCCCAAGAAGGTTTCAGTTTAAAAAAACAGACATTTGAGGCCCTCGGGAAGGTTTTACATTTTTAAAAAATACCGTTGGGACCTCTGAAAATGTTTCACATTCTAAAAAAAGACATTTGGCGACCTCGAGAAGATTTTACATTTTTAAAAAGACCCTTGGGACCCCAGAGAAGGTTTCACATAAAAAAAGACATTTGGGGCCCCCTAGAAAGTTTTACATTAAAAAACCAGACATTTGGGGCCCCCGGGAAGGTTTTACATTTTTAAAAAAGACCGTTGGGACCTCTGAAAATGTTTTACATTCTAAAAAAAGACATTTGGCGTCCCCGAGAAGATTTTACAATTTTAGAAAGACCCTTGGGACCCCAGAGAAGGTTTCATATAAAAAATGACATTTGGGGCCCTCGAGAACGTTTTACATTTTTAAAAAAGACAATTTGGACCCCCGAGAAGGTTTCACACTCTTAAATAAGACATTTGACGCCCCCGAGAAGGTTTTATATTTTCAAAAAAGATCGTTGGGACCCCCAAGAAGGTTTCACATAAAAAAAGACATTTGGGGCCTCCGAGAAAATTTTACATTAAAAAAACATACATTTGGGGCCCCCGGGAAGGTTTTACATTTTTAAAAAAGACCGTTGGGACCTCTGAAAATGTTTCACATTCTAAAAGACATTTGGCGTCCCCGAGATTTTATATTTTTAAAAAGACCCTTGGGACCCCTGAGAAGGTTTCACATAAAAAAAGACATTTGGGCCCACCGAGAACGTTTTACATTTTTAAAAAAGATAATTGTGACCCCCGAGAAGGTTTCACATTCTTAAATAAGACATTTGGCGCCCCCGAGAAAGTTTTATATTTTCAAAAAGACCGTTGTGACCCCCAAGAAGGTTTCACATTAAAAAAATAGACATTTGGGGCCCCCGAGAAGGTTTTACATTTTTAAAAAAGACCGTTGGGACCCCTGAGATGGATTCACATTCTTAAAAAAAGACATTTGGCACCCCCGAGAAGATTTTAGATTTTCAAAAAAGATCGTTGGGACCCAGAGGTTTCACATTAAAAAAAGACATTTTGGACCCTAAGAAGGTTTCCCATTAAAAAAACAGACATTTGGGGTCCCCGGGAAGGTTTCACAATTTTAAAAAGACCGTTGGGAGCTCTGAAAATGTTTCACATTCTACAAAAAAAGACATTTGGCGTCCTCGAGAAGATTTTACATTTTTAAAAAGACCCTTGGGACCCCAGAGAAGGTTTCACATAAAAAAAGACATTTGGGGCCCCCGAGAACGTTTTACATTTTTAAAAAAGACAATTGAGACCCCCGACAAGGTTTCACATTCTTAAATAAGACATTTGGCGCCCCCGAGAAGGTTTTGTATTTTCAAAAAAGACCGTTGGGACCCCCAAGAAAGTTTCACATAAAAAAAGACATTTGGGGCCCCCGAGAAGGTTTTACATTAAAAAAACAGACATTTGGGGCCCCGGAAAGGTTTTACATTTTTAAAAAAGACCGTTGGGACCTCTGAAAATGTTTCACATTATAAAAAAAAGACATTTGGCGTCCCCGAGAAGATTTTACATTTTTAAAAAGACCCTTGAAACCCCAGAGAAGGTTTCACATAAACAAAAGATATTTGGGGCCCCGAGAACATTTTACATTTTTAAAAACGACAATTGGGACCCCCGCGAAGGTTTCACATTCTTAAGTAAGACGTTTCGTGCCCCCGAGAAGGTTTTATATTTTTAAAAAGACAGTTGGGACCACCGACAAGTTTTAGCATTCTTAAATAAGACATTTGACGCCCCCGAGAACGTTTTAAATATTTCTAAAATAGACAATTAGGATCCCCGAGAAGGTTTCACATTAAAAAAAGGTATTTGGGGCCCCCGAGGGGGTTTTGCATTTTTAAATAAAGAGGGGCGTATTCTCACCTTTCCAGAAAGTGGGGTAATTTCATCAATAAAACACTACACAATGCGAGAGAAAAACAGAAAAAAAAAATAGGTCGATAGTTGTTTCGACAGAACTTCCCTCGCTCCTGAAGTAAATACAATGAAATATATCCAGCATTTTCGAGGTGAGTTTTTTCTTTACACAATTTTGTGAAGATAAACCACAAGTAAAAACTCATTTCGGGTAGAATGGGTAGATTTAGGAATTTAATTCGTTACTATGGAAATTTAACAAACCTTTACAAGATCAAAACCAGTTTTATCTTACCAAGTACTACCGCCGCCCACCCGCCCCCTAAGTTCTCAGAAAATATGCCATTTGCCAAAATAAGACTTATGTTAGCAAGTACTAGCCCCGCCCACCCGCCCTCTATTTTCTCAGATAAGTCTTATTTTGGCAAATGACATATCCTCTGAGAACACAGGGGGCGGCTGGGCGGGGTTAGTACTTGGTAAGGTAAGACTGATTTTGGCAAATGACATACTTTCTAAGAAAACAAAAGGCGCGTGGGCGGGGCTAGTACTTGCTAAGATAAGACTGATTTTGGCAAATACTATACCCTCTGAGAAAATAGAGGGTGGGTGGGCGGGGCTAGTAGTTGCAAAGGTAAGACTTAATGATAAATCACATCTAAAAACTCATCATATTTTGGACATTCTGGGTAGAATTTATTCGGCAAAATTTTGAGATGACGTCATCAATTTTTTGGGGTTGATAAACAGGTACATTTTGATCAATAATTTCCTATGCTTATGATAACTTTAAAACATCTTCAAGAGTTCAAAACATTAGGTATTGTGGTTCCTGATTAAATCAATAAAATAAATTCACGCATTTATTAATTTTTTGCGCCACCCTGTATATGCAAATCCAAAAAAATATGAAAGGAATGATAAATTACCAGGACCAGACTCATCATATTTTGTACAATTTAGATAGGATTTATTCGGTAAAATTTTGAGCTGACGTCATCAGTTTTTTGGAAGGCATAAGTAAATATATTTTGATTAAATATTTATCATGCTTATCATAACTTTAAAACATCTGCAAGATTTCAAAGCATTCGTTTCGGTTAAAAATTCAATTCGAAGTCATAGACTACATGTGTTACTTTATACAATTTAAAACCCATTTACTAAGTATAATTTTGAAGTGACGTCATCGCATTAGTGGTGGGGATGATTAGAGAAATTTTGGTTAGCGTTTTACCATTTACATGATATTCCTAATATAAATACAAAATTTAACAACAATCGGCCCAGTACTTTCGGAGATTACGGACGGCAGACAGACGGACAGACAGACGGAAACGGGAGACCTATTTCGTCGTGCTCTAGGGGTCGTAAAAGGTCGAGAAAATGTAAAAGTAGAGAGTCGGCCGACGGACTTGATTACAATACTTTCTTTGCTTACGCTCGGGAAGTAAAAAACGAAAAGCCAAGTTTGGAATAGAACGCGCGACGTGCATTATGTTTTTGCAAAAATTTGGGCAGTTAGGGAAAAGCTCGAAGTGGATTCGTACATCACCCTTATATCACTATACCTATGTATTTTTGTATAACAGTTAAATCAAATAAACATAGAATTCTTTGAAATGACGTCATCAAATTGTTAGTGGGGATAATAGCAAAATTTTGGTTAGCACTTAACCATCTACATGATATTTCTAAAATACAAACAAAATTTGACAACAATCGGTCCAGCAATTTCGGAGATTACATATCAGATTAAAATGGATACAGACACCAGACAGACAGACAGACAGACGGAAACGGGAAACTATTTTTTTCGTACTCTTGGGATCATGAAACGTCGAGAAAATATAAAAGTGGCTTCGATTACTATACTTCCTTAGCTTATGTTGTGTTTTATTAATTAATACTGTTATGTATAACGGACATTTCAGGTTGTCAGCTATCATCGACATACTTCACAATATTTACAAAAATCGAGGACAACTTGATGACTTTTTCAACTGAACATACGGTACGTTACGACATAAAAAGCAATTTTTTATATTTAACAATTTCTTACGGCGAGTGGCACTGAAAAAATACATTTTAATTAATATTTGTATGCCTTAAAAAATTATATTTTTACTTGAACCAAAATTTCGATTAGCCATAAACCATAAAGGAATATCCTCAACATATTCAGTTTAAACTGATGGTCGTTATTTGAAACTAATTTTGGCGTCTTTGCACACACATTTTTGTGAAGTAATTGTGCTGTAAATTTTATACAATTTACTACTAATTTTGAGGAGAGGTCATCACATAGTTTCGAACATTATTTATCTTAATAAAAATCGACACAAACGACAGACAACAGAAAGCAAACAGCAGACAGACAGACTGACACATGGAAATGGAAGACCTAATTTTTCGTAGAGATGAAACGTCGAGAAAACATGAAAATTCCCACTCCGCTTATGGATTCTATCATTTGAGTTTAGTTTCATTTAGGTAATACCAACATGGTTGGCAAAACGCGTCGACAAATATTTTGTGTGATTTCGATGTTTAGGTAATATATTAATATAAGTACATTATACCGTTGTGACGAATGTTTCATTCGTTGTTAGACCGAGGGGCGGAGCGTAATTGCCAAACCCATATTTCTCTACAAAAAAAGATGACTACTACTATATAAAAAGAAAAGGTAAAATATAAGCACCCCGCCCACCCACCCCTATCTCAGTTGTGACGTTTTTTTTTATTCGTTGTCAGCCGGGGGCGGTGCTTAATTAATTACAAACTTCTCACTTCTCTACAATAAACTATCATATGAAACATGTTTCAAATAATCTTGTTCTTCAAAAAAAAAAACTATGTATGTATTAAGTAAAAAAGAAACCCAAAGATTAAGCCCCACCTATACCCGCCCCAAACTCAATTGTGATGAGGTTTCCATTCGCTGTCAGACCGGGGAGCGGAGCGTAATTGCAAAATATTATATCATTACAGTGACTGATCAAAAAGATTCCCGGTCGAAAGATATAAACCGATATAACAATTTACGAGCTAAAATTGTTGTTTTATAAAATATAAAATAAAATTACTATGCAAAATTTGAGGTGACGTCATCGCATTTTTGCTGGGGATGATTTTGATATATTTTTGTTATCGTTTTACCAACTGCACGATATTCCTATAATGTATATAAAGGTCGATTTATAAATTTGCCGCTGACGTTGCCGTTCGCCGTTGCCATCTTTTTACAACCAGACAGACGGGAACGCAAGACGTATTTTTTCGAGAATCATGAAAGTAGCCATTCGCCAAAGCAGAATCTGAAATTAGAACCAAAAAATAGGTCGAAAATATATTGGAAGATTGGGAGGAAAATATAAATATGTTCATCTCGTATTATTACTTTCACCCGGATGCTTGGTTACATACTCAAAAATTTTCTTTTTTTGTATAAAATCAATATTGCAATGGATATAAATGTGTACTTATTTCTGCATATATTGCATACTGTCAAATAATACTGATTATATCTGTTGACAAAAAACATAAGTGACCTTGTAGCCTTTTTCCGATTCGGCATTTTTTCTGTCGTACTTTTTTCCGTTCTACGAAATATATAGGTACGGTCTATATATTTTTGCTTTCCAGGTGTACTAAGGAAATATTCTAATCGGGCTTTTCCGACGAATGGGTAGTTTCGTGTTTTCTGGACGTTTCAAGACTTTCATGAGAACGACACAATAGGGTTTTCTGTTTCCATTTTTATCGATTTTCATTATTAGACAGACAACTTTCGAAAACTACTCGACTAATTCTTGTCAGATTTTAAATGTAAATTATGAATATTCGTGTAGATGGTTAAGGCTGAGCTAAAGCAAATTTTTACCTGAGAGGCAATAAAATTCAGTCATGACGAGTGCCAGCTTAGAGGGTGGACACTCATAAAATTTTATGGTCGGATTATGAGGGGTTTAAAAGGACGGGCTCTATCGGTTACCTGTATTTGAGTGGACCAGAAAAATGGCTAAAGTTTGTCTGACCACAAATTTTTAATATTCTGCACCTGTTTACTCAATTATTTATTAAAATATTTTATTTCTGTAAAGCGCAATGGATTTTTTAATACAATTTCCACTAATGTATATACCTTTTTGAAAATTTAATATAATCCGCTAACCAAAATTTGTTTAACCATCCCCGCCAACAATTTGATGACATCACTGCAAAATTTTGTACATTAAACATTATTTAACCTATATAAAATAATATACTTCTACATTTGTGGTTTATGAAACTGTCTTGATAAATAGTACTATGTATTTTATTATGTACTTTTCGACCGTAATCTAGATAACTATTTTAATAGAATCCATGGCTAATTTCATGTTTTCTCGACATTTATAGCTGCTAGAATATGAAAAAGTGGGCTTCCGTTTCCATTTATATGTTGGTGATTTTATCTGACACGTAATTTTTGAAATTACTGAATCGATAAATTGCTGTGCTTTGAATGATTTAAAATTTTATTAGAAAAAAATCTACTTAAATTTTATAAAATAATACGCTTCTACATTTGTGAACGGGTGACCATTAATGACTGAAACAAATTTTTGGACTGGCAATTTTGAATTATTGAAAAAAGTTTTAAATATGTTGCCAACTTGACAAAAATCACAAACAATAATCAGTCGGTATTTCGTACATGGCAATATTCTGATTCGTCATTTTAATCTATGACAACTTCCAGGAAGTTGTAATTATAATCATAACAGTTTGTGCAAAAAATGCTATTTTAATTTTGTCCGTTATTTTTGGCAATTTTACTCAACCATCCGACGGGACAGCTTAAAACGACAGCCGTCAAAAAACTACTACATTATTTTACCATTAGGGGCAATTCTTCCTCATACGTCGCCACAATCAGTATAGGCAACCCTGCATGAATATCTTCCAAAAGTGACGTAATATACATCTGCTCATTAATTTCCAAAAAACTCCACAAATCATCCACTCTCGGAATAACCAAAACCGACGGCAAATTTTTACAAAAATTCGACAAAATATTTTTCTGAAAAAAACTTGTCAAAACAACTCAACACATTCCATACTTTTACATTCTGCATTATAGTGGCATCCAAAAACAGCGCTGGCAAGTGTTCCAAGTTCTGCAAAATCGCCGGAACTATATGTGCAGTGAGTCCTTGCAGACTCGACCCGACCAACACAACTCTCCCAATATACCTCTCGCTTCCTATCAAGTACCTTAAAACACCAAATTCGCTAAAACCCCGACAATAAAAACTCATTACTTGTAAAACTGCATGAAAAAGTGCGGCCACAACATTTTTATCCTCGACAGGATCGTCTCGAGTTGGTGTTGAAGCAAAGGAGCTATGATGGGGCTCAATTTTCGGATTCTGTTTCCGAGTTTGTGTGACGACGGAATCAGGTTTTTTCGAGCGTCGATAAAGTCATTATCATCTATCTATCTGGAAAATACAGTTTCTGAATATGTTGTGAACTAGGATAGTTCTGACCCTAAGCTCGCTGGCCTCTATTTTAACTTTCCCGAGAGGGCATTTTTGTATGTTTGGGTACTGACGTTTCATGGCACAAAGTAGTGCTTCGGCGCACAGAGCCTGAAGATCTGAACCACAAAAGCCGGTGGTCAGTGCGGCCAAATATGAAAGAAACGTGTTGGCTGGTTTGTGTCTCCACGTTTGCATGTGTACCTTTAAAAATTACCCCAACAGTAACAAAAATTGTTATTAGGTTTGCCAAAACCTGTAGAATTTCCTTCCTTGCTTCAGTGGATGGAAGCGGAAAGTACAATTCTCGGTCGAAACGTCCGGGACGTCTTAAAGCCGGATCTACCGACTCTATTCGATTGGTAGCACCTATTACTATAACACCCGCAACACTATCAAGACCATCCATCAACGCCAAAAGAGTCGTCACAATACTACAGTGAACATGATCGTTCTTGGCAGAACGAATAGGTGCTAAACCATCCAACTCATCAAAAAATATAATCGAAGGTCTGTTTTTCGTAGCCTTAAACAAAAAAGTCGTGCAAGAGCTTAACAACAAACACATACTACAGTTTCGAACAAAGCCCTCAACTTCTTCTCGGATTCGCCAACCCACTTGTCCAGCACATCTGCCCCTTTCCTTTGGTAGAAGCTCACTTTACCGAAACCTTCCTTGTTCATTTCCGTGGCTAAAGCTCCGGCTACCAGAGTTTTCCCAGTACCTGCATTTCGTGACGTTTACTAAGCACAAGAAAACGGCTAAATACCTGGTGGTCCGTAAAAAAGCACTCCTCGCGGAGTTTTGATGTTGAAGTGAGTGTAAACGTTATTGTGCAACAGCGGAACTATAATCGTGTCACGTAGAATTTTTATGTGGTTCGATAATCCCCCAACTTTAGAAAAATCGGTGGCTGGTTTAGTTCTTTTGGATATTTTTTCACAAGACTTCTCTTGCTTCATAGCAGACATTGTGACAGTGGTGATTTTTTCGCCGAACGTGGGACTGATTTTTACATTTAATTTTGAAGGATAAGTCAAAAATTAATGAGTACATGTCACTTGACGTGGGGTTTCGTTCGTCTATTGTTTGTCTGCACCTAGGCGGTTAAATTTTGGTCGAAACTGATGAAAAGTCATGAAGCTTTGTGCTTTCAGGGTACAAAGAGAGTCGGTCGGGGCTGTAAATTGTCAATAGCATAATCTTAGGCTGTTATTGCCGACTTTACCTGCGGGTTGTAGAGGTATGGTAATTTTTCCAAGAAATACTGAAAGTTGAATTAAAAGTAAATACGTTTGCAGGTACAGAGACATTTTTCGAAGGAAAGGAAACATAAACGGCCAGTTTCGAACGCCACGTTCATCAGTGCAGACAAACGGTCGAAATCTTTTAAATATTAGAAGTTCATAACCAGGCGATTTAAGGTAAACACAATCTTATTTTATTTAGTAAAAAATGTTGCAAACGTCATTGTTTTTAGCTTGCATTATAACATAACTCTAAATAACTGGTACAGAAATTTTCTTGCTTTTGTAAATTTTGTGAATGTATGGACAGTAAGAGCAATACGGTATGTTTTTTCGCTGCATATACTTAGACGAGGTATAACATTTTTTTGGTTTTTTTTTCATAGAATCGCTTGAAAATTCGCACATGGATAAAACATCACTTTTTACAGGGCGCAGAGTCATTAAATGTTTGTTAGTGGTACAATTTGTTTAAATAATAATGTGTTTATTAAAATCAAAATATACCACAAATTAATGCAAAATACGTCGAATAATTTTAACAGGAATATCAGAGGAAAATTAATGATTTATTGGTTAGTAGAGTTTTTAACAAAAACTAACAATTATTGAAAGAAATGGGTATCAATTCGACAGAATTTGAGCAGTTAGTTCAGTAGTTTGTCGATAGGAGCGCCACTAAAATTTACGGAAGCGACTTTCCAGGTAAAACCCTTATCGCCTGCTCTACCATAAGCTGATTGTTAGAATTCTTGGCTGATTTTTCTAATTTATGGCAAGGAACTCAGTTTTATAACAAGCCGCCAGGACCGGCCGTAGTAATCTATTGTTAAGGAAATTAACTTTTACGCAATGAGGTACTATCATAAAACCGAATTAAAACTGGGGAACTATAATATTTTTACTCCACTCAGGATCCTGAATTCAATACACATGATTACTAAAAATTCATTGTAATATTATTGTTAATATATATTTTGCTTTGTTAATTAATAAAACTAATAAACATATTTATAATAATGATAAAAAATATATAAAATACAGCTTTTGTTTAACACGTATAAGTAGCTAAGTGTATCTACTACTTATCCCAGAAAGGAGGTGTTTTAAAAAAGCCCTACGCCCTGTAACTTTTCCCTTCATTGTTTACTCGAAAAAAGTGCTCGTATATGTTTTCATTTGCCGAGAGATCATTTTCAAAATATATTTATAATAAAAATATGCAAGTCTTGCTGATGAAAAATGTACTCCTAATAAATTATTAAAGTACATAAAAAAATAGAAACAAATTTTATTTATTTTAAAAAAATCTCTCGCAAAGGCAGGTTCCTCTTTCTTCTTCAATCAATTATTTCGGGCAATAATGCGCCAAAGTAAAATCTGCCAAGTTTATCTGCCATCTTTTTACATATATTTCTTCGTCTTTATAAATTTTTTCTATATTTATTCCTTTGGGTGTCCATACAACAAAATAAACTTGTGAAATACCCGTAACAAGCATTTGTCCCTGGACTTGAAAGTAGTAATCATGATTTTTTTTTAATTTCAATTCTCTGTCTGTCAATGTACAAAATTTGATTATTTTTTTTCTAACCGCTTCTTCGGGGGACAAATCTTGCGATTTTGAAGGGCATTTAATTTCGACTAATGCACTCCCTATCCTCTAGAACCCTGTCTGGACTAGCAGCCAAGTAAGGAAATTGTTTTGAAATAAACAAGCCACACCGTTCAGTTTTTATATTTTTATTTATTTCAAAACACTTGACAGCTTTTTCCTCACTTTGCTGTCCATAGTATGTATGACTATTACCTCTAAATGTATTGTGCAACAGAGACTCCACAGTTTTAGCTATTGCTGTAGTCTTTCTAAGTTTGTAAATACGTCCAAAATTTGAAGCCGTAACCCTAATTTCTCTTTCTTTTGCCTGTTGCCTAGTATCTATTTCAATTTGGTCTAAATTCAAAGATAATTTTCTCAAAAAAACCTCTTTGGCTGTCACAAATGTTTCTACATCCATGACAGGATTTTCTAAAAAATATTTAAACCATAATCGCAGTCGGGACCAGCATACGTAAATTTTTTTACGACATATTTTTTTTACGAATACTTTGTCTAAGACGAGCTTGTTTTATAGACCAACAATATTTTTTTGTTATTAAACCAGGACCGTTTTAATCACAATATATTTACTTATCCCCTCTAAAAAATTGATGACGTCACCTCAAAATTTTGCTGAATAAATCCTACCTAAATTGTATAAAATAAGATGAGTCTCTTCTTGTGATTTATCATTCCATTCCTGTAAAAAATGCGTACATTTATTTTATTGATTTAATCAGGAACTACAGAACCCAATGCTTTGAAATCTTGCAAATGTTTTAAGGTTATAAAGAGCATAATACATTTTTAGTCAAAATATATTTGCTTATCCCCTCCAAAAAATTGATGACGTCAGCTCAAAAGTTTGCCGTATAATCCTATTTTTTTAAATTTACAAAATATGATGAGTCTCTTCTTGTAATTTATCATTCCATTCATATTTTTTGGATTCGCATATACAGGGTGACTCAAAAAATTTAATGAATACGCAAATTTATTTTATTGATTTAATCAGAAGCTACAAAACCGAATGCTTTGAAATCTAATGTGAAAAAAAAACATAATAGGCATGCAGTCGTCACGTTTCCGATAGCGAGGGAAGTACTGTCTAAACTCTTTAGACCAATGTTTTTGATTTTCCCATTTTTCCATTTCTCAATTTTCCAATGTTTCAGTTTGGGATTTTTTCACTGTTTCGATTCTTTAATTTTCCTTCCATTTTTAGGTTTTTCAATATTTCAGCTTTGGAATTTTGCAATACTTCGTTTCTTCAATTTTTCAAATTTTTGATATTGTGTTTTCTCGGTTTTTAAATTTTTCGATATTTTAATTTTTCAATTTTTAAAGTTTTAGGTTTTTAGATTTCTCACTATCTCGACTTTTCGATTTTTCAGTTCCATGATTTTTCAATTTGTCGAATTTTTAATTTTAGATTTTTTGTTCTCGATCATTCAATTTTCTGAGTTTTCAGGCTTAGATTTTTTTTGTTGTTCAATTCTTGGATTTTTAAAATTTTTGTTTTTTAAATTTTCTTATTTATCAACTTACTGGGATTTCAATGTTTTGATTTTTTGATTGTTCAATTTCTCGATTTTTTGAATTTTTAGTTTTTGATACGATTTTTTTTTTCAAAAATTTTCAGTTTTTCAATTTATTAACTTTACGATATTTCAGTTTTACGATTTTTGAATTTTTTTATTTTTCAGTTTTCTTTTTTTGACGTTTCTAAATTTTTCGATTTTTCAATTTTTCGATTAACTGATTTTTTGATTTCTCTATTTCTTGATTTTTCAATTCTTTCTTCAATTGTGATTTTTCAATTTTTCGATTTCTGGATTTTTCAATGTTTCAGTTTTGGATTTTTTCACTTTTCCGATTCTTCAATTTTCTTTCCATTTTTCAGTTTTGAATTTTTTCACTTTTTCGATTTTTCAAGTTTCCTTCCATTTTTCAGTATTTCAGTTCTGAGATTTTGCAACGTTTCGGTTCTTCAATTTTTCCATTTTTTGATGTTTCGATTTCTCGGTTTTTCAATTTTTCGATAGGTATTTTAATTTTTCAATTTTCAAACTCTGGATTTTCCGTTAATTTTTTTGTTTTCCTTGATGTTTTGATTTCTCGATTATTCGATTTTTCAAGTTCTCGGTTTAGATTTTTTGGTTTTCCAATTCTTCGATTTTTAAATCGTTTAATTTTTAGATTGTTCAATGTCTCGATTTATAGATTTTTCAATTTTTCGGTTTACCGATTTTTTTCTTTTAAAATGTTTAAATTTTTCAATTTGTGTAATTTGAAAACGGTATTAATAATACATTTAGGCGAATAAACTAATAGACGGGCTTGATAAGCCTTGTCTGCTCTACAGTGTCTAAATTGTGTTTGAATAATGTAATAATTATCTCGAATATTAAAATTAATATGTCAAAAGAATACGAAAAATGATTATTCTGTGCTGAAGGTATGTTGTGTCATAAATTATCATTATTCTGCATTATCGGCTTACGTAGATTTAAAGAAGAATTGCTGGTTGCGTTTAAGGCAACAAATGGCTTAATTCGCGATATTTCTTATGACGATTTCTTAAGGCGTACCAAATTCTAATACATACTAACAATAGCAACTATTTCAATAATATATGTGGTCACCTGTATAATCTGTCTTTATTCATTTTGTTGGAACCGTAAAATCAGGTAAATGTTGCCTTGGGTGACAAATAGTTAAAGCCGGCCCTGACCACATGTTTCGTGCCATGTTCGCAGCAACTTTTCAACAAAAATAACTTTCAGCTATTTTCACTTATTAACGAAAATTTGATATTACCTACCTGTCGGGACCTTGGCGAGTACCACCAGAAAGTTTTATTAATTGCACAATTAATTGTTATTGTAACAATTTTACTTCTGTTCGGACTGTTTAGGGACTTTACGTCTGTCGTGTTACCTCTCGCCTTCTCTCTCTCGCCCCCACTATCTAAACAGCAGTTGTGCGTGTTTTCGGCATTTATCGCTCAGTTTTGACGGTTCGTATGTTCGGTTGGCATCCATGTTTCGTACAAGACGTGAATGGCAGTTTGTGTATTGTTCATTGTCCCAAATTTTAGAAGAAAAACAACATAGAAAATAGTTTTTTAACAGAAATTGTGAGTGGAACCATTCATAACAGTCCTAGTAACCGCTTGGTAGTTGGTTTGAGCTTGTTAATTTAAGGAATTGACATCGTTAGTTTGCTTATTTGAGAATAATTTTTCTTATTTGGTGTTACGTGCGCCCGATTTAACAACAATTTATCGATTTCTCAAATAATTTGCGTACTGTAGTGTTAGATTAGATCCGCAGAACGAACTAATCGCAAGTTTAACATTACACCATGCCTAACCTTTACGCCCTTCAAATCTCCACCCTTTCAAAAAAACTTCTTAAATCTTGTTGAGCACATTTGTAAAGGATGTGGGATTCGTTGTTAGTCTGTGTTTGTGTATGTCGTATTGGCAATGTGCATTCAGGGCGAACGCAGTTTTATTTTTTTCATTAACTTGGGCAGAGCTAATTAGTTTGCTGCTTTTATCGCTGCAACAAGCACGTAACGTGCAAACTTTACGTACGTTAATTGGGGTGAATTTTTGTGGGTAATGTTGATGATTGTCACAGCTGTCGGTGGTGTGATGGTGAATACACGTCGTATGGAGTCAATTGGCTCAACGCCAGACATCACAACACAGCATCGTACAGGGGTATGTGTATCGTTTAGTTTATGTCTGTGATAACTTGCCTACCTGCCGATATTTTTGATTTGATTACGAAATGTGCATGAAATCCCTTACGTTAATCTCCACATTGACTGAGTTTACAATTTGTAGAAAACGGTTCGAGAAGAGTTGGACTCCTCGAGTGTGAGTGACAGCGAGGACTCGCAGAGCGAAGACACCGCTTGGGAGTCAGGGACCAAACGAAAGAGCATTCTACCAAAACAGGAGCCATCTCGAGGGTTGGGTGTTAGAGAATTGCGGAGTCGATTTGTTTATAGTCAAAGAAAATATTCTTGTAAGTTGGTATTGGTAAAAGGTGTTGGGTCTGATTTATGGTGATTTTTAGCCAGTTTACGGAGCGACGATTTAAACACACGTAAACGAATATCGCTTGATGAGAGACACTCTCTTACGGTTTATTCATCCAGGAATATGCACAATGATTCAGATTTATACAATGGAAATGATTCTGATGATGATATGTATTCGAGGTATGTACTGCATTTTTGTATACTGCGTGTTTTGAGATTGATGTTTTAGAAAACGACGTCGACCACGTCACTTAAGGTCACATTTGGATAGGATTGAACGCAGGACCGCCTTGTCTTTACGGCCTATCAGTCAGAAATGTTACGCAGACTCGCTTTCAGGTAGGTTTTTATTTCCTTTTTGAATATTTTTTTGTTAATTCGGTGTTTTAACCCATTTGACTTAATTTAAGGCAAACATTCCACTCGTTTCCGAATGTAGTTTAAAATGTGAAACCGGCACATTCAAAGCTAATAATTACAGAGCGCATGCTCAAGATGTTCTCTTCTGATAGGTCCATTTTGTGCTTATGCGCAGAACGCTTGAATTTATTAAATATAAGTTGTCAACTTTTTATTTATTAAAAACAAAAAAAAAACTGAAACTTCGACCGGCGAACTAAATATTTATATTAATAGCCAATATTGTACGATTGTTGACTATTTCACACAAAAATTGGCTAAATTGTCGTGGAGTTTTTTAAATACTGCATTCAAAAGTCATAACAGAGATAAACTCGTTAAGATTCTTTAAAAATATTTTAAAATGTTAAGGCGTTTTTTTTAACAACAAATAAAATAACTATATAACTTTACGAATTATTGACGAATATTGAACATGGTTTGTTGCATAAATAAAATTGACCATGACCATGCAAATACCTTAATTATTTTTTTATTACACCTAGTGGGCATTGATTGCACAAGTAAGTATATTTTGACTTATAAAAACTGCGCAATTTAATAACTGATTCATTCGACAATAATAATAGATCAGAATTAGACTGTAAATCCTATACTGTGTTTTGTCTTACAATAGAAACAAAAATTGCCATGGAAAATATCCAGTAAATGTCTGACAAAACACACTTCCAAATTTTTAGCCATAAAACATGTTACATATCTATAAAAATAAAAACACAATATAAATTTTCTTTATACATGCCTTATATTATAAAATAACATATTTCTATACGTATGGTTTATGAGTTTGCCTTAATTTTGTTTATTGTTATTATAATTTTTTTTTATTCAATATTTCTTGTAGTAATGCTGGTCTTTAAATACATAATACCAACCGTACGAAACATGGGCCATGGCTCAGTGAAAAGCGATATATCCCACTGCGACTAGTTTACCTGTACTTTGGAGTACGGGTCGATACATATCTCTACTTTAAATTATAAATAATATATAAATAACCGTGAACCATTTTTTTTTTGCATTAAGAAAATTTCACTTTTTTCCTTAATTACAAAATGCCAAGAAATTTTTTTCTGCACTCAAAAAATTAGGCAAGTTATTAAACAAGCAGAAACAATCGTAAATTGTGACCATCTGCCACCTCCATTTCCTGTTCTGAGTTTATGGTTTCTTGGTATAATGCGATTGTATCAATGCAAAATCGAGTCATCGATAACAATTAAGTAACCGTTAATAATCCACCAATTTTCTTGACTTCATTTTGCTCAATGTTTCATAGTTCCTAAAATATAAAAAAGTGGGTCCGCCGTTTTCGAAAATACTGAATTAACTGTCGCAAAATTTTAGATATATTTTAAAAATATGGTTTAAAACGCTAATTAAAAGCCCACAAAAAAATGATGATTTGATCTTAAAATTTTGGTAAGTAAATCTTATTTAAAATGAACCAAATAAACTGTTTTTTAAAAATTTCGTGGTTAAAAATTATAGTATATCTAGTTTTATTTTTGTGAAAAATTGAAAATTAAAAATCGAATCATCAAAAAATTGTATGCTCGAATAATTGAAAAATTTTTAAATTCGAAAAATTGAGAGATAGAAATTTCGCAAAATCGAAAAATTGAAAAATTCCTAGTCTAAAATGACGAACATTTGGGATATTGAAGAATTGAAAAATCGAAACATTGGAAAATCGAGAAACCGAAAAGTTAAAAAATTGACAAGTCGAAATGGGCCAAAATCGAAAAGTTAAAAGTTGAAAAATTTAAAATAAAAACAATCGAAAAATTGAAAGATCGAGGAAAATCGAAAATTTGAAAATTCGAAAAATTGAAAAATCGAAATATCGAATAACTGAAAAATTGAAAAATTAAAAATTTAAAAAAATTGGAAAATTGCAAAATCGAAAAAGTTAAATATCGAAGAATAGAAAAATGGAAGAAAAATTTAATAATCGAGAAATCGAAGTCGATGGTAACATTAGAAAACGAAATATCAAAAATTTTAAAAACTGAAAAATGAAAATATCGATAAATCGAAAGTTCGAAAAATTGAAAAATCGAAAAAGTGAAAAATCAAAAACTCGAAAAATTCAAAAAATTTCAGAATTCTAAGACTGAAATGATGAAAATTTGAGAATTCGGAAAAATTAAACATTGGAATATCGAAAAATCGAGTAACTGAAAAGTCAAAAAATGGAGAAATCGAAATAGGCCAAAACCGAAAAGTTAAAAATAGAAAAATTTAAAATAAAAAAAAAATCGAAAAATTTAACTCAAAAAATCGAAATTTCGATAAATCGAAACGTTAAGAATCAAAAATTGAAAAACCGTAAAATCTAAAGCTGAAAAGCCGAAAAGTTGAAAGATCGAGAAATCGAAACATCAAAAGGCTGGAAAATCAAAATTTTGAAAATTAGAAAAATTAGAAAATATTTAGAAAGATCAAAAAATTAAAAATTTCAAAAACTAAAAAATTAAAACATCGAAATATCGAGAAATCGAAATCAAAAATTCGAAAAAGGTAAAATTTACAAATCAAAAAATTTCAAAATCGAAGAAGTAAACTATCGAAGAATTGAGAAATCGAAAAATTGAATAATCGTGAAATCGAAGTCGAAAAATCGAAAAAGTGAAAAATTAAAAACCTGAGGAATCCAAAAAATTGAAGAATTCCAAGACTGAAATGTCAAAAATTTTGGAAAATCGAAAAATTGAAACTTTGGAAAATCGAAAAATGAATAACCGAAAAGAAGAAAAATTGAGCAATCGAAACAGGCCAAAATCTAAAAGTTAAAAATTGAAAAATTTAAAATTAAAAAAAATCGAAAAATTTAACTCAAAAAATCGAAGTTATCGAGAATCAAAAAATTGAAAAATTAAACTATCGAAAAATCTAGAAATCCAAACATCAAAAATTCAAAAAATTGGAAAATCTGAAGTTTAATAAAAAAATTAGAAAACCGAAAAAGTAAAAAAAATCGAAGAATTGACGAATGGACAAAAAATTGAGAAATCGAAATAGGCCAAAATCGAAAAGTTAAGAACTGAAAAATTTAAAACAGAAAAAAAACGAAAAATTTAACTCAAAAAATCGAAATCTCAATAAATCGAAACATTAAGAAATCAAAAATTGAAAAACCGTTGTTGCATTTCCGGAAGCGGCCACTGACCCTTTTGGGTATCTTTACCTGTTTTTGTAAATAGCTCTGTAATTTTAGTACTTCTGTAACCGTCCTACATTAAACATCAAAACCGAACGCTGTCCATTATTTCAATTATAGCAAACAAAAGTCCTTCGAGCAATATCAAGGTACAATTCGGAAGACCATACATGGTCGTATCAACCGGATTACAAGAAACGTTGGTACTACGATTCGGATTGTACGAAACATTGGCACTTCAAGCCGAAACATTGGTCTTCGAGCCGAAACATTGGCATTCAAGCCGGAACATTGGTCTTCGAGCCGCAACATTGGTCTTCGAGCCGGAACAACCGTAAAATTTATAGCTGAGAAGCCGAAAAATTGAAAGATCGAGAAATCGAAACATCAAAAAACTATAAAATCGGAAATTTGAAAAATTGAAAAGTACGCAAAAATATCGAAGAATTGAAAAACCAAAAAGTCGAAAAATTAAATATTTTAAGAATTGAAAATTTAAATAATCGAAAAATCAATTTCGAGAAATTGAGAAATCAAAAAATTGAAAAATCGTAAAACTGAAACATCGGAAAATTGGGAAATCTAAAAATGAAAAAGTCGAAAAATCGAAATTTTGAAAATCTCTAGAAGTTGAAAAATTAAAAAACGTAAAGCCGATAAGTTGAGAAATCGAAAAATTCTGTCTACAATTTTCATGTTTTTCCCAAAAATCCCGATGTCTACGACAAAAATTCAACATGGACTCATAAACCACAAATAGACGAGTACGTTATTCAAAAGAAATTTTGGTTGGCGTTTTACCGTCTACACGATATTCGTAGTACACATAAATTTGACGGCAATGAAGCCAGTAGTTTCGAAGATTATCAGTCTAATAAAAATCCGGATAGGCGACAGACAGGCAGACCTAATTTTTCGTACTTTAGAGGTCGAGAATTGTCGAGAAAACGTGAAAGTAGCCAATCGCCCGATTGGACTCATATGCATTAAGTTTGTCAGTTATCAGAACCACATTGTTGATTGCCGACCAATAACGTAACACTGTAAAACCGTCAACTTTGTATTCTGGGTTTAAAAATGGTGTTTTTAATTTACCCCAAAACGGAGTAGTCTAGAGGGATTATTTCTGGTGACCGCGCTGGCCAAGGAATATTTGTCCCATGTGCTTCCGATTCGATTAATCATCTTTTATATTTTTCAAAATATAATTCAATTTCAAATTAAAAAACTGTCATTAAACTTTATTTCTACTAGTAGTTAGTTCTTTATTTGAATAAAAACCGTTTTTAGACACGGAACTGCGTCGCAGCAAAAGACAGCGCAAAGTCCAGTTCGAGAACATGTCATGGCTGGCTGACGACCAAATGCACAAAATGGGTTACCCGAATCTGAACACGCCCGGATACTCGGAGGAAGACAGCCGCGACGCCCAAGACGTGATAGAAGAGCCCAGAAGGACCACCCGGCACTCGAACGACCTCAACAGCAATAAACGTCGCGAAATAAAAAATCCCAAATACCTATACGACTACGAAACAAACGACGTACCTCCAAGGCGGCGAAGGAGCGAACAGTCGCTCCTGCGGTCCAACGAACGAACCAAAAGAGAACTGAAGAGCCGGCGCGAATCCAACGACAAAGAGAACAACGAAGAGGCGAACGTGAACGGTCGCTCGCACGAAAGGTCGCGGAGAGGACCCGGGGTGGGGGACGAGGACAGCGAGAAGAAGAGCGACGACACGGCCGAAGATGACTCGAACGACAGTTCGAACAAAATACAACAGAACGGCATCGAGGCGATCGAGGAGGAGAACAAAGAGGTGGAGAATAATGAGGAAAACAAGTCTTCAGAGAGCGATATTTTGTCGAAGATGCACGCCAATAGGAAAGCGGCCGATCAGATCGAGGTAAACGACAGCTTTACGCGGAGGTCCAAGAAGGCGAAGTCGTTTGGTAAGCGGAGGAGCGGAGGAAGTTCGAAGTTTGATAGCGAAAAACTTGATTTGGATAGTACGAGTTCCGAGTCTGAGTCGGTGAGGAAAGGGTATTCGTTGAGGAATCGGGCGCCGAAGCCGCCTCCAAGTAACTACTTGCTATAGTTTTAAGTTATTTTCTGATTTTGAGGTTTTAGTGAAATCGTCGGCGATGCGATCAATTGATCTTCCCAGAAATAGAAGGCGTCATACTAGACGCAGGAAAGTTTCTGATTCTAGTTCTAGCACTTCGTCGGAGACGGATGTCCGAAAGGAAAAATACTCGTAGGTTTAAAGTACATTTTTTATAATAGGTTGTTAATTGGAAATTTTAGTAAAAACCCCAAAAATCAACATTCCAAAAATGAACAAAAGATGAAATCCGGTGCTGGCGGTAGTAAAATCATTCCCATTGGTCCCGAGACGTTAGATGCCAATGTTAGGTTTAGTAGTATAGGAGGGTTGGACGGTCATATTCAGTGTCTCAAAGAGATGATTTTATTACCCATGATGTATCCGGAAGTGTTTAGGCAGTTTAAAATTCAGCCACCCAGAGGTGTTCTGTTTCATGGTCCGCCAGGTACTTTTTTTGGTGTATTACTGTAGTGCTTTTTCAATGGTGCGTTTATGTTTCAGGTACTGGTAAAACTTTAATCGCACGAGCTTTGGCAAACGAGTGTAGTTTTGGCGGCCGGAAAGTCTCTTTTTTTATGCGTAAAGGGGCGGATTTACTTAGCAAATGGATAGGTGAATCGGAAAAACAGCTCAGACTATTGTTTGAACAAGTAAGTATAAGACAGTGCAAGTTTACCTGTTCGTCTTTAATATTTCGGTTAATTGAAATGTTTTTGAAAATTATCTTACCAAATTTGGAAATTTTATTTTTTTCAAATAATTGAAATACAACAGTGGAAGTTAATTTCTTTTTAAGATTTTATCAAACATTCAAATCTAATATTATGCCACTAAAAAATGAAGTATTTATTCTATTTAACGCACCTAAAAATATACATTCTATGTGAAAGAGGAAGTTGATGTTTCAGAAGAAACCAACAGTGATATAACGTCAAAACTATACAATACTTCCTTAGCATAAGCGTAACATACTTTTGTACTTGTGGTTTATGAATCCACCTTGAGTTCTAACCCCCAATCTCACTCTTTCTTACTCACTTTCTCTTTCTTCAATTTTTCATCTTGCAATTCTTCTGATATTGAATTTTCGATTTTTCAATTACTCGATTTTTGATTTTTTAAATTCCGGAATTTTATTTTTCGTTTTTACAATACTTACATATTTTAATTTTTCGTTCTCTCAATTTTACTTTTAGATTTTTCAATTTTTCGTATTTTCCAATTTCATGATTTTTCAGTTTTTAGAAGTTTTAATTTTCTATTTTTCCAGTTTTTCGGCGTGCAACTTTTCGCTTTTCAATTTTACAATTTTTGGATTTTTCAAAATTTAAATTATTCAATTTATTGTAATTTTTCTCGATTTGTGATTTTTCAATTTTTCGTGTTTTCAGCTTTTCAGTTGATCAATTGTAAAATTTTCAGTTTACCAATTTTTTTTCTGTAATTTTTCGCTTTTACAAGTTTTAGATATTTTTATTTTTGTTTTTTTCCAATTTTCGATGTTTCGTTTTTCGATTTTTAATCTTTAGATTTTTCAGTTTTATAAATATTATTTTTCGATTCTCAACCTTTTTGGGTTTTTAATTTTGGAATTTCTAGATTTTTATTTTGCAATTTTTGGTTTTTTCAATTTTAGTTTCTCGATTTTCAATATAATTTTTTTTCTAGTTTTCAGTAAGAAAATTTTTATATTTTTTTGTCTTTCGTTTTTTTTTTCATTTTTTTGATATTTTGCAATTTTTCAATTTTTAGATTTTACAATTTTTTGTTTCTTCCGTTTTTCAATGTTACTAATTTTTCAATTTTCATATTTTTGATTTTTCAGTTTTCCGATGTTATCATTTTTCTTTTTTTTTAGTCATTAGATTTTTAACTTTTCAATTTTACAATTTTTTGTTTCACTGTAATTTTCTATTTCTCATTCATCCTATTTATCATTTCAATCTCTTTTTTTGATTTTTCGATTTTTGGTTTTGCAATTTTTGTTTTTTTTTATTTTCGGTTTTTCAATTAGATTTTTTTAATTTTTCAATTTTTCTACTTCGAATTTTCCAATTTTTAGATTCTTTAGTTTTTCAGTTGATGATTTTTATATTTTTAATTTACCGATTTTCTTTCTGCAATTTTTCGTTTTTACAATTTTTAAAAGCCTATTTTAATTTTTGGTTTTTTTTTTTCGATTGTCGATATTTAGGTTTTAGGTTTTTCAAGTTTTGAATGTTTCTTTTTCTTTTTAATTTTCGTTTCTGCATTTTTCCATTTTGCAATTTTTCAGTTTTATAAATTTTAATTTTTCGATTTTCAACCTTTGAATGTTTCGGTTTTTAATTTTGTAATTTCTAGATTTTTATTTTGCAATTTTTCGTTTCTTCAATTTTTCTATTTTTAAAGTATTAAATTTTTAAATTATTCGTTCCTTTGATTTTACATTTTTTAATCTTTACATTTTCAGTTTTTATAAATTTAATTTTTCTATTTTCAACCTTGGAATTCTTCGATTTTTAATTTTGTAATTTGTTGATTTTTATTTTGCAAGTGTTTTTTCGGTTTTTAGTTTCAAGATTTTTAATTTTTCAACATATAATTTTTCTAGTTTTCAACATCAATTTTTTTCTAGTTTTCAGTATGAAATTTTAAGTTTTTTTTCGTTTCTCCAATTTTTCAGTTTTACAGTTGGCAATTTTTTGATTTTTCAATTTTTGAATTTCCGTTTTCGATTTTTCCAAGGTTCGATTTTCAAATTTCAATTTTTCGAGGTTTCAATTTCTCGTTTTTTGTTATCCAATTTTTCGTTTTTACAATTTTTTTTCCAAATTTTCGATTTTTTAGTTTTTCGATTTTTCAAGTTTTAAATGTTACTTTTTTCGATTTTTTAATTTTTCGTTCCCCCAATTTTACATATTGCAACTTGTAGATTTTTCATTTTTTCGTATTTTTCAATTTCTGCATTTTTCAATTTTGCAATTTTTCAGTTTTATAAATTTTAATTTTTCTATTTTCAGCCTTTGAATGTTTCGGTTTTTAATTTTGTAATTTGCAGATTTTTATTTTGCAATTTTTGTTTTTTCGGTTGTTAGTTTCACGATTTTTAATTTTTGGACATATAATTTTTCTAGTTTTCAATATCAATTTTTTTCTAGTTTTCAGGATGAAATTTTGAGATTTTTGACTTTCGTATTTTTTTTTTATTTTTTTTTTGCATTTTTTTGAGGTTTTGAGTTTTTTAATTTTTCGTTTCTTCAATTTTTCAGTTTTACAGTTGTGCAATTTTTTGATTTTTCAATTTTTGAATTTCCATTTTCGATTTTTCGAAGGTTCAGTTTTGAAATTTTAATTTTTCGAGTTTTCAATTTCTCGTTTTTTATTATCCAATTTTTCGTTTTTACAATTTTTAGATTTTTTAATTTTTTTTTTCAAATTTTAGATTTTTACTTTTTCGAATTTTCAGGTTTTGAATGTTACTTTTTTCGATTTTCTAATTTTTTGTTCCCCCAATATTCCCCAAAATATTGCAACTTGTAGATTTTTCAATTTCTGCATTTTTCCATTTTGCAATTTTTCAGTTTTATAAATTTTAATTTTTCGATTTTCAACCTTTGAATGTTTCGGTTTTTAATTTTGTAATTTTTCGTTTCTTTAATTTTTCTATTTTTAAAGTATTGGATTTTTTTTTTTAATTTTTCGATTTTTCGAATTTTGAATGTAACTTTTTCCAGTTTTTTAATTTTTCGTTCCCTGGATTTTACATTTTCAGTTTTTATAAATTTTAATTTTTCTATTTTCAACCTTTGAATTCTTCAATTTTTATTTTTGTAATTTGTAGATTTTTATTTTGCAATTTTTGTTTTTTTGGTTTTTAGTTTCAAGATTTTTAATTCTTCAACATATAATTTTTCTAGTTTTCAGTATGAAATTTTGAGATTTTTGACTTTCGTAATTTTTTTTAATTTTTTTGCATTTTTTTAAGGTTTTGAGTTTTTAATTTTTCGTTTCTCCAATTTTTCAGTTTTATAGTTGTGCAATTTTTGATTTTTCAATTTTTGAATTTCCATTTTCGATTTTTCAAAGGTTCGGTTTTGAAATTTCGATTTTTCGAGGTTTCAATTTATCGTTTTTTGTTATCCAATTTTGCGTTTTTACAATTTTTAGATTTTTTAATTTTTGTTTTTTTTTTCAAATTTTCGATTTTTAGTTTTTCGATTTTTCAAGTCTTGAATGTTACTTTTTTAGATTTTTTAATTTTTCGGCTTGTAGATTTTTCAGGTTTTCATATTTTTCAATTTTTCAGTTTTGTAAATTTTAATTTTTCGATTTTGATTCAACCTTTGAATTTTTCGGTTTTTAGTTTTGTAGTTTCTAGATTTTTATTTTGCAATTTTTCGTTTCTTCAATTTTTTTAATTTTTCGAGTTTTCAAATTTGTTACTTTTTTCGGTTTTTTCCCTCAATTTTTTATAAATTTCTCTTTTTCAACATTTTGGATTCTTCGATTTTCATTTTGTAATTTGTAGATTTTTATTTTGCAATTTTTAGTTTCTCGATTTTTAATTTTTCAACATGCAATTTTTCTAGTTTTCATTATGAATTTGTTTCTAGTTTTCAGGATGAAATTTTTGGATTTTTGACTTTCGTGTTTTTAATTTTTTTTTTTTTTTCAATTTTTGGGTTTTTTAATTTTTCGTTTCTTCAATTTTTTTGTTTTACAATTTCTCAATTTTTAGATTTTACAATTTTTTCAATTTTTAGACTTTACAATTTTTCATTTCTTCAGTTTTTCAATGTTTTAATTTTTCAATTTTTCGTTCTTCATCTTGCAATTTTTCCATTTCTGAAATTTGGTGTTGCAATTTTTCGTTTTTACAATTTTGAGATGTTTTAATTTTTGATGTTATCGATTTTTTAAAAGTTCAATTTTTCGATATTTTAATTTTTGTTTTTTTCAAAATTTCCATGTTTAGGATCTCGCTTTTTAATTTTTTGATTTACAATTTTTTGATATTTTAATTTTTCCTTTAAAATTTTACAATTTTGCACTTTTTCAATCTTTCAAATTTTGAATGTTATATTTTTTCAATTTATTAATTTCTAATTTCCTCAATTTTACATCTTGCACCTTCTACGTTTTTCCGCTTTTTCAGTATTTAATTTCTCGATTTTTAATTTTTCGATATGGAATTTTTTAGTTTTCAGAATGAAATTTTTCTATTTTTAAATTTTTGACTTTTCGAGTTTTTTTTTTTTCGTTTTTTCAATTTTTTAATTTTACAATTTTCCGTTTGTTCGTTTTTTTCATTCTTCAATTGCTCATTTTTTCAGTTATTAGATTTTTTAATTTTTCGGCTTTTAGATTTGCTATCTTTCTTAGACTGGAATTGCTGTTATGTGGATTTTTCTAATTTATAGAGGTTACCACAAAAAAAATAGATATACAATTTCTGAAGAAACGGGCTTTGGACTGTACTTCAGAGGCGAGGGAAATTCTGTCTAAAACCTTGAGCCATTTTTTTTTTAATTTCTGATAAAAGATTTCCCAAAATGTAGTAAATGAAGCGATTAAGACACTTACACTGATTTTGTACTGACAGAACATTAGTATAATTTTTCTTTTTATTCATTCATTTAAAAAAAGCGACCTCAAAAAATATATCGAATGTATCTTTAAAAATATGCTTTCAATGTAATCTTTTTTGTATTTTAGTAATTAACTTCTGTAATTGAAGAAAAATGCTTTTATATATTTTGACATTATTTTGCTATAGTATAGTATAGTATTGTATTCGTTATGCTTCCGAGGCGAATTTTAATGCAAAATTTGTATTTTCTAGGCCGCAGAATTGCAACCTTCCATAATTTTCTTCGATGAATTAGACGGATTAGCACCGGTCAGGTCTTCCAGACAAGACCAAGTCCACGCTAGTATCGTATCGACCTTACTAGCACTAATGGATGGTCTTGACAACCGAGGCGAAGTGATAGTAATAGGAGCAACAAACCGAATCGACGCCATCGATCCAGCCCTCAGACGACCGGGAAGATTCGATAGAGAATTATTCTTCCCTCTTCCCGTTAAACAGGAACGGGAAGCCATCCTGAAAGTGCACGTTTCTCAGTGGTCGACTCCTCCAAGCGAGCAACTCGTGTCTTACTTAGCAGAAACGGCAGTGGGTTATTGCGGGTCGGATCTGCGGGCGTTGTGCTCAGAAGCTGTAATCCAAGGGTTTAGAAGAACTTACCCGCAAGTATATAACGCGGATCATAGGTTGATGTTAGAACCGGAAAACGTGAAGGTGGAGAAGGTCGATTTCTTGCGGGCGAAATCTCTACTAGTGCCTGCTTCTCACAGGGTAACTCAAGGCTTAGGGCGGAAACTGTTACTGATGTTGGAACCTTTGTTGAGCGATGCCGTGAAAAACGTGTTCGAGATTTTGGCGCAGTCGTTCCCGCATGCCCTCAATCCCACGCTTTCCAAGTAAGTAACTATTTATTTAAAATAAGGCTATGAATGATTGACAGTTATTGTAACTGTGAAACTGTTGCCAATATAATTATTTTAATATTAGACTCCACCTACCACACCTCAAATAAATTTTTATTTTAAGAGATCTGCGACTTGTAGCAGGTAACTAGCTTCCTCGCAGAATTTAAGCACAATTTTTAACTTGATAACTTTGCGGTTTAACTTTCTTTATCACGTTTGGCACTTGTGTATTTCAAACTGTAGAAAAACAAAGATTTTAAATAAAAAGTGCACTAGTTATCGTCACTACTTAGGCTCAATGCGAGTGTTTGTTACTTTTTTTTGACAGATTTTATTTATTATCGTACAACAATTTATTACATAAAGGCAACGTTGTTCAATATAAAATTTGATATTACAAAAAAAATTAATACAATGTAATAGTTATAATAATAATATTTAATAAGACAAATACACCCGTAACAAATATAGTATGGTGGTGGTATTAGGGGTTGTATTGGATTTATTGGTAGGTATTTGGGGAAGAGAATTTTGTATAAATGGACGGCAACTCCATACGAACTCATTATTTTGATTGATTAAGTATATATTTATTTAATCAATGGTTGTTATCTCTTCGATTTTTCAAAATATGGCGACTTTTTAAATCTTACATTTTTCGATTTTTCAATTTTTTATTTTTCGGTTAGTTCATGTTTTGATTGCTCGATTTTTTAAATTTTCAAATTTTTCACCTTTGTTGTTTCGATTTCTCAATCTTTCGATTTTTCGCCCTCTCGTTTTTAGACTTTCCGATTTTTCAATTTTTCGAAATTAATTTTCAGTTTTTCGATGTTTCGATTTTTCATGTGTTGGTTTATCGGTTTTCTTGAGTTAAAATTTTTCAATTTTGAACTTTCCCATTTTTCGATTTTTAGCCACTTTGATTTTCAAGTTTTTCAATGTTTCAGGTTTGGAATCTATGTGTTTAAAATTTTCTATTTTTCAATTTTTGGCGTTTCTAAATATTTCGATTTCTCAATTTCTTGATTAATGAATTTTTTAATTTTTCGTCTCCGATTTCTCAATTTTTCGATTTTCCAGTTTTTCAGTGTTTTATTTTTGAAATTTATGTATTTAAAATTTTCGATATTTCAATTTTTCAATATTTGGCGTTTCTAAATTTTTCAACTTTTAGATTTTTCGTCCCCGATTTTCCAATTTCTCGATTTTCAGATTTTCAACATTTAAGTTTGGTATTTTTAATATGTATTTCGATTTTTCAATTTTTCTAAATTGATTTTTCAGTTTTTTGATACATATTTCGATTTTTCAATTTTTCGATTTATCGGGTCTTTTCAATTTATCGGATCTTTCGATTATTCGAGTTTCCAATTTTTCGACGTTTCAGTTTTAGGATTTATGTATTTAAATTTTTCGATATTTCAATTTTTGGCATATCTAAGTTTTTGGATTTTTCGATTTCTCATATTCTCGATTTCTCAATTTCTCGCGTAATGGATTTTTTCATTTTTCGTCTCCGATTTCTCAATTTTTTGATTTTTCGATTCGCTGATGTTTTGATTTCCCGATTTTGTAAATTTTCAATTTTTCGAAATTTAAAATTTTAGATTTTTCATTTTTTTGTTGTTTCGATTTTTTGTCTTCTTATTTTTTCGATTTTTCAATTTTTCGGAAGTAATTTTTCAGTTTTTCATTATTTCGATTTTTCAATTTCTCGATTTATGGGGTTTTTTAAGTGTAAATTTTTTTAATTTTGGATTTTCCCATTTTTCGATCTTTAGCTATTTCGATATCTCGATTTCTCAGTTTTTCGATTATTCGAGTTTCCAATTTTTCGACGTTTCAGTTTTGGAATTTATGTAATTAAATTTTTCGATTTTTCAATTTTTGGCGTTTCTAAATTTTTCAATTTCTCAATTTCTCGATTAATCGATAGTTTAATTTTCCGAGTTTTCGATTTCTTAATTTCTCCATTAATGGAGTTTTTAATTTTTCGACTTTTCAATTTTTCAGTTTTTCGATGTTTCCATTTTTAACATTTTCGTTTATCGGTTTTCTTAAGTTAAATTTTTTAATTTTAAATTTTCCCATTTTTGGATTTTTAGCCACCCATTTCTGAATTTTTCGATTTCTCAGTTTTTCGGTAATTCATCTTTTCGATTTTTCCATTTTCAAGTTTTTCACGGTTTCATTTTTGGGATTTATGTATTTAAATTTTCGAATTTTCAATTTTTGGAGTTTATAAATTTTTCGATGTTTCGATTTCTCAATTTCTCGATGAATGGATTTTTAATTTTTCGATTTTTCGTCTACGACTTCTTAATTTCTCAATTTTTCTATTTCCAAATTTTCATCGTTTAAGTTTTGGGATTTTTCAAATTTTAGTTCGATTTTTCAATTTTTTGATTTTTAGATTCGTTGATGTTTTGATTTCACCGATTTTGTAAATTTTCAATTTTTCGAATTTTTAAACTTTGAAATTTTCATTTTTTTGTTTAGATTTCTCAGTTTTTCCATTTTTTGTCGTCTCATTTTTGGATTTTTCAGTTATTCCGAATTAAATTTTCAGTTTTATGATATTTCAATTTTTCGATTTATCGGATTTTTTAAGTTTAAATTTTGCAATTTTGAGTTTTCCCATTTTTCGATCTTTTGATGTTTTGATTTGGCGTTTTTTCAATTTTTCTATTTTGATTTTTCGACGTGTCAGTTTTGGGATTTTTGTATTTAAATTGTTCGTTTTTTAAATTTTTTAAATTTTGGCGTTTCTAAATTTTTGGATTTTTTGATTTCCCAATTTCTCTATTAATCGATTTTTTTATTTTCCGATTTTTGGTTTCTCAATGTCGCGATTAATGGATTTTTTAATTTTTCGTCTCCAATTTCTCGGTTTCTAAATTTTTTGATTTTTCGTTTTCTCAGTTTTTCGGTAGTAATTCATCTTTTCGATTTTTCCATTTTCCAGTTTTTCACTGTTTCAGTTTTGGGATTTATGTATTTAAATTTTCGATTTCTCAATTTCTCGATGAATGGATTTTTTAATTTTTCGATTTTTCGTCTCCGAGATTTCTTAATTTCTCAATTTTTCTATTTCCAAATTTTCATCGTTTAAGTTTTGGGATTTTTCAAATTGTACTTCGATTTTTCAATTTTTTGATTTTTATATTCGTTGATGTTTTGATTTCACCGATTTTGTAAATTTTCAATTTTTCGAATTTTTAAACTTTGGAATTTTCATTTTTTTCTTGTTTAGATTTCTCAGTCTTTCGATTTTTTGTCATCTCATTTTTGGATTTTTCGATTTTTCAATTATTCCGAATTAAATTTTCAGTTTTATGATATTTTTTTCGATCTTTAGCTATTCAGATATCGATATCAATTTTTCGATTTGTCGACTTCTCGACTTATCGATTTTTGATGTTTTGATTTGCCGTTTTTCAATTTTTCTATTTCGATTTCTCAGTTTTTCGATTATTCGATTTTTCAATTTTTGGCGTTTCTTAATTTTTGGATTTTTCGAATTTCTCCATTTTTGTAGATTAATCGATTTTTTAATTTTTCGACTTTTCAATTTTTTGTCTTCGATTTCACAATTTTTCGATTTTTCATTTTTTAATTTTTCGATTCGTTGATGTTTTGATTTCTCGATTTTGTAAATTTCCAAATTTTCGAAATTTTAAATTTTAGATTTTTCATTTTTTGGTCGTTTGGTTTTCTTGTCTTCTCACTTTTGGATTTTTCGAGTTTTCAATTTTTCGGAAGTGATTTTTTCAGTTTTTCGATATGTGTGCCGATTTTCAATTTTTCGATTTATCGAATTTTTTAAGTTTAAATTTTTCAATTTTGAATTTTCCCATTTTCGATTTTTAGCTATTTCGATATCTCAATTTTTCGATTTTTCGACTTCTCGACTTATCCATTTTTTGATGTTTCGATTTCGCGTTTATTCAATTTTTCAATTTCGATTTCTCAGTTTTTCGATTATTATTCGTCTTTTCGATTGTTCGAGTTTCTAATTTTTCCACGTTTCAGTTTTGGGATTCATGTATTTGAATTTTTTGATTTTTCGATTCGTTGATGTTTTGATTTCTCGATTTTGTAAATTTTCAATTTTTCGAATTTTTAAATATTAGATTTTTCATTTTTTTGTTGTTTCGATTTCTGTCTTTCGATTTTTTGTCCTCCCATTTTTGGATTTTTCGTTTTTTCAATTTTTCGGAATTAAGTTTTCAGTTTTTCCATTTTTCGGTTTTTCAATTTTTCGATTTATGGTGTTTTTTAAATTAAAATTTTTCAATTTTGAATTGTCTTTGACTATTTCGATAACTCAATTTGTCGATACTTTAATGTTTCGATTTCGCGTTTTTTCAATTTTTCGATTTTTCAGTTTTTCGATTATTCGAGTTTCTATTTTTTTGACATTTCAGTTTTGAGATTTATATATTTAAATTTTTCGATTTTTCAATTTTTGGTGTTTCTAAATTTTTGATTTTTCGATTTCTTAATTTCTCAATTAATCGATTTTTTAATTTTCCGATTTTTCGATTTCTCAATACCTCGATTAATGGATTTCCCAATTTTTCAATTTTTTGATTTTTCGATTCATTGATATTTTAATTTGTCGATTTCGTAAATTTTCAATTTTTCGAATTTTTAAATATTAGATTTTTCATTTTTTTGTTGTTTCGATTTTTGTCTTTCGATTTTTTGTCCTCCCATTTTTCGATTTTTCAATTTTTTGGAATTAAGTTTTCAGTTTTTCCATTTTTCGGTTTTTCAATTTTTCGATTTATGGGGATTTTTAAATTTAAATTTTTCAATTTTGAATTGTCCCATTTTTCGATCTTTGGCTATTTCGATTTCGAGTTTTTCCATTGTTCGACTTCACGATTTGTCGATCTTTTGATGTTTCGATTTCGCGTTTTTTCAATTTTTCGATTTCTCAGCTTTTCGATTATTCCAGTTTCTATTTTTTCGACATGTCAGTTTTTGGATTAATATATTTAAATTTTTCGATTTTTCAATTTTTAGTGTTTCTAAATTTTTGATTTTTCGATTTCTTAATTTCTCGATTAATCGATTTTTTAATTTTCCGATTTTTCGATTTCTCAATACCTCGATTAATGGATTTCTCAATTTTTCGATTTTTCAATTTTTTGATTTTTCGATTCATTGATACATATTTTAATTTGTCGATTTCGTAAATTTTACAATTTTTCGAATTTTTAAATATTAGATTTTTCATTTTTTTGTTGTTTCGATTTCTGTCTTTCGATTTTTTGTCCTCCCATTTTTCGATTTTTCAATTTTTCGGAATTAAGTTTTCAACTTTTCCATTTTTCGGTTTTTCAATTTTTCGATTTATGGGGATTTTTAAATTTAAATTTTTCAATTTTGTATTGTCCAATTTTTCGATCTTTGGCTATTTCGATTTCGAGTTTTTCCATTGTTCGACTTCTCGATTTGTCGATCTTTTGATGTTTCGATTTCGCGTTTTTTCAGTTTTTCGATTTCTCAGCTTTTCGATTATTCGAGTTTCTATTTTTTCGACATTTCAGTTTTGGGATTTATATATTTAAATTTTTCGATTTTTCAATTTTTGGTGTTTCTAAATTTTTGATTTTTCGATTTCTTAATTTCTCGATTAATCGATGTTTTAATTTTCCGATTTTTCGATTTCTCAATACCTCGATTAATGGATTTCCCAATTTTTCGATTTTTCAATTTTTTGATTTTTCGATTCGTTGATATTTTGATTTGTTGATTTTGTAAATTTTCAATTTTTCGACTTTTTAAATTTTAGATTTTCCATTTTTTTGTTGTTTCGATTTCTCGGTCTTTCGATTTTTCAATTTTTCGATGTATGGGGTTTTTTAATTTTAAATTTTTCAATTTTGCATGTTTGGATTTTTAGCTGTTTCAATTTCGCATTTTTTCAATTTTTCGATTATTCGACTTTTCGATTATTCGAGTTTCCATTTTGAGATTTATGTATTTAAATGTTTCGATTTTTCAATTTTTTCAGTTTTTGGCGTTTCTAAATTTTTCGATTTTCAATTTCTCAATTTCTCGAATAATCGGTTTTTTAATTTTCCGATTTTTCAAGTTCTCTGTTTGAGTGTTGCGATTTTTCAATTGTTAGATTTTTCGACTTTGTGTTTTTGATTTTTACTTACTCGATTATAATCGAGTCCGTCGGCAGAATTTATATTTTACGTTTTCTCGACCTTTCATGACCCCTAGTTTAACATTTTCATCTATTCGGTATTTTAATTTTTGGATTTTTTAGATTTTTAAAATTCTATTTCCAGTTTTTCGGTTTTGACAATATTTTGATTTCTCCTTCAAAAACGAAATATCACATAAAAAAAAGACGCTAGGAGCCCCAAAGATAATGTAAAATTCTTTCCAAATAACTCCACAGATCCTCGAGATTTGTTAAAAGTATTTTAAAAATAAAACACAAGAGGTCTCGAAGATTTTGTTATTTAGACAGATCGTCCCTCGCCTCTGAAGTAAAAATATATTTGCAGTACATGCGTAACTTCAATTGTTAATGTTTTACGAAAAAATGCGACAAATAATCACGCTGCAAATTGTCTCTTCAAAACAAGAACGTAGAAATGTCGTCATATTTCTGTAATAACTTTACTCGCACTTACGCTATTGTCAGAGACTTCAAAGGGTGGTCAAATAAGAAAGGTATTATTATTACCTATTTGGGTTTAACTTACCAAAATTTGCCCCAAGTCCATTACAGTTTTTTTTTTTGCAATAACTAAAAAAAATAACATTTTAGAAGAAAACGAAAAACGTGGCCCAAAGTAGAAAAAAATTCTCTATCACCCCGATATTTTGTAAAAGCACACCGAGTTATAGTTTTCGCTGAAAATGTATTCTTGTTTTACGCACTTTTTTTTTATTTTAAAAATTGCTACGTTTTTTTTTAAAATAGAAAACGCTTCCTTAAAACATTTTTGGCTTTTTTTAATGACTGTGGAGGAGCCTTAAATTGGTTACTAGACACAAGTTGGAAACATTGATTGTTATTAATTTTTCTCTTTTTGTAGGGTTAAGTTGTCGCCAAATATGAGGCCAGCTCAGTTGCTCCTTTTAGGAGAAAGTCCCGACTGTGGTCAAACCCTGCATTTAGCACCTGCGGTATTGTACAAAATGGAACATATTCATTCTTATATGTTAGACTTAGCTACTCTGTATAAAGAAACAGGCCGTTCGGCGGAAGAAGCTCTCATTCAAGTAAGATATGAAATAAAATAATAATTTATTAATTTAACACAATTGATAACAGGTATTTAGCGAAGCCAGAAGGAACGTCCCAAGTGTGATCTACATTCCAAACATTGATAACTGGTGGTCTCTTGTTAGTGAAACCGTTAAATCAATTTTAGATGCGCAGTTGTCACAGTTGGACCCCAACATACCCATATTACTTTTGGCCACCGCGGACACCACCTACGATAATTTGCCCGATGAAGTAAAAACAAAACACACATTAATAATAATTTTATTGTCATTATTATTTTAGATTCAGAACATATTTTCGCGCTACCGCAAAGAAGTGTACCAGTTGGATTTACCCAACGACTGCAATCGTGAAGCCTTTTTCAAACCCTTGCTAATCGACACGTGTTTGAAGTCTCCACGACCCCGTCGACAAAGACCGAAGACTCCGCCCCCTCTTCCGAAGGCTTGTACGCCGCCACCGACACCCCTAACCGAGGAACAAATGAGAAAGTTATATGAACAAGAGGAACACACTCTCAGGGAGCTTAGGATATTTTTAAGGGATATTTGTAAAAAGTTAGCCAATAACAAATTATTTTATATGTTTACTAAACCCGTGGACACTGAAGAAGTGCCTGATTATCCAACTATTATCAAACAGCCGATGGATCTGGAGACGATGATGACCAAAGTCGACTTCCATCGCTACGAATGTGCCAAAGATTTTCTGAAAGATATAGAACTTATCGTCCAGAACGCCCTAGAATACAATCCCGCCAAGTAAGTCGTCTCGTTAGCGGCTAGATCTGAGTAGATCGTTCAACTTTGGTTTTCCAGAACATCCGCAGACAAGCAGATACGTCACCGAGCTTGTTCACTACGTGACTACGCCTACACGCTAATCAAGAATGAGATGGACAGCGACTTCGAGGATAAATGTCAAGATATATCGTGCAAAAGACAAGTGCGGAAAGCCAGCGTCCAGAAATATTTACCAGCGTATATTCAGACACCAGGTGCTTAAACAAACACAATTCTGTGATGATTTCTACTTTTTTATATTTCAACAGAAACTCTTAATCTCGCTCAAGAAACCGCAGAGGCAGCGGAGAAGCCCGCGGAAGCAGTCGAAGAAACTCCCGTCGTGAACGACGAATCGAAACCCAAAGCGGAAGACAAGAGTGAAAGTACTCCGGTCAGGGTGAACAGTTCGAGGAAACGGAAACTGCCGAGCTGGCAACGAGGTCATTTGAAGAAGCGGAAGAGGAATAGTAAAACGTCGGAAGGTCCGCAACCGGACGACGAAAAGAAGGATTCTTCGGACGATTCGAAAGAGATCTCGACGTGTCCGTTGATCCAAGGGGTGTCTGAACCCGAAGAGACGTCGAATTTTGACGTTTTGACCATTAATTGTGATGAACAGCCTGTCAAGGATGATCCGGAACTGCAGTAAGTGAGATTTCGTGTGGGGGTATGTTAATTTCTGTACTCGTGCCGACTGCTTATAACGAAGCACAGTGACAAATTCAAATGTTTTTGCTTTTGTTTTTTTTTTATGTTGTGTGGACAGCTTTTTATGAATTTTTAAAGACTTCAGTTTTTAGCTTTTACGATTTTTGAGTTTGTTAAACATTTTTAAATTATTCCGTTTTCGATTTATATTTTGCAGTTTTTCGGGTCAGTTTTAAAATCTTTCAATTGCGTCGTCTTTTGTTTCTTCGTTTTTTTAGTTTTTCGATTTTCAGATTTTCAATTATTGTTTTCAACTTTTCAATTCAAATTTTCGATGTTTAGTTTTTCAGATTTTAATTTTTCACCTTCAGTTATTTTAAGATATTAATTTTTCGATTTTTAATTTTCGGATTTTGCAATTTTTCGTTCTTACAATTTTTAGGCATTCGTTTTTTTTTTCTATTAGCAATTTTTCTAGTTTTCATTTTGAAATTGTTTCTAACTAGAAACCTTTCAGTTTTAAATTTTGCGATTTTTCGACTTTTTAATTTTTTGTGTTGCAATTTTGAAGTATTTTAATTTTTGATTTTTTCAAATTTTTTGTTTCCTTTTCCGCATTTTAATTTTTCCACTTTTTAATATGTATATGTATTAATTTTTCACTTCTTCACTTTTGTTATCTGTCAAATGCATCTCAGTTTTAAATTTTTTGATTTTTCAAATTTTGAAATCACGTTTTTTCGAATTTTTTTCAATTTATCGATGTTTTTCATTTCTCCAATTTGTCGATTTTATTTATTTTACGCTTTTTCACTTGCCCGATTTAAAATTTTGTTAATTTCCCGTTGTTTACTTTTCGTTTTGCAATTTTTAAATATTTTAATTTTTCGATGTTTCGTTTTCCGAAGTTTAATTTTTCTATTTACAATTTTTTAATATGTTAATTTTTTTCATTTCTTCATTTTTATTTTTCAAATACATATCAGATTTTTTAATTTTTCGATTTTTCAAATTTTGAAATTATATTTTTTCGAATTTTCTTCAATTTATAGATTTTTAATTGTCAATTTTTCATTTCAATTTCCCCAATTTTTCGATTTTACTTATTTATTTTAATTTCTCGATTGGCAATTTTTCTAGTTTCCATTTTGAAATTCTTTCTAGTTTACAATTTTAAATTTTTAAATTTTTCGATTTTTCAATTTTAAATTTTTTAATATTTCGATTTTTAAGTTTTTTGTTTCTTAAATTTCTTGGTGTGCAATTTTTTTAGCTTTCAATTTCTCAATTTTCATTCTGCAATCTTTGGTTTTTCCAATTTTTATAGATTTTAATGTTTGATTTTTCTGAAAATTTCAATGTTTAATTATTTTTGTTTTCAATTTTTTGATGTTTCAACTTTTAAATTTTACATTTTTTCGAATTTCGGATTTTGTATACTTTAATTTTACATTTTTTCAGTTTTTCGATTTTCAACTTTTAATTTTTCGATTTTTATTTTCTAGGTTTTTAATTTTTCGAATTGCAATCTAATTTTCGATGTGATTTTTTTTTCTAATTTTCAGTTTTATAGTTTTGGATTTTTCGGCTTCTGAATTTTAAATTTTTCGGCTTTTTAATTTTTCGTTTCTACGATTAGTTTTCGAGTTTTTTTCTTCTTTCAATTTTTCATTATACAATTTTGAAATTTGTCATTCCTCCAATTTTTTGATTCGCAATGATTTGATTTTTTATTTTTTCAGTTTTCTATTTTGCGACATTTAAAATTTTTTTTCAGTTGTTAGATTTTTTTTTTTTTCAAATTTAAGATTATTAAATTTTTCAATTTCTCACTCATCCCATTTTTCATATCTCGATTTAAACTTTTCAATTTCTCTGCTATTAGTTTTTCAATTTTTGGCTTTATTTTTCGATTTTTCGGAGTTTCAATTTTTCGGTTTTTCAATTAGGTTTTTAAATTTGGAAAATTTTCAATTTTCCGACTTTAAGTTTTTGTTTTTCTGAAAATTTCGATGTTTAATTTTTTGTTTCATCAATTTTTTGATTTTTCAGCTTGAATTTTACATTTATACGATTTCTTTATTTTATATCCTTTAATTTTACATTTTGTAATTTTATGTTTTTCAGTTTTTTTAATTTTTCTCGATTTTTCTTTTTTAATATTCCAATTTTTCAGGTTTTCGATTTCCAAAATTAAATTTTTCGATTTTCTAGGTTTTTGATTTTTCGAATTGCAATCAGATTTTCAAAATGAATTTTTTCCACTTTTCAGTTTTATAGTTTTGGATTTTTCGGCTTCTGAATTTTAAATTTTTCGATTTTTTAATTTTTCGTTTGCACAGTTTTTCTAGGTTTTTTACTTCCTTCAATTTTTCAATTTACAATTTTGAAATTTTTCGTTCCTTTTCAGTTGTCTATTTTTCGACATTAAATTTTTCGTTTTCTCAGTTATTAAATTTTTTATTTTTTCAAATTTAGTTTATTCAATTTTTCTGTGTCTCATCCCGTTTTTCAAAACTCGTTTTTAAACTTTTCAATTTCTCTATTTTTAGTTTTTCAATTCAATTTTTAAATTTTAAAAACTTTTAATTTTCCGATTTTTAAGTTTCTTGTTTCTTAAATTTCTTGATTATCATTTTTTTTAGGTTTTTCAATTTTTCGATTTTAAATTTTTGAATTCTTGAAATGCTCGATTTCTAATTTTTCAATTTCTCGATTTTTATTCTGCAATTTTTGGTTTTTTGCAATTTCTATAGATTTTAATTCTTTGTTTTTCTGAAAATTTTGATGTTTCATCAGTTTTTTGAATTTTTCTCGATTTTAATTTTTTAATATTTCAATTTTTCACTTTCTCGAATTGCAATCTGATTTTCAAGACAAATTTTTTTCTAATTTTCAGTTTTGTAGTTTTGGATTTTTCGGCTTCTGAATTTTAAATTTTTCGATTTTTTAATTTTCCGTTTGTAGAGTTTTTCGCCTTTTTTTTCGTTCAATTTTTCATTTTACAATTTCGAAATTTTTCATTCCTCCAATTCATAAATATTCATAAATTTTAAATTTTTAATTTTGCGAATTGCAATCTGATTTTCAATACGAATTTTTTTATACTTTTCAGTTTTATAGTTTTGGATTTTTCGGCTTATGAATCTTAAATTTTTCGATTTTTTAATTTTTTCAAGTTTAATATTTTTCGATTATTTTTGATTTTATAATTACATACTCGATTTTTCAAATTTTAGATGATTGATTTTTTCATCATTTCTCTAATTTTAGTTTTTCAATTTCTGGCTTTATTTTTCGATTTTTCGGAGTTTCCAATTTTCCGATTTTTAAACTTTTGAATTTTTCAATTTTTGAAATGCTCGATTTCTAATTTTTCAATTTCTCGATTTTCATTCTGCAATCTTTGGTTTTTCCAATTTTTATAGATTTTAATTTTTGATTTTTCTGAAAATTTCAATGTTTAATTATTTTTGTTTTCAATTTTTTGATGTTTCAATTTTTAAATTTTACTTTTTTCGAATTTCGGATTTTGTATACTTCAATTTTACATTTTTTCAGTTTTTCGATTTTCAACTTTTAATTTTTCGATTTTTATTTTCTAGGTTTTCAATTTTTCGAATTGCAATCTAATTTTCAATGTGATTTTTTTTTCTAATTTTCAGTTTTATAGTTTTGGATTTTTCGGCTTCTGAAATTTAAATTTTTCGTTTCTACGATTTTACAGTTTTTTTTTCTTTCAATTTTTCATTTTACAATTTTGAAATTTTTCATTCCTCCAATTCATAAATATTCATAAATTTTAAATTTTTAATTTTGCGAATTGCAATCTGATTTTCAATACGAATTTTTTTATACTTTTCAGTTTTATAGTTTTGGATTTTTCGGCTTATGAATCTTAAATTTTTCGATTTTTTAATTTTTTCAAGTTTAATATTTTTCGATTATTTTTGATTTTATAATTACATACTCGATTTTTCAAATTTTAGATGATTGATTTTTTCATCATTTCTCTAATTTTAGTTTTTCAATTTCTGGCTTTATTTTTCGATTTTTCGGAGTTTCCAATTTTCCGATTTTTAAACTTTTGAATTTTTCAATTTTTGAAATGCTCGATTTCTAATTTTTCAATTTCTCGATTTTCATTCTGCAATCTTTGGTTTTTCCAATTTTTATAGATTTTAATTTTTGATTTTTCTGAAAATTTCAATGTTTAATTATTTTTGTTTTCAATTTTTTGATGTTTCAATTTTTAAATTTTACTTTTTTCGAATTTCGGATTTTGTATACTTCAATTTTACATTTTTTCAGTTTTTCGATTTTCAACTTTTAATTTTTCGATTTTTATTTTCTAGGTTTTCAATTTTTCGAATTGCAATCTAATTTTCAATGTGATTTTTTTTTCTAATTTTCAGTTTTATAGTTTTGGATTTTTCGGCTTCTGAAATTTAAATTTTTCGTTTCTACGATTTTACAGTTTTTTTTTCTTTCAATTTTTCATTTTACAATTTTGAAATTTTTCGTTCCTCCAATTTTTTGATTCGCAATGATTTGATTTTTAATTTTTTCAGTTTTCTATTTTGCGACATTTAAAATTTTTTTCAGCTAGATTTTTTGTTTTTTCAAATTTTAGGTTTTTAAATTTGGAAAATTTTCAATTTTCCGATTTTAAGTTTTTGTTTTTCTGAAAATTTCGATGTTTAATTTTTTGTTTCATCAATTTTTTTATTTTTCAACTTGAATTTTACATTTATTCGATTTCTTTATTTTATATCCTTTAATTTTACATTTTGTAATTTTATGTTTTTCAGTTTTTTGAACTTTTCTCGATTTTTATTTTTTAATATTCCAATTTTTCAGGTTTTCGATTTCCAAAATTAGATTTTTCGGTTTTTATTTTCTAGGTTTTTGATTTTTCGAATTGCAATCAGATTTTCAAATGAATTTTTTTCTACTTTTCAGTTTTATAGTTTTGGATTTTTCGGCTTCTGAATTTAAAATTTTTCGATTTTTTAATATTTCGTTTGCACAGGTTTTTTCTTCCTTCAATTTTTCTTTTTACAATTTTGAAATTTTTCGTTCCTTTTTAGTTTTCTATTTTTCGACATTAAATTTTTCGTTTTCTCAGTTATTAGATTTTTTATTTTTTCAAATTTAGTTTATTCAATTTCTCTATTTTTAGTTTTTCAATTCAATTTTTAAATTTTAAAAACTTTTAATTTTCTGATTTTTAACTTTTTTGTTTCTTAAATTTCTTGATTAGCATTTTTTCTAGGTTTCAGTTTATCGATTTTAAATTTTTCAATTTTTAAAATGCTCGATTTCTAATTTTTCAATTTCTCGATTTTTATTCTGCAATTTTTGGTTTCTGCAATTTTTATAGATTTTGATTTTGTTTTTTGTTTTTTCTGAAAATTTTGATGTTTAATTTTTTGTTTCATCAAATTTTTGATTTTTCAACTTTTTAATTTTACATTTTTTCGATCTCTTGATTCTATATCCTTTAATTTTACATTTTGTAATTGTTAGATTCTTAATTTTTTTTTAATTTTTCTCGATTTTAATTTTTTAATATTCCAATTTTCCACTTTTTCGATTTTCAACTTTTATTTTTTTATTTTTGTTTTCTAAATTTTTAATTTTTTTAATTGCAGTCTGATTTTCAATACGAATTTTTTTCTAATTTTCAGTTTTATAGTTTTGGACTTTTCGGCTTCTGAATCTTAAATTTGTCGATTTTTTAATTTTTCATTTGTTCACTTCGAATTTTTTTTCGTTCCTACAATTTTTAGATTTTCAATTTTTTAGTTTTATATTTTTCGATTATTTTTGATTTTCTAGTTTCTCGATTTTTCAAATTTTAGATTATTTATTTTTTCAATTTCTCTACTTTTAGTTTTTCAATTTCTGGCTTTATTTTTCGATTTTTCAGAGTTTCTATTTTCCGATTTTTAGGTTTTTTGTTTCTTAAATTTCTTGATTAGGAATTTTTCAATTTTTGAAATGCTCGATTTCTAATTTTTCAATTTCTCGATTTTTATTCTGCAATTTTTATAGATTTTAATTTTTGGTTTTTCTGACTATTTTGATATTTAATTGTTTCATCAATTTTTTTATTTTTCAACCTTTGAATTTTACATTTTTCCGGTTTCTTGATTTTATATCCTTTAATTTTACATTTTGTAATACATATTTAGATTTTTCAGTTTTTTTAATTTTTCCCAATTTTTATTTTTTAATACTCTTATTTTTCAGTTTTTCGATTTCCAACGTTAAATTTTTCCATTTTTATTTTCTAGGCTTTTAATTTTTCGAATTGCAATCAGATTTTCAAAATGAATTTTTTTCTAATTTTCAGTTTTATAGTTTTGGATTTTTCGGCTTCTGAATTTTAAATTTTTCGATTTTTTAATTTTTCGTTTGTAGAGTTTTTCGATTTTACAGTTTTTCGACTTTTTTTCTCTTCCTTCAATTTTTACAATTTGGAAGTTTTTCGTTCCTCCAATTTTTTGTTTCGCAATTTTTCGATTTTTAATTTTTCGACATTAAATTTTTCGTTTTTTCAGTTATTAGATTTTTTATGTTTTCAAATTTTCCGATTCTTGAGTTTTTTGTTTCTTAATTAGCAATTTTTCTAGGTTTCAATTTTTCGATTTTTAACTTTTGAATTTTTGAAAAACTCGATTTCTGATTTTTCAATTTCTCGATTTTCATCCTGCAATTTTTGGTTTTTCTGAAAATTTCAATGTGTAATTTTTTTTCCAATGTTTCGATTTTTCAACTTTTGAATTTTACATTTTTTAGATTTTTCAGTTTTTCGATTTTCAACTTTTAATTTTTCGATTTTTATTTTCAAGGTTTTTAATTTTTCGAATAGCAATCTGATTTTTAATATGAACTTTTTTCTTATTTTCAGTTTTATAGTTTTGGATTTTTCAACTTCTCAGTTTTTAATTTTTCGATTTTTTGCATTTTTCTCGATTTTTATTTTTTAAAATTCCAACTTTTCAATTTTCGACTTTCTTTCACCTTTTAATTTTTCGATTTCTATTTTCTAGGTTTTTGATTTCTCGAATTGTAATCGAATTTTCAATATGATTTTTTTTCCAATTCTCAGTTTTCTATTTTTGGATTTTCGACTTCTGAATTTTCAATATTTTTTGTCCTTCATTCGTTGTTCAATTTTGAAATTTTTCGATTCTTCAGTTTGTCAATTTTACAACTTCTAGAAATTTTAATTTTTCGTTACTGCTTTTTTTTTATTCGCAATTTTTCGATTTTTTAATATTTCAGTTTTCTGTTTTTCGACTTTTAAATTTTTCATTTTTTCAGATTTTAGATTTTTCGATTATTTTTTAATTTTTCGTGCTTTCAGTTTTTTGATTTTTCAATTTTTCTATTTCTGACTCATTCTATTTTTCATATCTCCAATTTCTCTATTTTTAATTTTTCAATTTCTGTGTTTATTTTTTGATATTTGGGAGTTTCAATTTTTTAGTTTGTCGGCCTTTAATTTTTTGATTTGCAATTTTTCTAAGTTCAATTTCACGATTTTTATTCTGCAATATTTCTTTTTTACAATATATAGAAATTTTAATTTTTTGTTGTATCTATTTTTCGATTTTTCAACTTCTGAATTTGCTTAATTTTTCGATTTTTGTGTTTTTAATTTTTCATTTTTAAAATTTTCGATTTTTCAATTTTAAAAAACTAAAAATCGAAAAACTGGGAAATCCTAAAATAGAAAAAAAAAAGAATTTGACCCCGATGTGTTGTGCTTCGATCGGTGGGCACGAATGCTGAAATTAACCATGCTATTCGTGGCCGTTTACCCACGCAAGCTCTATTCTGGGTATTACTTACCGTCATTAACGTTGCAGATCTCCCCGTCGTAGGTTAAGTGATTTGATGAGTCCGTCAGAGCTGTTAGAAAACCCGCTGGAGTTTGACGACATCGATGAGGCCTTAAATGAAAACGGTAAGTAAATTCTACAGCGACGCTTTATTCAAAATTTAATTTTAATTGTCGCAGTCGAAGAAGTTTCAACCATGCCTCTGGTCGACTGCCCTCAAAAGGAGCTCGAAAAAATCCTGGAACAGGCTGTAATGATAACGAGCGGTTGTTCGCTGCAACCGCTGCTAGATTTGTATAATCATTTAAGTAGGATAGTTAAGAAGTTCTCCAACAGTCACCTCAGAAGCGAACTACCGAAGGTACTTGACTTAAAAAAATTGAAAGTATTCAACTGATTTTTTGTTTTTTCAGGAATTAACGGCAGAGTTAACCAGGTTCAAAAATGAGGCCAGTTTGGAATCAGTTAGTGAGAGGAGTCCATCTTCAAATCAATCATCATAACGTATTATTTATTATATCATTGATCATCACTGCCACTGAAGGATTTTTTAACTGTTAAGATTACTACTAAGTTTAAAGTTAGCAGTATTTAACATTCTTTGTGTTCCCTAATAAACGAACTGGTTTTGTTTAAAGGCGTGGTTACTTAGTAGGTCGGTCCGATAGTTTACTTTTCCCGGCAACCAAAGAAGTGGGTATACACACTGCCATGGGGTAAGGCTGAAGATTTTCTCTTTTTTATTATTAAAAGAATATAGTTCAATTTTATTCGCATCTGTATATGTATGTGCCTTCATAAGGTATGGTATAGATCTAGATGTGTACAAGATTCTTACTCTCAATTTCTTCCTGTAAGTAGGCTGCGGTTTGTTATTTATTGTGTATAAAAGTACGGAGATTAACTAATAAAGTTTCGTTAAATAGATGTATAAGCACTTATGGGAAGCAATTGTTTCATACGCACCCAAATATTTAAATAAAATGTATTTTAAAATACCGTTTCATGTAATATAAAGAATATCTACGTTACTTTGTCTTTAAGGTGTTTCGTGTCCTTTTTTTATGTGTTTCATTATATTGTGAATTTTCTATTTTAGTTAATTTTTTTGTCATGGACTGGTGGCATGAATGCATCAGTTGAGAAGTTAAAATGTCTGAATTTTGTTTATAATAAATTAGTAAAACGTTGATTCGTATTTCGTATTCCTTTTACAATCAAGCAGGCGCTGATCACTTGTCATTCATCTTCATAAGTAACTGTTTAGCCCCACTAAACTGACCTAACGTTAAAAAAATAAATAACTAACAAACCTTTAAAGAAAAAGTATATTCCAAGGTATTTTTTTAATCTTCTAACATCTTTTTCTTTTATTTTATTGTGTTTAAAAATAGCAATTAAAATTTAACTTTGCATAAGTTTTAAAGTTTTGCAGTATTTTGGAGAATTTTTGATTTCAAAGATCTTACAATCACATCAAGATGTTAAACAATAAATCGCCGTTGACAATACTGAGGTTTTTTTTATTAACATGAAAGACTAAGTTCCAAGATTTTACAATATTCTCTAAAATTGACAACAAAAAAAAAGAATCTTTTACTGTTTTAATTTTAACTTCCGGAACTTTATTTCGCAATTTATGTACAAATTTTTGTCATACTTTTAAACCGAAAAAAATATATATCTAAATTTATACTGAAATGTCGTCAAAAACCAGATTCTCTTTTCTAAAATAAATGGAATGTTTTGACAATAAAATTTTTATTAAAGACGTAAAAGAATCAATTTTTTTAATATTCTAATGTCTTTTTCTTTTAATTTATTGTCATTAAAAATAGCAATTAAAATTTAACTTTGCATAAGTTTTAAAGTTTTGCAATATTTTGGAGAATTTTTAATTTCAAAGATCTTATAATAATATCAAGAAGTTAAACAATAAATCGCCGTTGACAATACTGAGGTTTTTTTTGTTGAACATGAAAGACTAAGTTCCAAGATTTTACAATAATCTCTAAAATTGACAACAAAAAAAAAAGAATCTTTTACTGTTTTAATTTCAACTTCCGGAACTTTATTTCGCAATTTATGTACAAATATTTATCATACTTTTAAACCGAAAAAAATATATATCTAAATTTATACTGAAATGTCGTCAAAAACCAGATTCTCTTTTCTAAAATAAATGGAATGTTTTGACAATAAAATTTCATTAAAGACGTAAAGAATATATTTTTTTAATATTCTAATATGTTCTTCTTTTAATTTATTGTCATTAAAACTAGCAATTAAATTTTAACTTTGCATAAGTTTAAAGTTTTGCAATATTTTGGAGAATTTTTAATTTCAAAGATCTTATAATAATATCAAGATGTTAAACAATAAATTGCCGTTGACAATACTGACGTTTTTTTTTTATTAACATGAAAGACTAGGTTCTAAGATTTCACAATATTCTCTAAAATTGACAACACAAAAAGATCCTTTTACTGTTTTAATTTTAACTTCCGGAAATTTATTTCGAAATTTATGTACAAACTTTTGTCATACTTTTAAACCGAAAAAAAAATATAACTGAATTTATACTGAAATGTCAAAAACCAGATTCTCTTTTCTAAAATAAGTGGAATGCTTTGACAATAAAATTTTCATTAAAGACGTAAAAAAATCTAATTTTTTAATATTCTAATATCTTTTTCTTTTAATTTATTGTCATTAAAACTAGCAATTAAAATTTAACTTTGCATAAGTTTTAAAGTTTTGCAATATTTTGGAGAATTTTTAATTTCAAAGATCTTATAATAATATCAAGATGTTAAACAATAAATCGCCGTCGACAATACTGAGGTTTTTTTTTATTAACATGAAAGACTAAGTTCTAAGATTTCGCAATATTCTCTAAAATTGACAACAAAAAAAGATCCTTTTATTGTTTTAATTTTAACTTCCGGAACTTTATTTCGCAATTTATGTACAAATATTTGTCATACTTTTAAACCGAAAAAAAATATAACTAAATTTATACTGAAATGTCGTCAAAAACCAGATTCTCTTTTCTAAAATAAATGGAATGTTTTGACAATAAATTTTTTATTAATGACGTAAAAGAATCTAATTTTTTAATATTCTGATATCTTTTCTTTTAATTTATTGTCATTAAAACTAGCAATTAAAATTTAACTTTGCATAAGTTTTAAAGTTTTACAATATTTTGGAGAATTTTTAATTTCAAAGATCTTATAATAATATTAAGATGTTAAACAATAAATCGCAGTCGACAATACTGAGGTTTTTTTTTATTAACATGAAAAACTAAGTTCTAAGATTTCGCAATATTCTCTAAAATTGACAACAAAAAAAGATCCATTTACTGTTTTAATTTTAACTTCCGGAACTTTATTTCGCAATTTATGTACAAATTTTTGTCATACTTTTAAACCGAAAAAATAATATAACTAAATTTATACTGAAATGTCGTCAAAAACCAGATTCTCTTTTCTAAAATAAATGGAATGTTTTGACAATAAAATTTGTATTAAAGACGTAAAAGAATCTAATTTTTTAATATTCTGATATCTTTTTGTTTTAATTTATTGTCATTAAAACTAGCAATTAAAATTTAACTTTGCATAAGTTTTAAAGTTTTACAATATTTTGGAGAAATTTTAATTTCAAAGATCTTATAATGTCAAGATGTTAAACAATAAATCGCCGTCGACAATACTGAGTTTTTTTTTAATTAACAGGAAAGACCAAGTTCTAAGATTTCACAATATTCTCTAAAATTGACAACAAAAAAAAAGCTTAATTTTACAATTTTAATTTCTGGAACTTTATTTTGAAATTTTGAAATTTATGTACAAAGTTACATAAATATACTCTTAAACCGAAAAAAGATAAAAAAATCTGTATTGAAATGTCGTTGTCATAAACCAGATTATCTTTTCTAAAATAAATGGAATGATTTGACAATAAAATTTTCATTAAAGAAGTAAAAAAATTAAATTTTTTAATCTTCAAACATCTTTTTTTAATTTATTATCTTTAAAGAAGGCTAATGAAAATTTAACGTGCAACAGTTTCAACAATCTATATTATTCTGGAGAATTTTAAATCTCAAAAACCTGGGAAGACTGGCTATGGCTACTTTCATGTTGTCTCGACGTTTCATACACATAGAGTACGAAAAAAATAGGTCGTCCGTTTCCATTTGTCTGCCATCTGTCTGGATTTTAATAATTTTTATTAATAAATGTTATTTCAGTTTGATAAAATATTTAATTATAAAGCATAACAGTCAAATTTTTTAATTTTCAGTTGACGATTCTGGAAAAATGGTAGTAATTTTCTTTAATGACACAGCCAAAGAGACAGTCAATGTTTCGTTATAAGATATTTAATAAAAAGAAAATTGCATAACAATCTAAATTGCTCAAGTGAAAACATAAGCGTAATTGTTTTAAAAAGTTAAAAATACACACTTTGCGGAACTATCAAAGATATTAAATGCACACGATAACAAAATACATGAGACGGCTTAGATATGACTCAAACTGAATACTTGCAACTGCGCTTGCGCCTACTCCTCGCACCGGTTTTTCCCCGAACAGCGTCGCACCAATCGATCTCGCAGTCGTTCTGCGCAATTTACGAAGACGACATTAAAACTAGCCGTGTTTAAAAATGAGTATTAGCGCAAATCGCGAACGGTGTGTGCCAAACACCGTTCTCATCAAAGAAATTCTCAAAGATCCAATGACGACGTACTGGGAAGAGACCGCACATACGCCCTTTGTGCTGAAAGAAGTGTCACAGAATTCAATCGAATACGCAACAGTGTGCGCAACATTTCAACAAACGTCGCGAGGTATGTCGATTAAAAAATTAGAAAGAGTGGAAAATCCGTACCTCTTGGGACACTACTTAATGAAGAAAGAAAAAATGGGAAGCGAAGATTCGACTGTCCGCGAAAAAAATCTGTTTCACGGCACACAAAGAAGTTATGTTAATAATATATGCAAGTATAATTTTGACTGGCGGAAACGGGGGAGTTCGAGAGGCCACAAGTTTGGACAAGGAGTGTCTTTTGCCCCGGAAGTATCGTACGCACGACATTATACTATGGATAATGTAATGATCCTTGCAAAGGTCCTAGTGTCTAGGGCAACAATTGGAAATCATTTTACAGTGGTACCACCTACATCGTTTGACACCACCGCTAACAGCAAATGTTCTGTTATTGTGAAATATGACGACGACGATTTTTATCCACAGTACGTTATACATTTTAATCGGATTTAATTTTTTTTTCAGATTTCGAAGCAAGTATTGTGTTGTGATATTTGGTTTTTACTTACTGTATTGAATGATAATTACATGTTCTCACCAGTGTTTTGTTCGTTATCCTATCTTTTATGTTGTTTTTGTACCCAATGTAATTAAAAATAATGAAAAAATGAGATATAGTGTACGTAACTAATTATCCAAGAATTTTTAAATTCAAATATTTCTGTCAAAACTGAATGCATATAATAAACAAACGAATACTGAATTTAATAAAGTTTGCTGCGTCTGTCTGTTGGTGACTGTTAAGTTCTGAAAATATCTGAAATTATGTTAAGAATGTAGACCCTAAAACTCTGACCAATATTTGTCTGATTATCCTCGCCGATAATTCGATGACGTCGTTTCAAAATTCCCCAAAATGAAAAAATAAAAGTTGTAAAACAACATTTTACTATTTAACTTAGAAATTATAAAATCGACTATTATAAAATTTTGAAGGTCACAACATGGTAAGCCGTTAATCAAAATTTGTTTTCTCATACCATCCAAAAACTTAATGACGTCATCTCAAAATTTTGCTGGATGAATTATGTTGATGTTTGATAATAGAAAAAAAAAATCCTTAATGATATAGTAATAATAATATTATACAGCACTTAGAATATTTCAGGAAAAATGGACGATTCTGTAAAGAAAAAGCAAAAGACGTAAGTACACACCATTTACATCTGTTGATGTAGAAAGAAGTTTTTCTTCACACAAAATGTTATTGACAGATTGTTCTTTCCGGGTCGCTGAAGGTAAGTGTCCATAAAATTATGCAAAAAATGTGCATATTTCGAAGAAATTGTGTGCACATAAATCCGCTCTTACTTGATACCTGGCTGTCAATAAATTTTTGGAAGTTCTGTCCAAATAACTTTAGACTAATTTTTTCAAACAATCTGAAAGAATCTTAGAGACTCTGATGTTTTGTTTTTGAAATCTTGGGGGTTCTAGGGTCTTTTTTATTTTTGGAAGAATTTGAAAAGACAAAAAAAAAACAACATTCCACTGCGTGATTTTAAGACTGTGAAATAATTTCGGGGGCCTTGGTCTCTCCAGTGTCGGATTGTGCACCGGGAAATTTCCCGATGGGCCCCGAAGCAGTCTACTTCTTTTTTTATACAATTATTTACATTTTTCACATAAACAGGATATTCCAATTGCAATACTTTACTTTCAGAGCTTAAATTCAATACGAAACAATAGGTTGCCCGTTTCCGTCTGTCTGTCTATCTGTCTGTCTGTCTGTCTGTTTGCCTTCTGTTCGGATTTTTATTAGACAGATAATCTCCGAAACTGCTAAACCAAAAAATTTTTAACTTTTATATGTGTATTACGAATATCGTGTAGATCAAAATTTGGCTAATCATCCCTACCAACAATTTGTTGACGTCAACTACAAAATTTACAGTAGTAAATATTTTTTAATTTTACTAAATAAAATACATCTGCACATGTGGGTTATGAACCCCTGCTGAATTTTTATCCTAGACATCCAGATTTTTGGAGAAAAAAAAATCAAAATTGCATCTTGCAATTTAACTTTGAAACTGCTCTGAAATTTTGAAAACGTTTTAGGTTGTCGTAAGCATGGTAAATCGCTAAAAAAATTTCTTCCCTAAAACAATAATGACATGATTTTAAACTTTTGCCGATTTAATTAATATTTACCAAATATAATCGGGTTTAAAGATTGGATTATCGAACATTTTCGATAATAAAATTTCTAAATTGAAATCGGTAGAAAGTAAAATCGTATGTTTCACCTCACATATTTTTTCCATCTATTTAAACTTCTTTTCGTGTTTTTTCATCAATTTTAAGGTACTTTATCATGTTTTTAAGCAAACTGGCCAATTTTAACGTTGAAGTTGTTTATTGCTTTTTTATTAAATAAAAGGTAAATTTTTGACGTAAAGTTTTTTTAATGCATTTTTTTGACATCACTCCATTTTTAAAGTTATTTTTTAAAAAGTTGTACATTTCTGAAGATTTTGACCATGATTCCAGCAGATCCATATAGAAACAGCTGACTTTGAGATTTTTATAAAAAAATAAAAAAAAACACTTCAAAGTCAAAATTGGTCTGTTAAAAATGATAAAGCACCTTATAATTAATTAAAAAACACAAGTTGGAGTGAAACGTACCGTTTTACTTATTACTAATTTGTCTCTTTTTTAATCTTAAATATTTAATTTTATAGAATTGTATACTCTTGCGTGTGATTCATGAATCCGTGTCGAGTTTTCATACTAGACATCCAGATTTTTGGGGAAAAAAATCAAAGCTGTAACATTTTACAACTTAACTTTGAAATTATAAAACCAAATGCTTTAAAAACTTACAAGTTTAAGATTATCGTAAGCATACTAGACCGTTAACCAAAAAATTTTCGTTTATGGCTTTCTAAAAATGATGACGTCATTTCTACAGGAAATGTTTGTTAATTTTATAGAACTGCATATTCTATGTATGTGTAATGTAGAATCCGTCAATTTGTGTTGAGTTTTTACCCTTGATCCAGATTTATGGGAAAGAATTCAGAATTGTATTTTACAATTTAACTTCAAATTTCGGCCAATTTTTGACATTTTCGAAACTTAACTAAATACATTTTCTTGTAGATTTCGAGCTTTTCCGGAATCGACCGTCGAAATATCGCAATTTTTAGAAATCAGGGTTTTCTTTCACATAGAGATGATTGACTGATAAACTGTTTGATTTGAACTTAACTTAAAATATCTCAAATCAAGTGTTGTCTCAAAGTTTCCATTTTTGAAAAATTCGATTTTTTATTCATTATGAAAAAAATTTCTAATTTATAGAAGAATTATTATTAGAGTCCGTTTCTAGTTGATTGACTTTTTTAAACATTTTATAAAAAATCTACATTTAAATAATAAGTAAAAAAATAGTTGTCTACAAGAGTAAATCCTAAAAATGTTAGTGATTATCTGATAAAGTTAAGGAGACTCGGGCAATCTAAATGCGCTCACTGCACTCGTATTCTAGGAAAATAACAGAAAGAACTTTTAAAATGCGAGCGCAGCGAGCACGTTCGGGTATTATTCAAAAATTATTTATTGATCTCCCTGAGAAGCTAAATTATTATGTAAAGTTTTATTATTATCTAAAAAGATAAGTTTAAAGATCGTGATCACTGAAACAGCCTGCTCGTGCTCGTTACGCTCGCATTTTAAAGACTGATTTTTTTAAAGTTATTTACCTTGACAGGGAGATCTCGAGAATGATTACAATGAAAACTAAGTAGTCTTGGTGGCCGTTCATTTGTAACTAACTGTTTTTTGGCACTAAATGAATTACAAAAAGAATGCGAGCGTAACGAGCACGTTCAGGTGTTCTTAAAAAATATATTCATTAGTATCCTTGAGAAGCTAAATTATTAAGAAAAATTTTGTTTTCATTAAAATATAAGTTTAAAGATTGTTTGTGATCACTTATGTCTGTGGAGTTGAAACATCCTGAACGTGCTCCCTACGCACGCTCGATTATGGCAATGTCGAGTGACAGTAAAAGTTGTTAAGAGTATTAATTCTGAGGTTCTACATGTATGACGCAGTGTTGCCAGATGCTTCTAATGAAATAAAACGGCAAAAATACAAAATGTTGCAAATAATTCTAACCTCAAATTCAATACAAAATTTACCAATTTAAACATGTTCTAAGCATTTGTTATGAAAAGAAAAATGTATATTAACAACAACAAAGGCAAAATATAAGCCCCGCCCACCAGCCCTGTCTCAATTGTAAGGTTCCTTTTAATCGTCGTGAACCGGGGCGGAATCTACATGCAAATTCTTTATTTTTCTACACGAAATTACCATCTGCAACATGTTTTTAAATAATCTTATTGTTCAAAGAACACTATAATTACTAAATGAAAAAGAAAACCAAAGATTAAGTCCCACCTACACCCTCTCCGATCTCAATTGTGATGACTTTTTCATTCGTTGTCAGAGCGGAAGGCGGAGCTTAATTGGAAAATCGACATTTGTATACAATAATTTACCAATTTAAACATGTTCTAAGCATTCTGTTATGAAAAAAAAAACATATATTAAGAATGACAAAGGCAGAATATAAGCCCCGCCCACCCGCCCTGTCTCAATTGTAATGTTCCTTTTAATCGTCGTGAACCGGGGGCGGAATCTAGGTACATGCAAAATTTTTATTTTTCTACACAAAATTACCACCTGCAACATGTTTTTAAATAATCGTATTGTTCAAAGAACACTATAATTATTAAATGAAAAAGAAAACCAAAGATTAAGTCCCACCTACACCCTCTCCGATCTCAATTATGATGACTTTTTCATTCGTAGCCAGAGCGGAAGGCGGAGCTTAATTGCAAAATCGACATTTGTATACAATAATTTACCAATTCAAACATGTTGTAAGCATTTTGTTATGAAAAAAAAAAACATATATTAAGAACGACAAACGCAAAATATAAACCCCGCCCACCCGCCCTGTCTCAATTCTAATGTTCTTTTTTAATCGTCGTGAACCGAGGACGGAGCCTAAATGCAAAATCCCTATTTTTCTACACGAAATTACCGTCTGCAACACGTTCTTAAATAATCATATTGTTCAAGGAATACTGTAATAGTTGTTAAATAAAAAAGGAAGCCAAAGATTAAGCGCCACCCACACCCAGTTTTGAATTTTTTCAAATTCTTCAAATTTCGGCCAATTTTTGACATTTTCAAAACTTTACGAAATACATTTTTTTGTAGATTTCGAGCTCTAGAACACACTTCCGGTCTCGTTTCTTTGATAACTGCAACCGTTTTTCCGGAATCGACCGTCGAAATATCGGAATTTCTAGAAATCATCAAAAATTCGCATTTCGTACCGATTCTTTACAAAATGTTGCTCGATGACCATCAACACGCTATATTTTTGGAATCAGCATGTCGAGATCTACGTTCATGAATTTTTTCGTAATTTTTAGGCAATTTTTTTAAAAGTGAAATTTTCTTTTCTTCAAATTTCAGTCAAATTTTGACATTTTCGTAACTTAACTAAATACATTTTCTTGTAGATTTTGAACTCTAGCTAGAACACACTTCCGGCCTCATTTCTTTGATAACTGCAACCGTTTAGAAATTTTCAAATATTTGCATTTCGCACCGATTCTTTCTTTTTTGGAATCAGTACGTCGGGATATATATCCCTGAATTTTTTTAGAATTTTTAGACAACTATTTCAAAAATGAAAGTTTCTACTATGATACCACCCTCATGCAAATTTCGAGCCATTTTTGACGATTTTCGAAATTTAACTAAATATTTTTTTTATAATAGATTTCGGGCCGCAGAAGTCACTTGACTTGACGAAATCTACAGGAACCTGCGGAATCTATCTGCGGAAGTCATTTCTTTAATTCAGTGCATTGAAATATTACAATTTTTAAAATTTCAAAAAATTCAAAGGTGGTGAATCCTGCATTTTTTTAAGCTCAGTTCAGATTGCAGAGTTTTTGTTCGGATTAAAGGGGCATCGACTTCAATTAGCCTCTTTTCGGATTACTGGATGTGGGTTCAGATTATAGAGGTTGTAGTGTAATTGAAACATGTTAAATCCTTAGTCAAAATTTGTCCGTTATCTTACATTTTTGGCGATTTTTTTGGGAAAAAAGCCGAGTATGAATTAATCAATCAGTCCTTTCCTCTGTGTTGAGGACACAAAACCAACCAAATTTAATTTTTTTTTTATCGCTGATGTTTGTGCTAGTAGTCGAATTCGGTCGAAGCATAAACATAAACAATCGAAGTTAGGCATATACTGAGAAATTGAAATTGTCTACATTTTTCCCGTTAGTTATCTGCTATCTTTAAATATTTCATATTTAAAGACGTCGGGATTGCGGGGATGTTAATTACACCACTTTATAGAGGTTAACAGTTATCACAAAACGAAAATTGCTCAATCTAATTTTATAATTATTTAAAGAAGCGGAATTTATCGGACTATCGGCGCGGGAAGTTCTGTCAAAATAACCTTCTACAATTTTTTTTAACTAGTTTCGTTTTTCTTGGTAGCTTCATCAAAATTCCAAAAACGACATAATTTTTTCAAAACGCCAAGTCGCCAGCAAAACTGAAAATAATAACAGTGATAATAATACCCAAACAACATCTGTATATAATACCACAGGGCCCCACTTTGTAAATTTCCCGGTGGACCCCCATGTCCTTAATCCGACACTGGGTCTCTCCTTTATGTTAACTGCCGTCAAAAAATAAAATTCGTAAAATGAAATTTTAAATTTTTTAAGAATTTTGAAATGACGCAACCGATATTTTAAAGGGGACTTGGACAAATTTTAATTAACGTCTTGCTATCAACGCTATAATTTTAAATCACGCTAAAATATCGGAATAATTTGGTGGTTTTAAAAGTATTTACGTAATAAAATCTCCAACCATCAGCAGTAGAAAATCGTGACTAGAACATTACATGTGAAATTCAATCTAAGATAGCCGATGTAAGTTATTCGATAAAATAAATCGTTGTTTTTAGAATCGCGTGTGTATAGGGGTGTTAAATATTAAAACTGAATTAAAAACTATTTATGTTGCAAAACAATCTAAATTGTTCAATGAAAACACAAACGCAGTTGTTTTTAAAGAATTAAAAATACACACTTTGCGGAATCCATCAAAAGTATCAAATGCACACAATTACACAATAGACAATACATTCCGCGATATAGATAGATATGATGCAGCTTGAGTGCAATATTATCACTTTCATCCGAGTGCAGCTATGCAACTGCACATGCGTTGCACCGGTATTTCCCCGAAATGTATTAAGAAAATCGATCTCGCAGTCGTTCTGCGCAATTCGTGAAAACAACATTTAGAATATTCGTGCAACAAAATGAGTATAAGCGCAAATTGCGAACAGTGTGAGCGAAATCCCGTTCTCGCTGAAGAAATTCTGAAAGATCCAATGACGACGTGGTGGGAAGAAACCGCACAATCGCCGGTTGAGTTGAAAGAAGTTTCGGAAAATTCAACAGAATACGAGGAAGTGAATGGATTATTTCGACTAACGTCGCGGGGTATGTCAATCACGAAGTTAGAACGGGTGGAAAATCCGTATCTGTTGGGACACTACTTAATGAAAAAAGAAAAAATGCGGAGCGAAGGTTCTTATCCATCGGAAAGGTCTTTGTTTCATGGTACATTCGAGAAATATGTCAGTGACATATGCAAGTATAATTTTGATTGGCGGAAATGTGGAAATTCGAGAGGGCACAAGTTTGGTCAAGGAGTCTCCTTTGCGCCGGAAGTGTCATATGCACGGCATTATACTACGTATGGGGAGGACGTAATGATACTTACAAAGGTCTTAGTGTCTAAGGATATAGTTGGAAGTTCTAGTACAGTGGTACCACCCGCACCATATGATACCACCAAAAACATCAAAAACACTGTTATTGTGAAATATGACGACGATGATTTTTATCCACAATATGTAATACATTTTAAGCGGTTTTAATTTTTTTTTAATTACAAAAAAGGTTTGTGTTTGTAATATTTAATTTTCCTTAATATATATAGTGGTATAACGATAATTGTTTGTTATACTTATCGCTTTATTTTATCGTTTCTATTGTCTATACATTAATGATTATAAATTAAAAATAAAAAAGTCAGGTATGCTGTACGTTATTAATAATACAAACATTTCCAATGATGTAACGTTAAATTCATATTCCACTTTGAAACCGCTTATCAAAACTGAATGAATTTTTGCACTTGAATCAGTGATTCAGATTTAAAACATAATAAGCACACTTCAGCTGAAGATTTTATTGCGCTTGTAATATCTGAAACACCTTGACTAATTGTTTGAAATTTTAAATTTCTTTTAAGAATATCTTGCGTTAAATCCTAAAATAAACCATACGCGTTCGTACGTGTGGTTTATGAATCTTATCATATCTTTATTAAGGGGGAAGACGGTGCTTTGTAGATTACACCTGGTGAAATAAAAATGTGAATCTCACTGAATTTTTTAGTCGACTTTTCGTTCGATATAAGTAGGATTTTCTGGTTGCATAACTACAAAGACCGGTCTAGTGTTGCACACGACTTCTTTGAATTTGTCATCACTTTGTTACGCACAATAAAGCTGCTTTGATAAATCGATAAAAAACCTTATAATAAATAGATACCAATACTCAGACTGAAAGCTGTGACTAGACATGAAGCTATCTGTTGTCGTTTTCTACGTCAAGAGGAGTAGTATAATGCTATCCTTGTGTGATCACCACATCTTCATCTTTGTTATATGCATTTCATCTGTATATGTCTATTTCACTTCCATCCTTGTACCGCACCAGCGCAACAAATCGCTTTTGACAGATGTTTCTTCTAACCTCTCTTTCGAGTTGTTGTACAAAAAACAATTTTAGAATTTAGAACAAAGATCCTATTTTAAGTGATGTAATCATAAAGGATCACAATTGCTGCCCAATAATTTACTATTCCTTTCATTATCTACTGTGAATTATTTATAAAATCAAGCTGTCAACATCTTTCGTACGAAGTTAGTTCAGACATACTTCCTAAAATTTAGGCGCGCAAAATTCAAATAGTGATCAGGCAAGGATAGCTTCATTGTAATCCCTTCATGTACGAGAGAGATGTGTGACAGGAGGATGTCGTCACAGGCTCTGCTAGGGAAAGAACACGGCATGGTGGTATCTATTTATTATATGATCTAAGTAAAAAACAAAAATCAGAATTCTAAAAATATGTGCATTATTTATATTTTTTAATGTGTTCTTATTGTAAATGTATCCGTCAAATTTTAAAAAGAGAAAGTGTTTTTATATTTCGCGCGCATTCCTTTATTATAAGTATCACGTTTGGGCGGAGTCTCTCAGGTCAAGGCAACGACGGATGCATCGTGTGATTCCCCTAAAGATGCAATGTTGTTCAAGCTTGCACAAACTGCTGGTTTGAAGTTATTTTTAAACGGTGGGTCGACAGTAGTTTCATTCGGGTAGAGGGCAGCATACACAACATTGTTAGTAGGTAAGTCGTAGTTTGTATATTTTTCAGCATATGTGGTAATACTAGAAATACTTTGCAGAAACTCATCGCATCGATTGTTCAACAGTAAAAGTTGTGGTTAAAATGAGTATTAGCGCAAATCGCGAACGGTGTGTGCGAAATCCCGTTCTCATCAAAGAAATCCTCAAAGATCCAATCACGACGGATTGGGAAGAAACCGTCCATACGCCGTTTGTGCTGAAAGAAGTGTCGCAGAGTTCAGCCGAATACGGAAGAGTGAATACAACATTTGAACGAACGTCACGGGGTATGTCGATTAAAAAATTAGAAAGAGTGGAAAATCCGTACCTCTTGGGACACTACTTAATGAAAAAAGAAAAAATGCGAAGTGAATGTTCGGTTGTCCGGGAAATATCCCTGTTTCACGGCACACAAAGAAGTTATGTCAATAATATATGCAAGTATAATTTTGACTGGCGAAAACGGGGGAGTTCGAGAGGCCACAAGTTTGGACAAGGAGTGTCTTTTGCCCCGGAAGTATCATACGCACGACATTATACTATGGATAATGTAATGATCCTTGCAAAGGTCCTAGTGTCTAGGGCCTCAATTGGAAATCAATTTACGGTGGTACCACCAACATCGTGTGACACCACCGCAAATAGCAAATGTTCTGTTATTGTGAAATAGGAAGACGACGATTTTTATCCGCAATATGTTATACATTTTAATCGGTTTTAATTTTTTTTTTTCAAATTAAAAAGCAGTATTGTGTTGTGATTTTTAGTTTTTACTTATTGTATTGAATGATAATTAAATGTACCCACCAGTGTTTTGTTTGTTATAATTTTCGCATTATTTTATATTTTATGTTCTTTGTATCCAATGTAATTAAAAATAAAGAAAAAAGATACATGATGGTTATTATTTATCTAAGAATTTTTAAATTCAAATTTTGCTGTCAAAAATGAATGCTTTTTTCACTCCGCCTGTTTGTTGGTGACTATTAAATTCTGAAAATACCTAAAATTATATGCAAAGAGTGTAGATGCTAAAACTCTAACCAATATTTGTCTGATTATCCTCGCCAGTAATTTTATGACGTCATCTTAAAATTCCTCAAAGTGAAAAAATAAAAGCTGTAAAACATTTTACAATTTAACTTAGAAATTATAAAATCGACTACTAAGAAATTTTGAAGGTCACCTTATACATGGTAAGCCGCTAATAAAAATTTGTTTGCTAATACCATCCGAAAACTTAATGACGTCATCTCAAAATTTTGCTAGATGAATTCGGTTGATGATTGATAATAGAAAAAAAATCTTTATCATCTATTTTAAGGTACTTTATTATGTTTTTAAGCAAACTTATAAAATAAAAATCAATTTTTGATGAAGTTTTTTATGCATTTTTTGACTTTTCACCCCAGTTTCAAGGTAATTTTTTAAAAAGTTGTGGATTTCTAAAGATTTTGACCGTGATTCCAGCGGGTCCATATAGAAACAGCTGACTTTGAGATTTTTATAAAAAAATAAGAAAAACACTTCAACGTCAAGACTGGTATGTTAATAATGATAAATCACCTTATAATTAATTAAAAAACAAAAGGTGGAGTGAAACGTACCATTTTACTTAATACTGATTTGTCCCTCTTTTTTATCTTAAATATTTAATTTTGTAGAATTGCATTCTCCTGCATGTGTGATTCATGAATCCGTGTCGAGTTTTCCCCTAGGCATCCTGAATCAAAACTGTGTCACATTTTACAACTTAACTTTGAAATTGTAAAACCGAATGCTTTAAAAACTTACAACTTCAAGATTATCGTAAGCATAGTAGATCGTTAAACAAAATTTTTTCGTTTATGGCTTTCCAAAAATGATGACATCATTTTATAATTTTCTAGAACAAATGTTTCTTAATTTTATAGAACTACATATTCCATGTATGTGTAATGTAGAATCCGTCAATTCGTGTTGAGTTTTCACCCTAGATCTAGATTTTTGGAAAAGAATTCAAAATTGTACTTTACAATTTAACTTGAAAATTGCAAAAGCGAATGTACTGAAATACTGCAAACGTTTTAAGGTTTGGGAAAGATGATAAATCGTTAATCAAAATTTGTTCTTTCTTGCATGTGTGATTTATGAATCCTTGTTGAGTTTTTACCCTTGGCAGCCAGATTTTTGGAAAAAAAAAAATCAACATTGTATAACAATATTTAACATTGTAACTATGAAATTGTAAAAACCGAATTATGTGAAATCGTGCAAATATTTTAAGATTACAGTAGAACCGCGATAATCCGAATTAATTGGGGGGTGTGTTCGGATTAGCGATTTGTTCAGAACAGCTAATTTCCCAAAAATCTGACAGAAAATTGAGTAACAACTTCACACACTGCTGAAAACAAACTTTAAGAAATAAACCTTAATTTTTTTAAACAGAAATAAAGGATTTTTAAGCAACAATGGATAATAGATACATTTGAAAACAATATTACTCCGTGGCCATAAACATTTTTTCGAATCAACAGGTCGGAATCTAGGTATATCCCTTAATTTTTTCAGGATATTTTGATAACTTTTTCAAAAATGAAATTTTCCATTATGTATTCGTATTAGGTTTCCCTAATGCAAAATTGGACCGTTTCTCGACGTTTTTCAAAATTTAACTAAACACATTTTCTTGTAGATTTTCTTTCTTCGACAACTTAAACTGTTTTTCCAGAATCGTCCATTGAAATATTGCAATTTTTAAAAATTTCGAAAAATTCGACTTTCACACCGATCAACACGCTATATTTTTGGAGTCAGCAAGTCGAGATCTACGTCCCTGAATTTTTACACAGTTTTTAGACAACTTTTCTAAAAGTGAAATTTTTTCAATGGTCCCCCCTTCCTTCTAATTTCGGCCAATTTTTGACATTTTCAAAACTTTACTAAATACATTTTTTGTAGATTTCGAGCTCTAGAACACACTTCCGGTCTCGTTTCTTTGATAACTGCAACCGTTTTTCCGGAATCGACCGTCGAAATATCGGAATTTCTAGAAATCATCAAAAATTCGCATTTTGTACCGATTCTTTAGAAAATGTTGCTCGATGACCATCAACACGCTATATTTTTGGAATCAGCATGTCGAGATCTACGTTCATGAATTTTTTCGTAATTTTTAGACAACTTTTTTAAAATTGAAATTTTTTCAATGGTCCCCCTTCTTCAAATTTCGACCAAATTTTGACATTTTCGAAACATAACTAAATACATTTTCTTGTAGATTTCGAGCTCTAGAACTCACTTCCGGCCTCATTTCTTTGATAACCGCAACCGTTTAGAAATTTTCAAAAATTTGCATTTCGCACCGATTCTTTCTTTTTTGGAATCAGTACGTCGGGATATATATCCCTGAAGTTTTTTAGAATTTTTAGACAACTATTTCAAAAATGAAAGTTTCTACTATTATACCACCCTCATGCAAATTTCGACCCATTTTTGACGATTTTCGAAATTTAACTAAATACTTTTTTTATAGATTTCGGGCCGCAGAAGTCACTTGACTTGACGAAATCTACAGGAACCTGCGGAACCTATCTGCGAAAGTCCGGCCTCATTTCTTTAATTCAGTGCATTGAAATATTGCAATTTTTTAAAATTTCGAAAAATTCAATTCACCACGTGCTGAAAGAAGATCTTGCGTCATTTTTGCAAGTAGGTGCATGTTTTTAAGTTCAGTTCGGATTGCAGAGTTTTTGTTCGGATTAAAGAGGCATCGACTTCAATTAGCCTCTTTTCGGATTACTGGATGTGGGTTCGGATTATAGAGGTTATACTGTAATTGAAAGATGGTAAATCCTTAGTCAAAATTTGTCCGTCATCTTACATTTATGGCGATTTTTTTGGGAAAAAAGCCAAGTATGAATTAATCAATCAGTCTTTTCCTCTACGTTGAGGACACAAAATCAACCAAATTTCATTTTCTTTTAATCGCTGATGTTTGTGCTGGTAGTCGAATTTGGTCGAAGCATCAACATAAACAATCGAAGTTAAGCATCTACTGAGAAGTTAAAATTGTCTACATTTTTCCCGTTAGTTATCTGCTATCTTTAAATATTTCATATTCAAAGACGTTTGGGTTGCGGGTATGTTACGCCACTTTATAAAGGTTAACAGTTATCACAAGACGAAAGTTGCTAATTTTATAATTTTTTAAAAGAATTTATCGGACCATCAGTGAGGAAGTTCTGTCAATATAACCTTCTACAATTTTTTTAACTAGCTTCGTTTTTCTTGGTAGCCTCATCAAAATTCCAAAAACGACATAATTTTTTCAAAACGCCAAGTCGCCAGCAAAACTGATAATAATAACAGTAATATTAATATCCAAACAATATCTGTAAACCACAGGGTCCCATTTTGTAAATTTCCCGGTGGACGCCCATGTCCTCAATCCGACACTGGGTCTCTCCCTCAAAAAATAAAATTCATAAAATGAAATTTAATTTTTTTTTAAGAAATTGAACTTATTTTGTAGCTAAATTCAAGCAAAATTTGCCGTACAAAATTTTGAAATGAGGCAACCGATATTTTAAAGAGGACTTGGACAAATTTTAATTAACGTCTTGCTATCAACGCTATAATTTTAAATCACGGGAAAATATCGGAATCATTTGGTAGTTTTAAAAGTAGTTACACAATAAAATCGCCAACAATCAGCAATTGAAAATCATGACTAGAATATTAAATACATGTGAAACTCAATCTAAGATGGCGGGTGTAAGTTATTCGATAAAATAAATCCTTGTTTTTAGAATCGCATGGGTATAACGGTGTTAAATATTAAAACTGAAATAATAATCCGAGATGAATTAAAAACCATTTATGTTGCAAAACAATCTAAATTGTTCTATGAAAACACAAACACAGTTGTTTTTAAAGAATTAAAAATACACATTTTGCGGAATCCATCAAAAGTATCAAATCCGTGTGCAAATTACACAATAGACAATAAATCCGGTAATATAGATAAATATGACGCAGTTTGAGTGCAATATTATCACTTTCATCCGACTACACCTGCTCATGCGTTGCACCGGTATTTCCCCGAACTGTATTAGGAAAATCGATCTCGCAGTCGTTCTGCGCAATTCGTGAAAACAACATTTAGAATATTGGTGCCAAAAAAATGAATATAAGCGCAAATTGCGAACAGTGTGAGCGAAATCCCGTTCTCACTGAAGAAATTCTGAAAGATCCAATGACGACGTGGTGGGAAGAAACCGCACATTCGCCGGTTGAGTTGAAAGAAGTTTCGGAAAATTCAACAGAATACGAAGAAGTAAATCGATTATTTCGACTAACGTCGCGAGGTATGTCTATCAGGAAGTTAGAACGGGTGGAAAATCCGTATCTGTTGGGACACTACTTAATGAAAAAAGAAAAAATGCGGACCGAAGGTTCTAATCCATCGGAAAGGTCTTTGTTTCATGGTACATTCGAGAAATATGTCAATGACATATGCAAGTATAATTTTGATTGGCGGAAATGTGGAAATTCGAAAGGCCACAAGTTTGGTCAAGGAGTCTCCTTTGCGCCGGAAGTATCATACGCACGATATTATACTACGTATGGGGAGGATGTAATGATACTTACAAAGGTCTTAGTGTCTAAGGATATAGTTGGAAGTTCTAGTACAGTGGTACCACCCGCACCATATGATACCACCAAAAACAGCAAAAACACTGTTATTGTGAAATATGACGACGATGATTTTTATCCACAATATGTGATACATTTTAAACGGTTTTAATTTTTTTTTAATTACAAAAAAGGATTGTGTTTGTAATATTAGTTTTCCTTAATATATATAGTGATATAATGATAATTGTTTGTCATACTTATCGCTTTATTTTATCGTTTCTATTGTCTGTACATTAATGATTATAAATTAAAAATAAAAAAGTCAGGTATGCTGTACGTTATTGATAATACAAACATTTCCAATGATGTAACGTTAAATTCATATTCCACTTTGAAACCGCTTATAAAAACTGAATGAATTTTTGCACTTGAATCAGTGATTCAGATTTAAAACATAATAAGCACACTTCAGCTGACGATTTTATTGCACTTGTAATATCTGAAACACTTTGACTAATTGTTTGAAATTTTAAATTTCTTTTAAGAATATCTTGCCGTACCTAAATCCTAAAATAAACCATACGCGTCCGTACGTATGGTTTATGAATCTTATCATATTTTTATTAGGGGGGAAGACGGTGCTCTGTAGATTACACGTGGTGAAATAAAAATGTGAATCTCACTGAATTTTTTAGTCGACTTTTCATTCGATATTTGTAGGATTTTCTGGTTGCATAACTACAAAGACCGGTCTAGTGTTGCACACGACTTCTTTAAATTTGCCATCACTTTGTTACGCACAATAAAGCTGCTTTGATAAATCGATAAAAAACAAAAATCAGAATTCTAAAAATACCTATGTGCATTATTTATATTTTTTAATGTGTTCTTATTGTAAATGTATCCGTCAAATTTTAAAAAGAGAAAGTGTTTCGCGCGCATTCCTTTATTATCAGTACCACGTTTGGGCGGAGTCTCTCAGGTCAAGGCAATGACGGATGCATCGTGTGATTCCCCTAAGGATGCAATGTTATTCAAACTTGCACAAACTGCACGTCTGAAGTTATTTTTAAACGGTGAGTCGACAGTAGTTTAATTCGGGTAGAGGGCAGCATACACAACGTTGTTAATAGGTAAGTCGTAGTTGTATATTTTTCAACATATGTGGTAACACTAGAAACACTTTGCAGAAACTCATCGCATCGATCTTTCAACAGTAAAAATTGTGGTTAAAATGAGTATTAGCGCAAATCGCGAACGGTATGTGCGAAATCCCGTTCTCATCAAAGAAATCCTCAAAGATTCAATCACGACGGATTGGGAAGAAACCGTCCATATACCGTTTGTGCTGAAAGAAGTGTCGCAGAATTCAGCCGAATACGCAAGAGTGAATGCAACATTTGAACGAACGTCACGGGGTATGTCGATTAAAAAATTAGAAAGAGTGGAAAATCCGTACCTCTTGGGACACTACTTAATGAAAAAAGAAAAAATGCGAAGTGAATATTCGGTTGTCCGGGAAATATCCCTGTTTCACGGCACACAAAAAAGTTATATCAATAATATATGCAAGTATAATTTTGATTGGCGGAAACGGGGAAGTTCGAGAGGCCACAAGTTTGGGCAAGGAGTGTCTTTTGCCCCGGAAGTACCATACGCACGACATTATACTATGGATAATGTAATGATCCTTGCAAAGGTCCTAGTGTCTAAGGCCTCAATTGGAAATCAATTTACGGTAGTACCACCAACATCGTTTGACACCACCGCAAACAGCAAATGTTCTGTTATTGTGAAATATGAAGACGACGATTTTTATCCGCAATATGTTATACATTTTAATCGGTTTTAATTTTTTTTCAGATTTCAAAGCAAGTATTGTGTTGTGATATTTAGTTTTTACTTTTTGTATTGAATTATAATTAAATGTACTCACCAGTGTTTTGTTTGTTATACTTTTCGCATTATTTTATATTTTATGTTGGTTTTGTATCCAATGTAATTAAAAATAAAGAAAAAAGATATATGGTGGTTATTATTTATCTGAGAATTTTTAAATTAAAATTTTACTGTCAAAAATGAATGCTTTTTTCACTCCGCCTGTCTGTTGGTGACTATTAAATTCCGAAAATACCTAAAATTATATGTTAAAAGTGTAGATGCTAAAACTCTAACCAATATTTGTCTGATTATCCTCGACAGTAATTTGATGACGTCTTCCTCAATGTGAAAAAATAAAAGCTGTAAAACATTTTACAATTTAACTTAGAAATTATAAAATCGACTGCTATGAAATTTTGAAGGTCACCTTATACATGGTAAGCCGCTAATAAAAATTTGTTTGCTCATACCATCCGAAAACTTAATGACGTAATCTCAAAATTTTACTGAATGAATTCGGTTGATGATAGATAATCGAAAAAAAATCATTATCATCTATTTTAAGGTACTTTATTATGTTTTTAAGCAAACTTATAAAATAAAAACCAATTTTTGATGAAGTTTTTTATGCATTTTTTGACATTTCACTCCATTTGCAAGGTATTTTTTTAAAAAGTTGTGCATTTCTGAAGATTTTGATCGGGATTCCAGCGGGTCTATATAGAAACAGCTGACTTTGAGATTTTTATAAAAAAATTTAAAAAACTCTTCAACGTCAAAATTGGTCTGTTAAAAATGATAAAGCACCTTATAATCAATTAAAAAACAAAAGGTGGAGTGAAACGTACCATTTTACTTAATACTGATTTGTCCCTTTTTTTTATCTTAAATATTTCATTTTGTAGAATTGCATTCTCCTGCATGTGTGATTCATGAATCCGTGTCGAGTTTTCACCCTAGATATCCAGAATCAAAACTGTATCACATTTTACAACTTAACTTTGAAATTGTAAAACCGAATGCTTTAAAAACTTACAACTTCAAGATTATCGTAAGCACAGTAGATCGTTAAATAAAATTTTTTCGTTTATGGCTTTTCAAAAATGATGACGTCATTTTATAATTTTCTAGAACAAATGTTTCTTAATTTTATAGAACTACATATTCCATGTATGTGTAATGTAGAATCCGTCAATTCGTGTTGAGTTTTTACCCTAGATCCAGATTTTTGGGAAAGAATTCAAAATTGTATTTTACAATTTAACTTGAAAATTGCAAAAGCGAATGTACTGAAATACTGCAAACGTTTTAAGGTTTTGGAAAGATGATAAATCGTTAATCAAAATTTGTTCTTTTAAGGCCTTCCCAAAAAATTATTACGTCATTATTACGATTCTGCTGAACAAATAATGTTCTTCAAATTGTGGAAAATAACACATTCCTGCATGTGTGATTTATGAATCCTTGTTGAGTTTTACCCTTGGCAGCCAGATTTTTGGAAAAAAAAATCAACATTGCATAACAATATTTAACAATGTAACTTTGAAATTGTAAAAACCGAATTATGTGAAATCGTGCAAATATTTTAAGATTACAGTAGAACCTCGATAATCCGAATTAATTGGGGGGTGTGTTCGGATTAGCGATTTGTTCAGAACAGCAAATTTCCCAAAAATTTGACAGAAAATTGAGTAACAACTTCATACACTGCTGAAAATAAACTTTAAGAAATAAACCTTAATTTTTTAAACAGAAATAAAGTATTTTTAAGCAACAATGGATAATAGATACATTTGAAAACAATATTACTCCGTGACCATAAACATTTTTTCGAATCAACAGGTCGGGATCTAGGTATATCCCTTAATTTTTTCAGAATTTTTTGATAAATTTTTCAAAAATGAAATTTTCCATTATGTATTCGTATTAGGTATCCCTTATGCAAAATTGGACCGTTTCTCGACGATTTTCAAAATTTAACGAAATACATTTTCTTGTAGATTTTCTTTCTTCGACAACTTAAACTGTTTTTCCAGAAGCGTCCATTGAAATATTTCAATTTTTAAAAATTTCGAAAAATTCGACTTTCACACCGATCAACACGCCATATTTTTGGAATCAACATGTCGAGATCTACGTCCCTGAATTTTTTCATAGTTTTTAGACAACTTTTTTAAATGTGAAATTTCGGCCAATTTTTGACATTTTCAAAACTTTACTAAATACATTTTTTTGTAGATTTCGAGCTCTAGAAAACACTTCCGGTCTCGTTTCTTTGATAACTGCAACCGTTTTTCCGGAATCGACCGTCGAAATATCGGAATTTTTAGAAATCGTCAAAAATTCGCGTTTCGTAGCGATTCTTTCGAAAATGTTGCTCGGTGACCATCAACACGCTATATTTTTGGAATCAGCATGTCGAAATATACGTTCATGAATTTTTTCGTAATTTTTAGACAACTTTTTTAAAAGTGAAATTTTTTCAATGGTCCCCCTTCTTTAAGTTTCGGTCAAATTTTGATATTTTCGAAACTTTACTAAATACATTTTCTTGTAGATTTCGAGCTCTATAACACACTTCCGGCCTCATTTCTTTGATAACCGCAACCGTTTAGAAATGTTCAAAAATTTGCATTTCGCACCGATTCTTTCTTTTTTGGAATCAGTACGTCGGGATATATATCCCTGGATTTTTTTAGAATTTTTAGACAACTATTTCAAAAATGAAAGTTTCTGCTATGATACCACCCTCATGCAAATTTCGACCCATTTTTGACGATTTTCGAAATTAACTAAATACTTTTTTTATAGATTTCGGGCCGCAGAAGTCACTTGAGTTGACGAAATCTACAGGAACCTGCGGAATCTATCTGCGGGAGTCCGGCCTCATTTCTTTAATTCAGTGAATTGAAATATTGCAATTTTTAAAAATTTCAAAAAATTCAGTTCACCACGTGCTGAAAGAAGATCGTACGTCATTTTTGCAAATAGGTGCATGTTTTTAAGTTCAGTTCGGATTGCAGAGTTTTGTTCGGATTAAAGAGGCATCGACTTCAATTAGCCTCTTTTCGGATTACTGGATGTGGGTCCGGATTATAGAGGTTGTACTGTAATTGAAACATGGTAAATCCTTAGTCAAAATTTGTCCGCCATCTTACATTTTCGGCGATTTTTTTGGGAAAAAAGCCGAGTAAGAATTAATCAATCAGTCCTTTCTTCTGCGTTGAGGACACAAAATCAACCAAATTTCATTTTCTTTTAATCGCTGATGTTTCTGCTAGTAGTCGAATTCGGTCGAAGCGTAAACATACACCATCGAAGTTAAGCATCTACTGAGAAATTGAAATTGTCTACATTTTTCCTGTTAGTTATCTGCTATCTTTAATTATTTCATATTTAAAGACGTCGGGATTGCGGGGATGTTAATTACACAACTTTATAGAAGTTAACAGTTATCACAAGACGAAAATTGCACAATCTACTTTAATAATTTTTTAAAGAAGCGGAATTTATCGTAGCATAGGCACGGAAAGTTTTGTCAAAATAACCTTCTAAAATTTTTTTAACTAGCTTCGTTTTTCTTGGTAGCGTCATCAAAATTCCAAAAACGACATAATTTTTTCAAAACGCCAAGTCGCCAGCAAAACTGAAAATAATAACAGTGATAATAATACCCAAACAACATCTGTATATAATACCACAGGGCCCCACTTTGTAAATTTCCCGGTGGACCCCCATGTCCTCAATCCGACACTGGGGCTCTCCTTTATGTTAACTGCTGTCAAAAAATAAAATTCATAAAATGGAATTTCAAACTTTTTTAAGAAATTGAACTTATTTTGTAGCTAATTTCAAGCAAAATTTACGGCACAGAATTTTGAAATGACGCAACCAATATTTTAAAAAGGACTTGGACAAATTTTAATTAACGTCTTGCTATCAACGCTATAATTTTAAATCACGCGAAAATATCTGAATAATTTGGTAGTTTTAAAAGTATTTACGCAATAAAATCGCCAACAGTCAGTAGTAGAAAATCATGGCTAGAACATTATATGAGAAACTCGATCTAAGATAGCCGGTGTAAGCTATTCGATAAAATAAAACGTTGTTTTTAGTGTATAACGGTGTTAAATATTAAAACTGAAACAATAATCCGAGATGAATTAAAAAACGAGTTTATGTTGCAAAACAATCTAAATTGTTCTATGAAAACTCAAACGCAGTTATACACACTTTGCGGAATCTATGAAATTATCAATTACACAATAGACGACACATCCGGCGATATAAATAAATACGACGCAGTTTGAATGCAATAATAATTCTTTCATCCAAATGCAAATATGCAAATGCACATGCGCTGCACCAGTACTTCCCCTAACTTTTTAAGGAAAATAGATCTTGCAGTCCGTCTGCGCAATTCGTTCAAACAACATTTAGAATATTCGTGCAAAAAATGAGTATTAGCCCAAATAGCGAACGGTGTGAGCGAAACCCCGTTCTCATCAAGGAAATTCTCAAAGATCCAATGACGACGAATTGGGAAGAAACCGCACATTCGCCTGTTGAGTTGAAAGAAGTTTCGGAAAATTCAACAGAATACGAAGAAGTGAATGAATTATTTCAAGAGACTTCGCGGGGTATGTCTATCACGAAGTTAGAACGGGTGGAAAATCCGTATCTGTTGGGACACTACTTAATGAAAAAAGAAAAAATGCAGAACGAAGGTTCTTATCCATCGGAAAAGTCTTTGTTTCATGGTACATTCGAGGAATACGTCAGTGACATATGCAAGTATAATTTTGATTGGCGGAAATGTGGAAATTCGAAAGGCCACAAGTTTGGTCAAGGAGTCTCCTTTGCGCCGGAAGTGTCATATGCACGACATTATACTAGAGTTGGGGAGGATGTAATGATACTTACAAAGGTCTTAGTGGGTAAGGACACAGTTGGAGATTCTAGTACAGTGGTACCACCAGCACCATATGATACCACCACAAACTGCAAAGACACTGTTTTTGTGAAATATGACGACGATGATTTTTATCCACAATATGTGATACATTTTAAATGGTTTTAATTTTTATTAGATTATAAAAAAGTATTATATTTGTAATGATTAATTTTCCTTATTATATACAGTTATGTAATCGCAACTGTTCGCTTTATTTTATCGTATCTATTGTCTGTATATTAAATATAATTAAAAATAAAAAAGTCATTTTCATTGTTGCAACGTTAAATTCATATTCCACTTGGAAACCGGTTACCAGAACTGAATGAATTTTTGCACTTCAATAAGTGATTCAGATTTAATACATAATAAACACACTTCAGCTGACGATTTTTTGTTTGTTTTAGAATATCCTGTGTATGATAAAACGCCGACAAAAATTTGTTTGTTCATCCCCACCAACAATTTCAACGTCATCTTAAAAGTTTGCTGAATAAATCCTAAAATAAATTAACGCGTGCGTACGTATGGTTTATGAATCTTATCACATTTTTATCAAAACATTGAAATGAATCGAGTCATGCTGCAGACGAAGACGGAAATCTCACAGAATTTTTTAGTTGACTATTTCATTTAATGCAAGTAGGATTTTCTGGTTGCATAACTTTTTGTTATGCACTTTGTGCTAAAACAATAAAAAAACAAGAATCTACTTTCCAAAAATGTATGCATTATTTATATTTTTGAATTTGTTCCTATCATAAATGTATCCGACAAAGATGAAAAAGTGTGTTTTTATATTTGCCGCGCATTCCTATACCACGTTTGGGCGGAGTCTCTTCAGGCCAAGGTAATGCTGGTATCGACCACTACTATTCTGTGATTCCCCTAAGTACGCAGTGTTATTTCCAGTTGCACAAGTGACTGGTTCGCAGGTATTTTTAGTCGGTGAATCAACACATTTTTAATTCAAGCATACAAAACTTGGATAACAGGTGAGTCGTAGCTGTATATTTTACTATAATTTAAAACACGAGTGGTAACACTGAGTCGACGGACAAGTTTGCCTATTGTTACTTAATTTATTTATGACAACTAAACCCGTAAAGTGAAAAAACAACATATCTATTTATTTATACATTAGTTTGTTTTTTATAACTTGTGGAAAACCAAAACACAAGTTTCTAATTTACCCTTGTCCGACTTACCTGTTTTAATTTTTTTTTTTTTTTTGAATAATTGTACCGTTTTTACTTTTATTATTATTTTCAGTATTATGGCTTCCACTACCGAATCTGAGGTCCTTTTGGAAACGGAAACAGATCGTTTCGAACACTCAAATACTTTTGCAGACGAAAACGACAATAAATTGTCGTTAAAATATAAAGCTTCAAACACTTCTTTTCTAGAACAAATTGCTAATTTGGTTAAAAACGAAAAACAAGAAAAATTTTGGCAAAGAGTGACTGCTAACGTATCGAATGAAAAAATAAAGATTTTAAAACTTGAAGAACCTCAAAAGATAACGGTAACAAATATGCAGGATAATGAAGATGTTTCGGACATGGAAGAAACATTGCGAGAGCGAGACGACGCAATAAAAACCGAGGAATTTGTAAAGGACATGCTTGAAAAAATTGTCTCGGCTTTACCAATAGGTCCTGACGAAGGAGATACAAGTATTAAGGACGAACCACAGGACAACGTGTCTGAAGAAAATGAGCTCTCTATTAACTTATTGCAAGAAAACGGAACCAATAATATTAAATCAGAACTACCTATGGACGTAGAAATAGAAGATGACCACGGCAAAAAACGCCCGTCGGAGACTGATCAAACCTTGGAAGAAAACCCACCAAAACGCCCCAACTGTGAAAATCAAGGGATGACAACAGATGAACAACCCACGCTTTGTGACAACGCAAAAACACCCAGTGAAATAGAAGACGGCATTAGTTGCGAAAAAAGTGAGCCGAATTCCGATTTGATTACCCAGATGTTAACACTTGTAGATAAAGAGGTATCAGGTTGTTGGGAAACGACATCGCAACAGCCGTACACGTTGATTCGAGTTTTAGAAAATACAACCGAGTATAACGACGTTCATCAGATATTTTCTCGTACTTGTCGTGACATCAAAATGGTGAAACTTGAACGCGTCCAAAATTTGTACTTGTTTGGCCAGTTTTTACTAAAAAAGGAGAAAATGCGTATGAAAAATGGGTCGGTTCAAGAGAAGCAGCTGTTTCATGGGACTAGGGAGGAATATGTGGATGGTATTTGTAAGAATAACTTTGACTGGCGTCGTTGTGGGTCCTCCAGGGGTCACATATTTGGACAGGGAGTTTCGTTCTCACCAGAAGTGACATATGCACGTCACTATAGTCCATGTTCTGATAAAGTGATGATTCTTACCAAAGTATTGGTGTGTATGTCTACAGTGGGTGACTCGAGTACGGTAGTACCACCAGACCCCTATGACACCACTCATAAATCGGCCGGTACGGTTTTCGTCAAGTATGAAGACGACGACTTCTACCCTCAGTATGTGATTCATTTTGGATATAAAAATTTTTACTTTTTTTACCATTTATGATTAATTTTATCTGTATGTTATCATAGTGGAATGACAATTAAAAACTGTAAGACTGAAGACATAAATAAAACATTAGTAACACTTTATTAAGAGTTGATTCAATAAAATATACACATACATAAAATATTATTTATAATCAGGCTGTCTCAAAAAGCAGTTTTGCCCTCCTCCTTGATGGCTCGCCATCTAGAGACGTTTCCGGTGAAAATTAAACCAACCAACAATTTTAATAGTTACCACTCCTCATTTGTGCGACATTAGGACTAGTACATTAGTAAATTACAAGTTTAAAAAACTGCCTTTCTCGCAACCCTGGTAAATATTGCCTTAAAAATCATAACTATTTGTAAAAATATTTCTATAAAATTCAATAACATTATATGAGTTTAACAAGCGACAGTCTGCTATTAATAGTTTCATTGCTGACAAAATACTGGTTCAAAATTTTTATTTGCAACTATCCAATCAGAGCTGGTTACACGAAAACTGACCTACCATACTTTTAATTGACACGTTAGTGTGTAAGGCACGACTTAGGACCACCCACCCGTCAGTTTGTGGAAGAGCTCTTCGTTTAGCGTCTGACTCGCGTCCTTGGACCTCGTCGACAAGAAAATGTAACCGCCGATGAACTCGTGGACGACTTTACAATCAGCCGACGAACAACTGAACACGATGTTGCCCTCCTCGAACTGGATCATCATGTGCTTGACTTCCCAGTTGACGTTCCACGCTATCATGGTGTTGTACCTCCAGGTCTTCTGGTGGTCGCCGGTCTGGATGTCCATCTTCATGATGCGCGTGGGGGCCACGCCGAGGAGTTCCTCTTTTTTGTTGCCCATGAATTTGATGATGAATAGCGTGAGACCATAGTCGGGGAGGGACTGCCAAGCTTTGATGTAGTTCATTTTGGCTTCGATCAAAGAGAGGTCTTTGACGTTGGCGTGTGCCTCCAGGATTCTGTAATTCTGGAACAGGAAAACAAGAAGATGAGTTACAAGTTTAAGCGCCATTTTTTACTTCCCGAGCGTAAGCAAAGGAAGCATTGTAATCGAGTCCGTCGGCCGACTCTCTACTTTTACGTTTTCTCGATCTTTCATGACCCCTAGAAGACGAAGAAATAGGTCTCCCATTTCCGTCTGTCTGTCCGTCTGTCCGTCCGTCTGTCCGTCTGCCGTCCCGGATTTTTATTAGACAGATAATCTCCGAAAGTACTCGACCGATTGTTGTGAAATTTTATACTTATATTAAGAATATCATGTAGATGGTAAAACGCTAACCAAAATTTGTCTAATCATCCCCACCACTAATGCGATGACGTCACTTCAAAATTGTACATAGTAAATGGGTTTTCAATTGTATAAAATAACATAGTCCTACACATGTAGTTTACAACTCTGAATCGACTTTTCACCCGAAACGTCCAGATTTTTGGAAAAAAAATCAAAATTATAAAACAACATTTTGAAATTTAATTTTTAATCTGCAAACCAGAATGCTTTGAAATGTTGCAGATGTTTTAAGGCTATAAAGAGGATCATAAATCTTTAGTCAAAAAATATTTGCTTATCCCCTCCAAAAACTTGATGACGTCAGCTCAAAAGTTTGTGGAATAAATCATATCTAAAATGTACAAAATATGATGAGTCTGTACTTGTGATCTATCACTCCATTCATATTTTTTGGATTTGCATATACAGGGTGACTCAAAAAAATTAATGAATGCGTAAATATATTTTATTGATTTAATCAGGAACTACAAAACCGAATGCTCTGAAATCTTGCAGATGTTTTAAGGTCATAAAGAGCATAATAAATGTTTAGTCAAAATATATTTGCTTATCCCCTCCAAAAACTTGATGACGTCAGCTCGAAAATTTGCCGAATAAATCATATCTAAAATGTACAAAATATGATCAGTCTGTACTTGTGATCTATCACTCCATTCATATTTTTTGGATTTGCATATACAGGGTGATTCAAGAAAATAAATGAAAGCGTAAATTTATTTTACTGATTTACTCAGGAACTACAAAACCGAATGCTTCGAAATCTTGAAGATATTTTAAAATTATCATAAGCATGGTACATTTTTGATCAAAACGTATTTGGTCGTCCCCCCTAAAAAATTTATGACGTCACCACAAAATTTTGCTGAATAAATCCTATCTAAAATGTACAAAATATGGTGAGTCTCTTCTTGTGATTTATCATTCCATTCAAATTTTTTCGATTTGCATATACAGGGTGACTCAAAAAATTAATGAATGCGTAAATTTATTTTATTGATTTAATCAGGAACTACAAAACCGAATGCTTTGAAATCTTGCAGATGTTTTAAGGTTATAAAGAGCATAATAAATTTTTAGTAAAAATATATTTGGTTATCTTCTACAAAAAACTGATGACGTCAGCTCAAAAGTTTGCCGAATAAATCGTATCTAAAATGTACAAAATATGATGAGTCTGTACTTGTGATTTACCATTCCATTCATATTTTTGGATTTGCATATGCAGGGTGACTCAAAAAAATTAATGAAGGCGTGAATTTATTTTATTTTATCGATTTAATCAGGAATTACAAAACCAAATGCTTTAAAATCTTGGGAATATTTTAAAGTTATTATAAGCATGGTAAACTTTTGTTCAAAATGTATTTGTTCATCCCTCCTAAAAAAATTGATGACGTCACCCTTAAATTTTGCTGAATAAATCCTATCTAAAATGCAAAAAATATGATGAGTTTGTACTTGTGATTTATCATTCCATTCATATTTTTTAGATTTTCTTAAGAGGTGGTTCAAAAAAATTAATGAAGTCAATTTATTTTATTGATTAAATTAAAGGCAACACTTATTATTAGTATTACACCCCAACCAACCCAATTTGGTAGACACAAAATTTGTTAAAGGAAAAACTCGGTTGAAACATAAGGGTAGCACGCTTATTTACATCGACTTTAACATTACAGACCTGCATTTGTTTTATGCGCTCACTTGGTTCCGCGAATGTGAAATAGACATGTTTATAATCAACCAATTGTGAATTTCACCGTCAAGAATTAAAATAAAACCCAATGTTTTATATAATAAGCGGAAGTCGAAGCAATAAAATCGATGGTCGTTTTGTTTACAGTTTCTCTGTTTGACTCTCACGTATGCTGTTAAGCCTGTCATCTTAAATTAAGAATGTTTATACATACACGATTTTCAGTTGCCTCTGATACGTATACGTGAGTAAATTGTTTCGGTATTTTATTGATTATTACAAATCAATTTTCAAAACGACCCAATTCATTTTCCCGAAAATTTGAGAATATAATAATTTTATTCTTAGTATTACACTACATCTATCCCAACTGATATACGTGTCCTTGCAAAAATGTTGATGACGTCATCGCAATTTTTTTTTAAATTCCCACTACAAAAATGTAATGAGAAAAAAAACACAATAGGCATGCAGTCGTCAAGTTTCCGATAGCGAGGGAAGTACTGCCTAAACTCTTTAGACCAATTTTTTTAATTGTAGCCACTCAGAATCGAGATTGTGAGCGGGAAATTAAGCTAAATTCAAAAATATATATACTTACTTTCCCTCGTAGCTTTTTCAAAAATCTTGGAGCCAGATAATCGTCCATTTGCATGTTATCTAAAGTACTGGGATTGATAGCAGGACCATCTGCCGGCCTTTGCATTTGCAAGAACTCCAAAATCGTCTGTTTTTCCGATTCGTAACTGCTGTCGGCAAGAGATCGGCCCTTGGAGGCTAATCGACAACACGCCATCCATTTTGCGTATTGGTTTTCCTAAATTAAACGTTTTTTATAATTACAGTAATAAATTATATTTTTATTGTGTGGGTCACACTCTAATTTACATAATTACATTTTTATATTATTTTCTAAAATTCGAATAACTTCTACGCGTCTGAGTAGGTGTCCATTTTATAGGTCGTCTATAAAATTCTATAAATACACCTTTAGTGTTTACAAATTTATCGTCCTATGAAACACGATAAGCGAATTTTGTCAACACACGTCATTCGTAAAATTTTGGTCGTACTGAGTCACCGTTTCCTTTATTAGCTCATATCCTGTAACATTGAAAGGTTACAACGAAATACGAAAAATTGCCAAAGTTGCTCAGGATGTTACAACCAACTCAAATTGTTTTTTTTAATAGCACCTTTGAATTTTGTGCCGCTTCGTTGTGATTGTTGACTTAACTCATAACCCAACTTTCTTGTACAGTTGATTTTTTTTTACAAAATTAACTTACGTCGTCGCATCTTATGTACATTTCCGTCATCCCGTCCGAACTCGGCACTTCCAGTTTGATGGCATATTTGTTTTGGCTGATATTTACGTCAGGTGTCACTTCGCAACCGCGTAAATTGATATCGTGGACAGCGTTAGCTCGGTGTATCATTTCTTCGCGGGATTTGTATAAATAGAGATGAAGGTCGCGGCAAGTAAACCAGTACTTTTTGTACGCTTTCAATGTAAACCTCTTCGGCCTGAAAATAATTTCTTTTAGTTTGATTTTCAAAAAATACTTGTATTAATAATCGTTTTTGAATTATGACGTAACTCACTTTAGAAACCGTAATTCGTCGCATAGTTCAGGCACTTGGGTGATGTCGTTGGCATAGGCATTTAAACTTGATCCCTCGAGGGTTGTTTGTAGGTCAGTTAGGGCGGCGTCGATGTCGTCTTCGACGGGGGAAGACACGTTCCCGTTGTCCATAGTGGGTTGCGGTTGAGTTGCTTGTAAGTTTACTTGCAACTGGAAAACACGAAAAGGGGGGAATTGTAAAATAAATTTTATTCTTAGTCACTTTAATTTTTTGTAAAAATGTTCAGATCAATGTTGCCAACTACACGTATGTCACGGCCTTCTGCAACTCAAAAAGTTTTCAGTTGCACTGGCGACGAACCACCACTGACCATCCAATATCCCCACGATAATAATAATAAATTAAATCGAAACAAGAAAAATACCCCAAATCCAGAGACAACCCTGCTAGCGTTGGCGATTTTAGCGCGAAATAAATTTTCCAAAGATTCCGAAAACACAGTCGTGAGACTTAACAAAACAATTACTCAAGAATAATTGTGAATTTTAACAAACATAATTTTGTTTAATTTGTATCAGGTATGTTCCAAGCATTTTTTTTACCTTTAGTAAAGTTTTTTTTGTCAACAAAATCATAACCTAACTTTTCATCCCTTCATTCTTTAACAGTTTGTGTTTCGTGGTTTAACACAAATAATAACCCAAAAACTGCTTTGTAAAGTTGTTTTACTGTGAAAATTGGTGGTAAAATTCCTAATTTTGTTTAATAACTTCCGAATTCCGAAGATGAAAGTTCTTGAAAGTTTGAGACAGGGTCGGTCTAGGCCCGTTGGTCTTCGTAAGAGAAATAAGACAGTATCTGCATTTCTTCTTTATTTTCGGTGACATGTTTATACCGGGTGTCTGAAAAGTGGCGCATTAAATCTCCGCTACGGTCTTAACAATCATCTGGTGAGTCTGGGAAAAATAGTTTAAAAAATTCCTTCTCACATTTTGATGAATTTATGATGATTTTAAAGTTGGTTCTTGTGCTACGTTTAAAACTAAACCTGATTTCAATTGTGATGAATTTTTCATTCGGTATCAGAGTGCGGGGAGAAGCTTAATTTCAAAGTCGATACTTCTCTACAAGAATTTACCATTTTAAACATGTTTTAAGTATTTTGTAATGAAAAGAAGAACGTATATTAAGAAAAAAGGCAAAATATAAGCCCCGCCCACCCACCCGATCTCAAATGTGACGTTTTTTTTTTTAAATCGTCGTGAGCTGGGGGCGGAGCTTAATTGCAAAATCCTTACTTTTCTACAAGAACTTACCACCTGAAACATGTTTTTAAATAATCGTGTTGTTTAAAGAAGACTATATCTATGTATTAAGTAAAAAAGAAAGGCAAAAATTAAGCCGCAGCGATGTACTTTTCAAATTCTTCATTCTTCATTTTTCAAATTTTCGATGTTACAATGTTAGTTTCTCGATTTTAAGATTTCGATTTTTTCTCTAATTGTGATTTCGTACATAATTGCCAAAACAGTTGCCTTGGAAATGTAAAAATTTGCGCATCAATCCCATATTTTGAAATACGCTGAAATTTGGGTCTAAATTATATATAAAAACTGTCCAAAAGTTAGAATTTTTTCTTTTTTTCAATTTTACGATTTCAGAATTTATAGATTTTTCAAGTATTAGATTGTTTTAATTTTCTGCTATTTTTAGTTTTCCAACCATTTTTCAAGTTTTAGATTTTACAGTTTTGCAAAATTAAGCAGTTTTTCTAAATTTCTAATTTTTCAAGTTTTCTTCTTCCGCGATTTTTGAGTTTTTAATTTTTCAAGTTTTGGATTTTACAATTTTGCAATTTTCCAATATTTTGAGGTATTTTTCAAATTCTTCATTTTTAATTTTTCAATTTTCGATGTTACATTGTTAGTTTTTCGATTTTTCATTGTCGTGACTAATATTGGATTTTTTCAGTTTTTAGATCGGTAATTGAGATTTTTGTTTTTTCAATGTTTCTATTTTTCAATTTTTGCGATTTTTCGTTTCTTACTCTTTAACTTTCCGATTTTTCATTTTTTTTTTCAAATGTTTGATGTTCCATTTTGAATAAAATGTTGAATTTGAAATTTTTTCGACTTTTTAAATTGAATTTTGAATGTTTTAAAACAGTTTTTCGATTTTTCAGTTTTGCAATTTTTAGTTTCTGCATTTTAATTTTTCGACTTTCGAAGTTTTTGATCTTTCAATTTTATTTTTTTTATCTTCCAGTTTCGCTATTTTTCGAATTTTCAATTTCTAGATTTTTTAATTTTCCGATTCTTCAACTGAGACTTTTTGGTGTGGTGATTTTACAATTTTAAAATTTGTCGATTCCGCAGTTTTACGATTTTTAATTTTTAGATGTTTCAGTTTTTAAATTTTTCATTATTGCGATTTTACAATTTTTGGCTTTTTTCAAATTTCCAGACTTTCAATGATACAATTTTACAATTTTTTGATTTCTCAATTATCCGATTATTCACTTTCGCGATCTTTGAGTATTTAATTTTCTGATTTTCATTTTTCAAATTTTGGATTTTACAATTATGCAGTTTTTTAAAATTTCCAATTGTTCAAGTTCTCGATCTTTAATGTTTCATTTTCCAATATTTCGATGTATTTTTCAAATTCTTCATTTTTAATTTTTCAATTTTCGATGTTACAATGTTAGTTTTTCGATTTTTCATTCTCGTGACAAATATTGGGATTTTTCAGTTTTTAGATCGGTAATTGAGATTTTTGTTTTTTCAATGTTTCTATTTTTCAATTTTTGCGATTTTTCGTTTCTTGCTCTTTAACTTTCCGATGTTTCATTTTCTTTTTCGATTTTTTAATTTGAATTTTTTAATACGATTTCCCAATTTTTCGATTACTAGATTTTTTAATTTTAAAATTTTTGAATTTAATCTTACAGTTTTTCGATTTTTCAGTTCTGCAACTTTTAGATTCTCCGTTTTTAATTTTTCGACTTTCAAAATTTCAGATCTTCCAATTTTATTTTTTTTCATTTTCCGGTTTTGCTATTTTTCAAATTTTCAATTTCTAGGTTTTTCAAGTTTCCGATTCTTCAACTGCGAAACTTTTCAGTGTTGCGATTTTAGAATTTTTCAGTCTTCCAATTTTAAAATTTTTCGATTCTGCAACTTTACGATTTTACAATTTTTTGTTTTTTCAATTTCCAGAATGTTTTAATTGTAAATTAAATTTTGAATTTGAAATTTTTTCGATTTTATTTTGAATTTCAAATTTTTTAATACGATTTCCCATTTTTTAATACGATTTCCCAATTTTTCGATTACTAGATCTTTTATTTTTTTCATTTTTTATATTGTTTAAGTTTTCGATTTATTTTCAAGTTCTCGATTTTTAAGTTTGAATTTTTTGATTGTTTAATGTTACAGTTCTTCGATTTTTCAGTTTTGCAATTTTTAGTTTCTTCACTTTTAATTTTTCGACTTTCAAAGTTTTTGATCTTCCAATTTTATTTTTTTTATCTTCCAATTTTGCTATTTTTCGAATTTTTCAATTTCTAGATTTTTTTATTTTCCGTTTCTTCAACTGTGACACTGTTCGGTGTGGTGATTTTAGAATTTTTCAGTCTTCCAATTTTAAACTTTTTCGATTCCGCAGTTTTACGATTTTACAATTTTTGGCTTTTTTCAAATTTTCAGATTTTTCATGATACAATTTTGCAATTTTTTGATTTTACAATTATCCGATTGTTGACTTTCGCGATTTTTGAGTTTTTAAATTTCCAATTGTTCAAATTCTCGATCTTTAATATTTCATTTTCCAATATTTCGATGTATTTTTCAAATTCTTCATTTTTAATTTTTCAATTTTCAATATTACAATGTTAGTTTTTCGATTTTTCATTGTCCTGACAAATATTGGGATTTTTCAGTTTTTAGATCGGTAATTAAGATTTTTGTTTTTCCAATGTTTCTATTTTTCAGTTTTTGCGATTTATCGTTTCTTGCTCTTTAAATTTCTGATTTTTCATTTTTTTTTTCAAATGTTTGATCTTCCATTTGAAATAAAATTTTGAATTTGAAATTGTTTAATACGATTTTTTATTTTGAATTTTGAATTGTTTAATACGATTTCCCAATTTTTCGATTACTAGATTTTTTAATTTTAAAATTTTTGATTGTTTAATGTTACAGTTTTTCGATTTTTCAATTCTGCAACTTTTAGTTTCCCCATTTTTAATTTTTCGACTTTCAAAATTTTGGATCTTCCAATTTTATTTTTTTTCATTATTAGGTTTTGCTATTTTTCAAATTTTCAATTTCTAGATTTTTCAATTTTCCGATTCTTCAACTGTGAAACTTTTCAGTGTTGCGATTTTAGAATTTTTCAGTCTTCCAATTTTAAAATTTTTCGATTCTGCAACATTACGATTTTTAATTTTCACATGTTTCAATTTTTAGGTAAATTTTTCGATTTTTCATTATTTCGATTTTACAATTTTTTGTTTTTTCAATTTCCAGAATGTTTCAATTGTAAATTAAATTTTGAATTTGGAATTTTTTCGATTTTATTTTGAATTTCGAATTTTTTAATACGATTTCCCAATTTTTCGATATCTACATTTTTAAGTTTTTCACTTTTTATATTGTTTAAGTTTTCGATTTATTTTCAAGTTCTCGATTTTTCAGTTTTGCAATTTTTAATTTCACCATTTGTAATTTTTCGACTTGATCTTCCAGTTTTATTTTTTTTTAAATAATTTTCTGATTTTCATTTTTGAAGTTTTGGATTTTACAATTTTGCAATTTTTCGATTTTTCAGATTTTTCAATTTTACAACTCTGCAGTTTTTTTAAATTTCCAATTGTTCAAGTTCTCTTATCTTTAATTTTTCTAGGTATTTGAGATTTTTGTTTTTCCAATGTTTCTATTTTTCAATTTTTGCGATTTTTCGTTTCTTGCTCTTTAACTTTCCGATTTTTCATTTTTTTTTTTTTCAAATGTTTGATCTTTAATTTTAAATAAAATTTTCAATTTGAAATTTTTTCGATTTCTTAATTTGAATTTTGAATTTTTTAATACGATTTCCCAATTTTTCGATTACTAGATTTTTTGATTTTAAAATTTTTGATTGTTTAATGCTACAGTTTTTCGATTTTTCAGGTTTGCAGTTTTTAGTTTCTCCATTTTTAATTTTTCGACTTTCAAAGTTGTTGATCTTCCAATTTTAAAATTTTTCGATTCCGCAGTTTTACGATTTTTAATTTTTAATATTTCAGTTTTAAAATTTTTCAATTTTTCATTATTTCGATTTCACAATTTTTGGCTTTTTTCAAATTATCAGATTTTATTATCCGATTGTTCACTTTCGGGATTTTTTAGTTTTTAATTTTCTGATTTTCATTTTTCAAGTTTTGGATTTTACAATTTCGCAATTTTTCGATTTTTCAACTTTACAATTCTGCAGTTTTTTTTAAATTTCCATTTGTTCAAGTTTTCAATCTTTAATTTTTCATTTTCCGATATTTCTATGTATTTTTCAAATTCTTTATTTTCAATTTTTCGTTGTTACAATGTTGGTTTTTCGATTTTTCGTTTCTTGTTCTTTAACTTTCCGATTTTTCTTTTTTTTTAATGTTTGATTCTATTTTAAATAAAATTTAGAATTTGAAATTTTTTCGATTTTTTATTTTGAATTTTGAATTTTTTAATACGATTTCCCAATTTTTCGATTACTAGATTTTTTGATTTTAAAATGTTTGATTGTTTAATGTTACAGTTTTTCGATTTTTCAGGTTTGCAGTTTTTAGTTTCTCCACTTTTAATTTTTCGACTTTCAAAGTTGTTGATCTTCCAATTTTAAAATTTTTCGATTCCGCAGTTTTACGATTTTTAATTTTTAATATTTCAGTTTTAAAATTTTTCAATTTTTCATTATTTCGATTTCACAATTTTTGGCTTTTTTCAAATTTTCAGATTTTATTATCCGATTGTTCACTTTCGCAATTTTTGAGTTTTTAATTTTCTGATTTTCATTTTTCAAGTTTTGGATTTTACAATTTTGCAATTTTTCGATTTTTCAACTTTACAATTCTGCAATTTTTTTAAATTTCCATTTGTTCAAGTTTTCAATCTTTATTTTTTCATTTTCCGATATTTCGATGTATTTTTCAAATTCTTCATTTTCAATTTTTCGATGTTACAATGTTAGTTTTTCGATTTTTCGTTTCTTGCTCTTTAACTTTCCGATTTTTCTTTTTTTTTATGTTTGATCTTCTATTTTAAATAAAATTTAGAATTTGAAATTTTTTCGATTTTTTATTTTGAATTTTGAATTTTTTAATACGATTTCCCAATTTTTCGATTAGTACCAGATTTTTTATTTTGAATTTTGAATTTTTTAATACGATTTCACAATTTTTCGATTACTAGATTTTTTGATTTTAAAATGTTTGATTGTTTAATGTTACAGTTTTTCGATTTTTCAGGTTTGCAGTTTTTAGTTTCTCCATTTTTAATTTTTCGACTTTCAAAGTTGTTGATCTTCCAATTTTAAAATTTTTCGATTCCGCAGTTTTACGATTTTTAATTTTTAATATTCCAGTTTTAAAATTTTTCAACTTTTCATTATTTCGATTTTATAATTTTTGGCTTTTTTCAAATTATCAGATTTTATTATCCGATTGTTCATTTCGGGATTTTTGAGTTTTTAATTTTCTGATTTTCATTTTTCAAGTTTTGGATTTTACAATTTCGCAATTTTTCGATTTTTCAACTTTACAATTCTGCAGTTTTTTTAAATTTCCATTTGTTCAAGTTTTCAATCTTTAATTTTTCATTTTCCGATATTTCGATGTATTTTTCAAATTCTTCATTTTCAATTTTTCGATGTTACAATGTTAGTTTTTCGATTTTTCGTTTCTTGCTCTTTAACTTTCCGATTTTTTTTTCAAATGTTTGATCTTCCACTTTAAATAAAATTTAGAATTTGAAATTTTTTCGATTTTTTATTTTGAATTTTGAATTTTTTAATACGATTTCCCAATTGTTCGATTACCAGATTTTTTGATCTTAAAATTTTTGATTGTTTAATGTTACAGTTTTTCGATTTTTCAGGTTTGCAGTTTTTAGTTTCTCCATTTTTAATTTTTCGACTTTCAAAGTTGTTGATCTTCCAATTTTAAACTTTTTCGATTCCGCAGTTTTACGATTTTTAATTTTTAATATTTCAGTTTTAAAATTTTTCAATTTTTCATTATTTCGATTTTACAATTTTTGGCTTTTTTCAAATTTTCAGATTTTATTATCCGATTGTTCACTTTCGCGATTTTTGAGTTTTTAATTTTCTGATTTTCATTTTTCAAGTTTTAGATTTTACAATTTCGCAATTTTTCGATTTTTCAACTTTACAATTCTGCAGTTTTTTTAAATTTCCATTTGTTTAAGTTTTCAATCTTTAATTTTTCATTTTCCGATATTTCGATGTATTTTTCAAATTCTTCATTTTCAATTTTTCGATGTTAGAATGTTAGTTTTTCGATTTTTCGTTTCTTGCTCTTTAACTTTCCGATTTTTCTTTTTTTTTTAACGTTTGATCTTCCATTTTGAATAAAATTTAGAATTTGTAATGTTTTCGATTTTTTATTTTGAATTTTTAATTTTTAATACGTTTTCGATTTTTTTAGAAGAAGATTACGCCTCACCTATAGCCGCCCCGATTTCAATTATGATGAATTTTTCATTCGTTGTCAGAGTGGGGGGAGGAGCGTAATTAATTTCAAAATCGATATTTTTCTACAAAAAATTACCATTTGAAACATGTGTTAAGTATTTTGTAATGAAAAGAAAAACGCATATTAACCCAACATATAAGCCCCGCCCACCCGCCCTCTCTTTTCTTAGAGAAAAAATAAAAGGTGGATTTCAGTTACTTTTACTTTTATAAAATTACGTTTTTTTTCGTAACGTACAACATAAAGAAATTTTTTAGTATTTTTTTGGGACTCCCAAAACCCCCGTACATAACGTACGCCATTTTCCAGACACACCCGGTATAAACAGTTTCGGATGTTTTTGGACAACAGTGCGCCATGAAATAACAAATGTCATTATGATGTGACAATGTCAATATGTCAAATATTGTTTTTATAACACTCTTTTTGCGAAATACTAACTCTTATTTCCCCATTTTATAAGTACCATTTTACAAGTGCTTGAAATTTTATTATCTTCTTAGGAATTTTCAAGGCACCTACAAAAACAAAGAAAATTGACAGATCTCCACGTTAACCAAAGTTAATGGTTTTCTAGCAGCAACAGATTACTAATTCCTACCCTATCGAAAAATGGCTTCCTGGCACAACATAATCTCTTCTGGACACGATCCCACGCCATTTATTAAAGCTAGCATGTCAAATGAAACGAAAGTTTCAATCAAGGATTCAAACCTAAATTCCCCCAACTGGGAGACATTTAAAAAACAAAAACCACAACCCCCCAAAACCGGTCGCTCGCATTTTCCAACACAACCAACAGAACCTAAACCCAAAAAACCAAAACACAATTCTCCAGAGACTTCTATGCATAAAACCCAAACACCTCAACCAGAACGGTCGAAACACAATCCTCTTTTAATGAAACTGATCCGGCGACAACCGATGGCAATAGAGTGCCAAGGCGACAAATACAGACCATACGTCCTTCGCAAAATCGAAAGACATTCTTCTGAATTCAGAAGAGTGCGCAATTTATTCCAAATATCAAACCGCGGTTTGTACATTCGTAAACTACAACGAATCGAGAATCCTTTCTTGATGGGTCAGTATCTGCTGAAAAAAGAAGATATGCTTCGTCGGTACTTGCCAGTCAGGGAAAGGTTGCTTTTTCATGGCACTAAGAATTCATGTGTTAGGGGAATATGTGCTGAGAATTTCGACTGGCGGTTGTATGGGCGAGCACGCGGTCATAAGTATGGACATGGAGTTTGCTTTAGTCCGGAGGTTTCTTATGCTAGTCAGTTTGGCCAGAAGGTTATGATATTGGCTAGGGTTTTGGTGGCAAAGACGATTGTTGGCGACTCTGATACAGTGGTGCCACCTGCGTTTTATGACACTACGCGCAACGATAAAGGTACAGTACTTGTCAAATACGAGGATGCCGAATATTATCCCGCATACGTGATACACTATAGTGGAAATACTGCGAAAACACTAAATTTTAGAAAAATTCGTCTACTGGTCGGTAGAAATGCAAGAGTTTCTTCTAAGCGACGTCATAATAACAGACGTTATTATTAGAGAATAGATTTTATTGACACTTGAGAGTTTTATCTGTTTTGTTTTTTGTATTCTATAAGTTTTATGATTTCGATATTTGTGTGTTTTAATCAATAAATGTTTTTTTTACCTACCTGCAAAGCGGCGAACATCAACATTTCTTCTTCCGTACAATCGATTTCTTCGTTCAGCAGTTGCCACCTGGCTTGCTCGTAGATTTGGTTGATTCGTACTGCGTCGTATTTCGGGTTCAAGTCGTAAAAGACGTAGAACTTGAACCTGAGACACAACGTGTCGTACTCCCGAACCCCTTGTTCCATTATGGATAGAGATGAATCTAACCAACTGTAAAATAAAAAAACCCAAAATTAGGTTTTGGAGGATTTAAAAAAGCGAAAAAACGCGTCTGTGACCCTTATCATAGGTTGCAAAGAGGTGAATAGTAATTTTATTAAATTAGTCTAATTTTGAACCTACTATCCCCTTTGTTATTTGAATAGTTGTTCTGCAACATTAACATGATAAAAATTGGTCGAAGGATATTTCGACAGACAATAAAACATATACAGTTTTTTCAAAAAATTATATTTTGCGAATTTTATTTATTTTTTTCATGAGAACCCCTATAAGTTAAAATAAAGAAACGAAGGTAATATTAAAGTAAATCTAAAGAAGCGTGCGTATGCTTGTAATCGGTCCGATAGTTTCGGAAATTATTTGTTTAATAAAAACCGACACAGACGATGGATAGACAAACAGACGGAAACGGGATAACTATTTTTTCGTACTCGATTACAATACTTCCTTAGCTTACGCTCGGGACGTAAAAATTGATAGGTTATGTCGGCAGAACTTCCCTTGACGTTCAAGTAACGTCCAATAAATTCCGCTTTGAAATATTATAAAATCTGATCTTGCGATTTTTATTTTTTACCTCCAGTGGCGTAAATAATAACTCCAAAAAATGGAAAACCGAAAACATCGAATAAAATTTTTCGGAAAGTCAAAATATCAAAAACTGAAACATCGAAAAATCGAAAACTCGAGAAATAAAAAAATGAAAAATCGAAAAACTAAAGAATGAAAAAATTGAAAAATCTAGAAGTCGAAAAGGAAACACTAAAAATTCAAACATCTAAAAATCGATGAATTAAATATTCAAAAAAACGAAAATCCGAATATCTAAAAGGGGAAAAACCGAAAAATCAAAAATTCGAGAATTCGAAAAACCGAAAAATCCACGAAGCGAAATATATAAGCAAACGAAAAATCGAAAATTCTAAGTCGGAAAAACTGAAGAATTGGGAAATTGAAATTAAAAAAATTTGAATACCGAAAAATGGAAAAACCGAGAAATCGAATCTGCATGAAATCGACAAACCGAAAAATGTATAAATTAAAATATTAAAATCTGAGAAATCGGGAAATCGAAAAATTCAAATACGTATTAAAAAATTGAAAACTTGGAAAATCGAGAAAATGTAAAAATTCCAAAACTGAACTGTCAAAAAATTGGGAAATCGACAAATTGAAAAATCGAGAAATCGAAAAATTGAAATTTGAAAAATTGAAACATTTAAATTAAAAAAAAATCGAAAAAGTTAAGAAGCGAAATATAGAAAAAAAACCAACTACTGAAAGTCGAAAAATTGAAAAATCTAGAAATCAAAATTAAAAAAAATTCAAAATGGAAAAACAGAAATACTGAAAATTGGAAAAATTGAAAAAGGTCGAGAAATCGACAAACCGAAAAATCTAAAATTAAAATATTGAAAAACTGAGAAGTCGGCAAATCGAAAAATTCAAATATTAAAAAATTGTAAAATCGAAAACTTGAAAAATCGAGAAATTGAAAAATCTAAAAACATTGCAAAATCGAAAAGCCGAAAAATCAAAACATCCAACAATCGGAAAATTGAGAGATCGAAAAATCGAAATATTGGAAAATCCAAGAAGCGAAATATAGACAAAAATGAACTATCGAAAGCCGAAAAATTGAAAATTTGAGTAGAAAAATCGAAATTAAAAAAATTTTAATATCGAAAAATGGAAAAACCGAAATATTGAAAATTTCAAAAATTGAAAAGCCAAGAGGTCGAAAAACCGAGAAATCCAAGCATCGAGAAATTGACAAACCGAAAAATCTAAAATTAAAACATTGAAAAACTGAGAAATCGGGAAATCGAAAATTCAAATATTAAAAAATTGTAAAATCGAAAAGCCAAAAAACCCGAAATTTTCAACAATCGGAAAATTGGGAGATCGAGAAATCAAAGTATTGAAAAATAAAAATTTGAAAAATTGAAACATTGGACTTAAAAAAAAGGAAAAATCCAAGAAGCGAAATATAGAAAAAACGAACTATTGAAAGTCGAAATGAAAATTTTAAAAGACAAAAGGTGGAAAAACCGAGAAATCGACAAACCGAAAAATCTAAAATTAAAATATTGAAGAACTGCGAAATCGGGAAATCGAAAAATTTAAATAATAAAAATTTGTAAAATCGAAAACTTGAAAAACCCCAAAACTGAAATGTAAAAAAATTGGGACGTCGAAAAATTGAAAAATCGAAACATCCATCAATCGGAAAATTGAGAAAATTCGAGAAATATCGAAAAATCGAAATTTGAAAAATTGAAACATTTAAATTAAAAAAAAATGAGAAATTCACGAAGCGAAATATAGAAGAAAACGAACTGTCGAAAGTTGAAAAATCGGAAATTTAGGTCGAAAAATAGAAAATTTGAAAAATCGAAAAATCGAAATTGAAAAAATTTCAGTATCGAAAAATGGAAAAACCCAATATTGAAAATTTGAAAAATTGAAAAGCCAGAAGGTCGAAAAACATACAAATCGAAACATCGAAAAATCGACAAACTGAAAAATCTATAATTAAAATACATATTGAAAAACCGCGAAATCGAAAAATTCAAATATTAAAAAATTGTAAAATCAAAAACTTGAAAAATCGAGAAATTGAAAAATCCCAAAATTGAAATGCAGAAAAATTGGGAAAAGGAAAAATTGAAAAATCGAAACATCCAACAATCGAAAAATTGAAAGATCGAGAAATCGAAAAATTGAAATTTGAAAAATTGAAACATTTAAATTAAAAAAAAAAAATCGAAAAAGTTAGGAAGCGAAATATAGCAAAAAAACCGAACTATTGAAAATCGGAAAATTGAAAAATCAAGAAATCAAAATTAAGAGAATTTCAAAATGGAAAAACCGAAATACAGAAAATTTGAAAAAATGAAAAAGATCGAGAAATCGACAAACCGAAAAATCTATACGTACAATGTTGAAAAACTGAGAAATCGGGAAATCGAAAAATTAAAATATTAAAAAACTGTAAAATCGAAAACTTGAAAAATCGAGAAATTGAAAAATCCAAAAACATTGTTAAATCGAAAAGCCGAAAAATCAAAACATCCAACAATCGGAAAATTGAGAGATCGAAAAATCGAAATATCGGAAAATCCAAGAAGCGAAATATAGACAAAAACGAACTATCGAAAGCCGAAAAATTGAAAATTCTGAGTGGAAAAAGGGAAAAATAGAAATATTTAAAATTTGAAAAATTGAAAAGCCAAGAGGTCGAGAAGCCGAGAAATCGAAACATCGAAAAATTGACAAACGGAAAAATCTAAAATTAAAACATTGAACAACTGAGAAATCGGGAAATCGAAAATTCAAATATTAAAAAATTGTAAAATCGAAAACTTGAAAAATCCCAAAATTGAAATGTAGAAAAATTAAAAAATCGAAACACTGTAAAATCGAAAAGCCGAAAAACCCGAAATTTTCAACATACGGAAAATTGAGAGATCGAGAAATCGAAATATTGAAAAATTGAAACATTCAAATTAAAAAAAAAAAAACGAAAAATCCAAGAAGCGAAATATACAAAAAACGAACTATTGAAAGTCGAAATGAAAATTTGAAAAGACAAAAGGTGGAAAATCCGAGAAATCGACAAACCGAAAAATCTAAAATTAAAATATTGAAAAACTGCGAAATTGAGAAATCGAAAAATTTAAATATTAAAAATTTGTAAAATCGAAAACTTGAAAAATCGAGAAATAGAAAAATCCCGAAACTGAAATGTAGAAAAATTGGGAAATCGAAAAATCGAAACATCCATCAATCGGAAAATTGAAAACATTTGAGAAATATCGAAAAATTAAAATTTGAAAAATTGAAACATTTAAATTAAAAAAAATCGAGAAATTCACGAAGCGAAATATAGAAGAAAACGAACTGTCGAAAGTCGAAAAATCTGAAATTGTAAGTCGAAAAAATGGAAAAACCGAAATATTGAAAATTTGAAAAATTGAAAAGCCGAAAGGTCGAAAAAAAATCTAAAATTAAAATACATATTGAAAAACTGGGAAATCGGGAAATCGAAAAATTTAAATATTAAAAAATCCCAAAACTGAAATGCAGAAAAACTGGGAAATCGAAAAATTGAAAAATCGAAACATCAAAACATTGTAAAATCGAAATATCCAACAATCGGAAATTTGGGAGATCGAGAATTCGAAATATCGAAAAATTAAAATTTGAAAAATTGAAACACTTAAGAAAAAATCGAAACATCGAAAAATTGATAAAACTGAAAAATCAAAATACCAAAAATTTTAAAACTAAAAACCCGAAAAATTGAAGATTTGAAAATCTGAAGTCGAGAAACCGAAACATCGAAAAATCCAAGAAGCGAAATATAAAAAAAAAGAACTATCGAAAATCGAAAAATCGGAAATTATAAGTCGGAAAATTGAAAAATCGAGAATTCGAAATTAAAAAAATTTCAATATCAAAAAGTGGAAAAACCGACATATTGAAAATTTAAAAAATTGAAAACCCAAAAGGTCGAAAAACCGAAAAATCGGAAATCGACAAAGCAAAAAAAGCAAATATTAAAAAATCGTAAAATTGAAAAATCAAGAAATTGAAAAATCCCAAAACAGAAATTTAAAAAAAAGGGAAATAAAAAAATTGAAAAATCGAAACATCAAAACATTGTAAAATCGAAAAACCGAAAAATCCAAACATCTAACAATCGGAAAATTGAAACATCGAGAAATCGAAATATCTAAAAATTAAAATTTGAAACGTTTAGATTAAAACAAAATCGAAGAATCAATAAATTAAAATATGAAAAAATTAAAAATTCCAAAACCTGAAAAATTGAAGAACTGAAAATCTGAAATCGAGAAACCGAAACATCGAAAAATTAAGATTTGAAAAGTTGAAACATTATTAAAAAAAAACTGAAAAATCCAAGAAGTGAAATATGAAAAAAAAAACGAAATATCGAAAATCGACAATTCTAAGTTGAAAAATTGAAAAATTGAGAAATCGACAAACTAAAAAAAGGAATCGAAAATTGAAAAATCCCAAAACTGAAATTAAAAAAAAATGGGAAATCGAAAAAGATCAAAACATTAAAAAATCGAAAAGTCAAAAAATCCAAACATCCAACGATCGGAAACTTGAGACATTGCGAAATCAAAATATCTAAAAATTAAAATTTTAAAAATTGCAACATCTAAATAAAAAAAAAATTGAAACATCGAAACACCGAAAAACCAATAAATTAAAATATGAAAAAATTAAAAATGCCAAAACTCAAATAACGGAAAAATTTTAAAATCAAAAACCTGAAAAATTAAACAATTGAAAATCTGAAGTCGAGGAACCAAAACATCGAAAAATCGAAAATTGGAAAGTCAAGAAATCCAAAAGTCGGAAAATAAAAAAATTGAAAATTTAAAAACGCCAAAAACTGAAATATTAAAACACTGAAAAATTTAAAATCAAAAAATAAAAAATCGAGAAATCGAAAATTTTAAAACTGGGAAATTGCGGAATCGAAAAATTGGAAATCGAGGAATTGAAACACTTAAAAATCAAAAAAGTGAAAAATCGAGAATTATCGAAATGTCGAAAAGCCGCAAAATTGAAAATTCGAGAAATTGTAATCTTTTCCTCCAAAATAATCTCTGTCTAGGATAACAACTCAACACGAAATTATAAATCACAATAAAATTGAAATAACATTGACTAATATAAATTTTGAAAACGTCGACAAAACATAAAAGTAGCCAATCGCCTAATGAAATCGCTTACAAAACAGCTTACGCTCGGGAAGTAATAAACAATTTATATGACCAAAAAAACTCGTTAAAATTAAATAGCAATTATTAACAAAAAACTTCTGCTCTCCCAAGCTTCTTGATGATTTTCAAACTAAGAAAACGAGACCCAAGTTAAAAAAAAAAACGCACACGGCAACATAATTTATGTAAAGTGGTTATATCCTTTACGCGTTCAGAATAACAAAAAACAAATTAATTTCCAATGAAGACGAACGTCTTTCATTAAAAAACACAAAACAACGATTTAATTACAACTACAATTTCATTAAAATGCACTTATTAAGGTCGCAACCAATTAAAAAAAAATAAATAAATTATGAAGCTTTAGCCGCTGCATTTAAAAATGAAAAATTTGACGCAAATGTCAACGAACATTTTTCAACTTTCACAGTTGGCACCGCGCAATCTTGGTTGCCTACTTACGCCACATTCATCCTCGCTTTTTCGATAAGCGACTTCGGCCTAACCATGTGCTTTCTGGCCTCGGGGCTCGGTGCAGGGGGCGCCTGGGCAAGAAAACTGTCGTAACTTCCATTCAATTGCTCCGAACTTATGCTGTTGGACAAATTCGGCGAAAAACCGTTGGTGTCGGAGCCAAAACCCGATCGTCCCCACGTCCCCGTCTGAAAGCAAATTATTTAAAAATAAGCAAATAAAACACGAGATAAAATTATCTCAGAGCAAATAAACACGTACGGCTTTTTACGGAATTTACGTTTTATTAAAGAAATAAAGTGGGATTTTGGGATCGGACTAGACGTGATAGTACGGGTTTGTTACGTAAGCGCCAAAATTATATATTTAAATCAACACAGAACGGTTGTTTGGTGTTTACGTTGCATGGATAATACGTTTATCGTTTCGTATTTAAATGCCAGGGGAATTTTTAATAGTAGTTGGACTAGTGTTTGTAGTTTGATCTATGGAGGATGGTGTGAGGTCTGAAAACACAATGCAGATATTTCGAAAGCACTCTCGCAGAAAGGAATTTAAGTGCCTCTTTTTAAGTTTTTAAGTAGTGTCATTATTAAGATAAATCTTGTCTCTACTTGACTACAAGACAAGCTAAAATGTTTTTTTTGTCTGTTTCTCTGAAACCATTGCATATGCAACCCATTATTCATTAGTTGTAGTACAAAATGTCGCTATTTTTGCACGGTAGTTAACCTTAATATTTTTTATTTACACACAGATATATTCTTATTTATTTAACTACATTTTATCTGTTTTTTCTTGACACTGGAGCCATATTTTCCATACATAACAAAATAAACAAATAAATGCTTACATTTCCGACTGGACTGCTCACTGGGGTGGAAGACGGCGGGGGTTTGGAGGGTGTGACGGGGGCGCACATGAACCCACTCTTGTCCAGACTACCAGTGCTGCCATCTGGGCTGCTGTTGGCGATGAACGTGTTGGTGTCTGGGGGGAGATTCGGGTGTCCGTTCCTCGGGTTTCCATTTTCAACTTTTTTCTTTGGCATGGAATTGTAGTTCTGTTTTAAGTGGTAGGGTTCTAGGGGTTTGCACAGCGACAATTCTTCTGGATGCCTAACACCTAGGTCTTTACACAAGTGTATAACCGCGGAAAATGTTTTTACGGAGAAGTCCACTTTCATGTCCAAGTAACGTAGGTCGGGGAGTTGTACACGAAGGTTTTTGTGCATGGGGGTGAAATGCAGGAGGGCGTCGGCCTGGACGCCGTATTGGTCCAAGGTGGAGCGCGTCCTGGTGAGCCAGATGTTTTTGCTGGGCCACCAGAGGGCGTGGTCCGACCAGTCCATTGAGATTTCTGGAAAGAAGCGAAAAATTCAAAGCTTGAGAAATCTTTGGACAGACTATATAAAATGTATGTATCATTTTTTGCGCGCTAAAACCAATTTACAGTTATGATGCCATAATAGTGCATAACCACCCATTCTTAAGTTTAAAAGTACACAATTTAGTAATCATGTTTACGTTCAATTTACGCCTTCGCCTTAACTCAGTGATAAAGTTTAATTCATAATCTAGTTTATGTAAGTGGAGCAACTATTCTTGTTTACGTTTTCGCTACAACCAACAATTGCATATTCCCGATCATTTTATCGTTAATTGCTCTTTTGTTCTGGTTCTAAATAAAAGTTGGCATCGACGCACACGTAATTTTAGCCCGCGAGGTAAACAGCATCAGGTAGCTTATTTAAACGAAAGTTAAAATTATTTTTACAGTTGTGTCAGTGTAAATATATGTGACTGTACATCATTTCTGTCTAGTCGGGTTTCTATCCAGTCTACGATTGACTGTGCCCTCATTTTCCATAACTTGTCTTGTAAAATGCCGGAAAACGGTGCAGCTTTTACTACGTCGACCTATTTCAAGAAAAGGCGAGCATCTGTTGTTCGCTCTTTTATAGGTCAATTAAATAAAAGTCGAGCGCGAATAAACGAGCGATCAATTCATTTCTTTTATGACAGTCCCGTGTTCCACATTTGATTCGATCGCCTAAGAGCTGAAATAAATCGTAGATAGGTATACGGGGTCTCACCAGTGGCGTAGCTAACTTCCACTGCGCCCCCCCGCAGTTTATAGTAAGCGCCCCCATACACCAAATTTAAAAAGTAATATAAAATTAATATGAAATTACTGGTTTACCAGTAGTGGCGCCGAATAATACAGATTTACAAATAATAATAATTTATACACACAATAATTTTTAAAAATTGTTAATTGATTATACTGGCTTCATTCGACGTTGTCGAGAGTTCATAAATTCGCGTACGACACTGTCGAGATCTAATTTTTGGGATCGATCACACTCAATGCTCAACACAGCTAAGTTGGTTAATAGTTTTTGACTCATCGTGCTTCCCAAATATGATTTAATTAATTTTAATTTAGAAAAAGATCTTTCTGCCGTTAAAAAATTATTGTCCATAAACAGAAACTTAGCAATATCTGTAATTTTAGTTATTTTTTGCTGAATAATTTCACCAACAACAATGTTTTTAAAACTAACGATTTGCCCACAGATTGCACTAGAAATATCTTCTTCGTATTTATTTGCCAACTTTGATGCTGCCTCCACAAATTCTTCGTCTGTACTATTCAACATTTCCTGTGGTTCCAGAAAAGAAAAATAGTTTCTGACGTTTTTCATGCTTTCAAACCTATCTTTAATTTGAATATTTAAAATATCAAGAGCAGGATAGAAAACGGTTGTCAAAATTGTCACGTATACTTTGAAATTTGTCTTTTAGATGTTCCATCCATTTACAAGCCTCATCTAAAGTAATATTTGAACTATACCATTTTCCCGATTTTTTAATTTTCATTTTCTGGATTTGATATCACAATTTTTCGTTTATTCAATTTTTCACATTTTCAATTCCTCGATTTTCCAATTTTCAATATTTAGATTTTACAATAATTTTCGTGTTTTCGACCGCAATTTTTCGATCTTTAAGTTTCTCAATTTTTAATCTTTCGATTTTTGAATTTTCCGTTTCTTCAATTTCTCAAGTTTTTAGATTTCTCGAAGCCTTCATTTTATACTTTTGCGTTTTTTCATTTTGAGTTTTCAATTTCACAATTTTTCTATTTTATAACTTTTCCATTTTGTTTATTCGGAAAGTAGAAAATGCGAAAAATTGAAAAATCGGAACATTAAAAAATTGGAAAAAATTGAAGAAACAAAAAATTGCAAAATCGATAAAACGGAAAATCGATTTTTTAACTTCGATTTTTTAAAGTTTTTAATCTGTATTTCAATTTTTCGATTTTTGGAATTTTCTGTTTCTCATATTTATCGATTTTTTTGAGTTTTTCGATTTTTCCGTTTATCTTTTTTTGAAGTAAATATTTCAATTTTGAATTTTCCGATTTCGGCCGATTTCGATTTCTCGATCTTTTGAAGTCTCAAGTTTTCGATTTCGATTTCTTTGTTTTTCGATTTTCAAAATTTTCGATTTTTCTAGTATATATTTTAAATTTTCGATTTTTTATATTTTTCATTTTTCCCTTTTATAATCTTTATGTTTCGATTTTCCGATTTTAATTTTTTAATGTGTTTCAATTTTTCCATTTTTGGAATTTTCGATTTCTCATATCTCAATTTTCCAATTTTAAAAACTTTTCGATTTCTCGATTTTTAAGTTTTCGCTATCTCAATTTTAAACATCGCAATTTTGGGAATTTTTCAATTTCTATATTTTTCAGATTTACGATATTTTCATTTTCCCGATTTTGTAATTTTCATTTTCTTGATTTTATATCACAATTTTTCATTTTTCCATTATCTTTATTTTTTCAATGTTTCTTTGGATTTTATAATTTTTTGTTTATTCAATTTTTTACATTTTCAATCTTTGATTTTTTAAGTTCTTGATTTCCAATTTTTTTATATTTCGAAGCTTTCATTTTGTACTTTTTCAGTTTTACAATTTTTCTATTTTATAATTTTTCGATTTTGTTTATTCGAAAAGTTAAAAACCCGAAAAAATAAAAAATTGAAACAATGAAAAATTAAAAACCGAGAAACTTAAAAATCTAAAATAAAATTAATGAATCGAAGAATGGGAAAGAAGAAAAACCATTCGAATTGAAAAATTGGAAAATCCAAAAATTGTAAAATCGAAAAATTATAGAATCTTGAAAATTGTAAAGTCCAAAATCTGTGACATTCAAACACCAAAAAATTGAAAAATTCTAAAAACGAAAAACTGAAAAAGTGAACAACTTTAAAAATTATAATTATTAGGAGTGTTACATAATTAAAATGAAAACTAGAAAAACTGCAAATGAAAAATTAAAAAAAGGGAAAATTGAAAGCAGAAAATTGAAAAAATAAAGAAAATTAAAAACCCACAGGAAAAATTGCAAATCGAAAAATTGACGAGATTAAAAACTGTAAACTCGTGAAATTTGCAAACTCTAAAATTTGAAACATCTAAAAGTTGTAAAATCAAAAACTGAAAAATCGAGAAATCAAAAATTTTCAAAAATCGAAGGATTGAAAAATCGTAATTTTGGAAAATCGAAAAACCGGGGAATTCGAACTGAAAAAAGATCGAGAATTCAAGATGTCGAAAAATCTAAATATCTAAAATTTAAAAAATAGAAAAATTACAATAACGAAAAATTTAACATTAAAAAAAAACACAAAATCAAAAAGTCGAAAAATCGAGAAATTGAGAAATGGAAAAATGAAAATTTAGCAAAAACCAAAAGCATAAAAAAATTAAAATCGGGAAATCGGAACGTAAAAAAATAAAATCGAAAAATTGAAAAATTTTAAATTTAAAAATTCGAAAACTTGAAAAACCGAAAAACTGAAGAAATGAAAAACCAAAAAATCGACAAATTGAAAAATCTCAAAACTGAAAAGTCGAAAAATTGAAAAACCCAAAAATCGATTTCCGGTAAGTCGAAAAATCAAAATTTAAAAAGTTGAAAAATGAAAATACAGTAGCGTCCGGTTATAATGAACTCAAAAAATGTAACAAAACTAGTTCATTATATCCGAAGTTCACTATTAACGGAAAAATAAAAACTGCGTTTGTTTAAATTCAATTTACTTCAATTCTACGTTGGGAACAATTCAAAAAATATTTCTTGGTTTATAAACTAAAAATAAAAAAAAACATAGCTATTTATGTAATTACATATAACAAGACGTCACATAAACACAAGTCTACTTGACAAAATCAGTTATTTTTGTCTGTACATATCTATTAGAAAAGTGAATGTCACTAATATAGCGTTCGAGGTTGCAAAAGCTGTTCCATATAGGCTCCGGAACAGTGCGCGATTCTAAAAAGTTGCGAGTCTCTGCCATTTTTTGCGCCATTTCATTAAGAGAAGGAACATAAACATCAACATCTTCATCAGACTCATTTTCCTCACCCTCGGCCTCGTCACTTGTTGCCATGACTGATGTCACTGATTCTATAATCTGCTCGTCAGTTAGTCTTTCTGTTACCGTTATGTCGTTATCAATTTCCACATATTCTTCAAAATTAAATTCCCCGATTTTCTCTTGCACTGCAATTTCAATTGCATTATCCACATCTGTGAAAATAAGTCCAGGATCATCTTCATGTTTTTTTAACCATTCTGTTAGGGGAAGCTCATCGTCTGCATCAAATTCAGCACTTTTTTCAGAAAATCCTCCATGCTTGAAACAGTTTGCTATTGTATCTTTGCTAACCTTTTGCCAAGCCATGTGAATAAAATTTACAGCATCTAAAATGCTAACTGAAAATGTTTTTCCGTTGTCCATAGCCTCTATCATCTGCGCGAGTAAAATTTTCCTATAATGGCTCTTTAATGAATGAATTACACCTTGATCCATCGGTTGTAATTTTGAACTCGTATTCGGTGGCATAAAAACTAATTTAATTTGGTTTAGTTTAATCTCAGGGTGAGCTGTACAGTTATCAACTAAAAGTACAATTTTCCTATTTTTTTGTTTTAATTGTTCATCCCATTCAAGCAGTTCATTTGTGAAAATTTCAGAGGTCATCCACGCGTTACGGTTTGATTTGTATTTTACGGGCAATTGTTTATTTTTGAAACATCTAGGATTGGCAGATTTGCCTATAACCAACAATTTCCTTTTTTCTGTTCCAGACATATTGGCAGCTACTAAAACTGTAATCCTCAATTTAGATAACTTTCCTCCAGCACAACTTTCTCCCACAAATTTTAAAGTCTTATCAGGAGTCATTTGATAAAAGAGCCCTGTCTCATCAGCGTTAAAAATGTCTTCACTGTCATAGTTTTTCCGAATATGAGGCCAAACATTAGTTAAC